AATGGAAATCAAATGAATACTGGTATAGCTATACCTACATCAGAAAAAACAATCTTTAAGCCAAAACTCTAAGACAAAGAATGTCATTATATAATGACAAAGGGATCAAACTAATAATAAGAGTACATTATATAAATATTTATGAGCCAAAAAACATATATAAATATATATAAATATATAAAGCAAATATTAACAGACATGAGGGAAGAAAAAGACAGAAATATGATAATGGTAGGGGACTTAAATACCCCATTTTCATCAATGGGTAGATCAAGGCAGAAAAATCAATAAGGAAAAATTGGACTTGAACCACACATCAGATCAAATGCACTTAACAGACATTTGCAGAACATTCCATATAGCATAAGGCCTGTACACATTCTTCTCAAATATACAAGGAACATTCTCCAAGGTAAACCAAGTGTTAGGCCACAGAACAAGTCTTAATAAATTTTAGGAGACTGAAATATTAATATATTCCAACCACAATGGTATAAAACCAAAAATAAATTAGAAGAAAACTGGCAGTTCTCAATTATGTGGGCATTAAAAAATACGCTAAAGAACAGCCAATAGGCTAAAGAAATTTAAAAAAATTATCTCAAGGCAAATGAGAATGGAAATACAAAATACCAAAAATTATGAGATATAGCAAAAACATTTTTAAGAGGGAAGTTCATAGTGATAACACCTACATTAGAAAAGAAGAAAGATTGCAAATAACCTAACTTCACACTTTAAGGAACTAGAAAAAGAACAAACTAAACCCAAAGTTAGGAGAAGCGGAAATAACAAAGATAAGAGCAGAAATAGAGACTAAAAAGACAACAGAAAAGGTCAGTGAAACTGAGCAGAGGGCTTTTTTTTTTTAATTAACATATAATGTATTATTTGTTTCAGGGGTACAGGTCTGTGAATCATCAGTCTTACACAACTCACAGCACTCACCATAGCACATACCCTCCCCAATGTCCATCACCCAGCCACCCGATCCCTCCCACTCCCTTCCACTCCAGAAACCCTCAGTATGTTTCCTGAGACCAAGAGTCTCTTAAGGTTTATTTCCTACTCTGGTTTCGTCTTGTTTCATTTTCCCCTCCCTTCCCCTGTGATCTTGTGTCTTATTTCTCAAATTCCTCAAATCAGTGAGATCATATGATAATTGTCCCTCTCTGATTGACTTACTTTGCTTAACCTAGTATTCTCTAGTTCCATCCAAGTTCCAAATTGCCAGATTTCAGGGTTTTTTGATGGCTGCATAATATTCTTTTTTTTTTTTTTTTAAGATTTTATTTACTTATTTGACAGAGAGAAAGAGATCACAGGTAGGCAGAGAAGTAGGCATAGAGAGGGGGAAGCAGGCTCCCTGCTGAGCAGAGAGCCTGATGTGGGGCTCGATCCCAGGACCCTGGGATCATGACCTGAGCTGAAGGCAGAGGCTTAACTCTGAGCCACCCAGGTGCCCCTGCATAATATTCTTTTAAAAAGATAAAATAAAGGGGCACCTGGGTGGCTCAGCGGGTTAAGCCTCTGCCTTCAGCTCAGGTCATGATCTGAGGGTTGTGGGATCAAGCCCCACGTCGGGCTCTCTGCTCAGCGGGGAACCTGCTTCCCCACCCTACCGCCTGCCTCTCTGCCTACTTGTGATCTTTCCGTCAAACAAAAAAATAAAATCTTAAAAAAAAAAAATACACAAATATTTAGCCAGATTTACCAAGGGGAAAAAGGGCCCAAATAAATAAAATCAGAAATGAAGGAGAAGACATTTCAACTGCTACCAAAGAAATACAAAGAATCATTTCAGATTGATATGAAGACTTATATGCCAACAAACTGGACAATCTAGAAGAAACAGATAAATTACTAGAAACACAAAATCTACCAAGACAATCATGAAAAAACAGAATATCTGAACAAAACAATTAATAGTAAGGAAATTAGATCAGTAATCAAAAACTTCCAAAGAAACAAAAGTCCAGGACCAGATGACTTCATTACAAATTCTACCAAACTTTAAGGAAGAATTAATACCAGCCCTCCTCAAGCTTTCCCAAAAAAAACAGAAGAGAAGGAAACCCTTCCAAACTCATTTTAGGAGCCTGTCACCCTGATACCTAACTAGACAGGGAAGCCTCAAGAAAAGTAGAGGCCAGTATCCTTAATGAAAATAGATGCAAAATTCCTCAACAAAATTGAAGAAAAGCTGAATTCAGTAATACATTAGAAGGATAATACATAATGATCAAGTTGGATTAATTCCATAGATGTATAAGGATGATTAGGTTTACCATCTGCAAAAAAAATCAGCGTGATACACCACATTAATAAAATAAAGGATAAAAATTTTATGATCATCTCAACAAATGCAGAAAAAACATGTGAAAAATTTCAACATCCTGTAAGACCAGGAACACTCTTGCCACTTTTATTCAACATAGTACTGGAAGTTCTACCCAGAGCAATTAGTCAAGAAAAAGAAATAAAAGGGGTGGCTGGGTTGCTCAGAGGGTTAAGCATCTGACTGTTGATTTTGGCTTAGGTTATGACCTCAGAGTTGTGAGACAGCTCTGTGTCAGGCTCCATGCTGGGCCTGAAGCCTGCTTAGGATTTTCTCTCCTTCCTTCTGCCCTTCCCACTCCCTTTTCTCTCCCTCCAGAAAAAAAGGAAGGAACGAAGGGGGAGGAAGAAAAAAAGGAAAGAAAAAAGAAATAAGTATTCAAATTGGAAAGCAGCTGTATTTGCAGATAACATGATATTATATATAGAAAACACTAAAAAATCCATCAAAAATTTGTTACAATAAATGAATTCAGTAAAGTTGTAGGATACGAAATCACTGTATTACCCAAAGCAATTCACAGATTCAGTTCAATCCCCATCCAAATTCCAGTGGCATTTTTCAAAGAAACAGAACAATCCTAAAATCTGTATGGAACCAGAAAAGACCTAAATATCTAAAGTAATCTTAAGAAAAAAGAAGAAAGCTGGAGGCATCACACTTCTTCATTTCAATCCATATTACAAAGCTATAGTAATAAAAAAGTATGGTAATGGTATTTAAATGGATACACGGATCAATGGAACAAAACAGAGAGTGCAGGAATAAGCCCATGCATATACAGCAAATTAACTTATGACAAAGGAGCCAAGAATACACAATGGGAAAAGTATAGTTTCTCTACAAGTTGTGCTGGGAAAACTGCAGTCAGATGCAAAAAGAAAAAACTGCATCACCATCTTACACCATACACAAAAATCAACTCCAAATGGATGAAACACTTAAACCATAAATTTCCTAGGAGAAAAAGTATGGGTGAAGCTACTTGATATCAAGTTTGGCAATAATTTTTTGGATCTGACACAAAAACAAGGGCAATGAAAGCAGATATAAACAAATGGGACTATATTCAACTAAAAAGCTCTGCAACGTAGTGTAAACTATCAAAATGAAAAGACAACCTACATAAAGGGAGAAAATATCTGCAAATCATCTATCTGATAAAGGGTGAATATCTGAAATATATTAAGAATTCATACAACTCAAAACCCAAATACAATTAAAAGTTGGCAGAGGAACTGAACAGATATTTTTCTGAAGAAGACATATAGACGGGCAACAGGTACATGAAAAGGTGCTCAATGTCACTCATCATCAGGGAAATGCAAATCAGAACCATAATGAGATACTACCTCATACTTGTGAGAATGGCTAGTATTAAAAAAACAAACAAACCCAACAACCACCAAAAACCCAGAGATAACAAGTGTTGGTGTGGGTGTGGAGACAAGGGAACCTTTGTGCACTGTTGGTGGGAATGTAAATTGGGACAGCCACTGTGAAAAACAGTATGAAGGTTCTGGAAAAAATTAAAATTATAACTACCATATGATGCTACAATACCAGTTTTGGGTACATACACAAAGGGAATTAATACAGGATATCAAAGAGACATGTATTTCCAAGTTCATTCATGGCAGCATCACAGCCAAGTTAAGCAAACAACCAAAGTGTTCATCAACAGATGAATGGATACAGATGTGGTATGTAGATACACACAGTGGACTATTATTCAGCTATGAGAAAGGACACCTTATTTGCGACAACACGGATGGACCTTGAGGGCATTATGCTAAATTAAATAAAACAGAGAAAAACAGTTCATGGTATCACTTGTACGTGGAGTCTACAAAAAAAGAGAGAGAGAGAATCAAACTCAGAAACAGCAGATGATTATGGTGATGGGTATTAAACAGGGGACATATTGCACGGAGCACTGGATGTTATACATAAACAATGAATCATAGGGGTGCCTGGGTGGCTCAGTGGGTTAAAGCCTTTGCCTTTGGCTTAGGTCACGATCCCAGGGTCCTGGGATTGAGCCCCGCATCGGGCTCTCTGCTCAGCAGGGAGCCTGCTTCCTCCTCTCTCTCTGCCTGCTTCTCTGCCTACTTGTGATCTCTGTGTGTCAAATAAATAAATAAATAAATAAACAAACAAATAAATAAATAAATAACTTAAAAAAAAACAACAATGAATCATTGAACACTACATCAAAAACTAATGATGTACTATATGGTGACATAACATAATAATGAAACAGCAGGGGTTGCTAGGCAGTGGTGGAAATAGTGAGAGGTTAGTGAAACAGTATAACCTTTTAACTAAAAGATGAATAAGGTCTGAGGATCTAATGTATAACATGGTGACTACAGTTGGTAATTCAGGTATTATATAACTGAAATTTGCTAAGAGAGCAGATAAATTTTCTTACCAAAAAAATATATTTAAAACTTTTTATGTTTGAACTTAAAAATTATTTCTCCTGGGGTAATATGATATACATCATACTCATAATTCCCACACCCAATGTCTTCTAAATAAAATGCTTTTTATTCAAACTGGTCAACATTTGATCATATTTTCCTTTATAAACTATAAGGACAGGGAAAACAAGTCATAAATGTACTTGTATTTTATGTACTTCTATATGTTTACTTACTTTAATAAGTAATGCTTCATTTGTAGCTTCAATTACTTCATTCCTATCTTGGACTTGTTGATGCAAATTGCTTACAGTGTCCTGTGCTTCTTCTAATTCCAGTTTTGCCTTCTCTAACTGTTCATTTAGTTGCTGAACAGAAGTCTTTTGAGAGTCAGCAGATATCTTCCACTTTGCATGGTTCTCTTGATGTGACATCATCTACACAGCCCCAAAATTGAAAAAGAAAAGGAAAAAAATAGGAGTTGGTTTCGAAAATATTCTAATACTTTTCACTTCCATTTGTATTAAAGTAAATTCTGTTTATAGGTACAAACATCTGATTTCTCAACAAATAACTGATTAGAGGAAAAAAGGGGAAGAAGAAACCTATGGTCTTAAATTTACCTAAGAACAGTTAGCCACATACAATGGGCTGTTTTTGTTTCTGATTTGAACCACTTTACCTATATAGACATTTTTGTGACAATTGGGAAAATGTGAACAAATGATGGGTATTTGATAATATTCACAAGTTATTCTCAATTTTTAGGTGTGATGATAGTATTGTGGTTGTTTTTAAAATAGCACTTATCTTTTAGAGTTACCGAAATGTTTACTGATGAAATAATGATGTGTGAGATTTGCTTCAAATAGAGATAGATATGTGGGGGAAGGGAAGTGAGTGAGATGTGGTGATCATACATCCCAGTTTGCTTGAGACTCACCAGGTTTTATGCTTGGCATTCTGGTGTAGTTAAGAACAACATCCTTTTTCATTCTCAAAAGTATTCTCCACCCCCTCCCTTTTTTAAAGATTTATTTATTTGACAGGGAGAGAGTACAAGTAGGCAGAGCAGGAGGCAGAGGGAGAGGGAGAAGTAGGCCTTCCAGTGAGCAGGGAGCCCAATGTGGGACTTGATCCCAGGACCCTGGGATCATGACCTGAGCCTAAGGCAGCCACTTAACCAACTGAGCCACCCAGGCGCCCAAAAGTATTCCCTTTTAAAAAGAAATTGTCAGCATACTTATAGATGAAATCACATTGGCCAATAGGTTGGCAATTATTAAAGTTGAATAATAAATATAGGAGGATTTATACCATTCTTTCAAAATTTTCCATAATAAAAACTTTAAAAAAAAATCTATTTCTTGGGGTGCCTGGGTGGCTCAGTGGGTTAAAGCCTCTGCCTTCGGCTCGGGTCGTGATCTCAGGGTCCTGGGATCGAGCCCCACATCGGGCTGTCTGCTCAGCGGGGGGCCTGCTTCCTCCTCGCTCTCTCTGCCTGCATCTCTGCCTACTTGTGATCTCTCTCTGTCAAATAAATAAATAAAATCTTTAAAAAAAAATCTATTTCTTATCAAAAATATAGGGGGGCACTTGGGTGGCTCAATGGGTTCAGCTTCTGCCTTCTGCTCAGGTCATGATCCTAGGGTCCTGGGATTAAGTCCTGCATCATGCTCCCTGCTCAGCAGGGAGTCTGCTCTCCCCCTCCCTCTGACTGCCACCTCCCTGTGCTTGTGTGCTCACGCTCTTTCTCTCATAAAAATAAATAAATAAAATCTTTGAAAAAAGTATTAGGACTTTTGCAATTATTATTGACTTTTCTGACAATTCTGAAGCCTATAATTTTTAAAATGCTGTTAAAAATTATTAATCCTTTTTACTGTTACTTTAATGATTTATTCCTTCATTTTTATATTCAAACAACATACATGCTTTAAAAATAAATTTTTGTCAAGTACCAAAGAGGATAAAAACATATTACAAATTTTTATATTATACATATAAAACTATCAAATATTAAACAGCAACATTAAAACCTATTTTTACAATTCATTTTATGTACTACCTGCTTATAAATGATTTCAGAGCGCTTAAAAAACTTAAAGTAAAAAATTGGTGCAAAAATAATGAATACTGCTACGCTGAAAAAATAAAAAATGTTTAAAATAAATAAATAAATAAATACAGTGCAAAAAACAAAAAAAAAATTGAATAATAAGAAAAGTAGACATACAAATGGCTATCAGACACATGAAAAAATGTTCATCATCACTAGCCATCAGGGAGATTCAAATTAAAACCACATTGAGATATCACCTTACACCACTTAGAATGGCCAAAATTAGCAAGACAGGAAACAACATGTGTTGGAGGGGATGTGGAGAAAGGGGAACCCTCTTATACTGTTGGTGGGAATGCAAGTTGGTGCAGCCTCTTTGGAGAACAGTGTGGAGATTCCTCAAGAAATTAAAAATAGAACTTCCCTATGACCCTGCCATTGCACTACTGGGTATTTACCCCAAAGATACAGATGTAGTGAAAAGAAGGGCCATCTGTACCCCAATGTTTATAGCAGCAATGGCCATGGTTGCCAAACTGTGGAAAGAACCAAGATGCCCTTCAACGGACGAATGGATAAGGAAGATGTGGTCCATATACACTATGGAGTATTATGCCTCCATCAGAAAGGATGAACACCCAACTTTTGTAGCAACATGGACGGGACTGGAAGAGATTATGCTGAGTGAAATAAGTCAAGCAGAGAGAGTCAATTATCATATGGTTTCACTTATTTGTGGAGCATAACAAATAGCATGGAGGACATGGGGAGTTAGGAGAAGGGAGTTGGGGGAAATTGGAAGGGAAGGTGAACAATGAGAGACTATGGACTCTGAAAAACAATCTGAAGGGTTTGAAGAGGTGGGGGGGTGGGAGGTTGGGGAACCAGGTGGTGGGTATTAGAGAGGGCACGGATTGCATGGAGCACTGGGTGTGGTGCAAAAACAATGAATACTGTCATGCTGAAAATAAATTAAAAATGATTTAAAAAAAAAGAAATAAAAGTAAAGATTACATAATAAAAATGCAAAGGATACTTGCTGGTAAACACTCTAGCTGGACTAGTTATTACTGATGGTCACTTGGTTGAGTAGCTAATATTTACTTATTAAATAATTATGTTGAATCCAAGAGCATTCCATTTGTCTTTAAAGACCAAAGACTGAAATCTCTTAGCCTGTTAACTGGATTCAGCTTGCAAATATGTTTTGTTTGGCAGACACAATGTTTTCAAAGAGATCTGAATCTAAACACATTGAAGCAAGACATAGTGACCAGTGACTACAATCCTTACCAATCTCTCACAAATATAGTCCCAAACTCCTTTGAAAGGAGTAGTTGTGAATGTAGTTGTAATCCTTTTCATATAGAAAAATGCCTTTATTAGAACTCTATAAGTAATTTATTTAGTTCTAATACATTTTAGATATTGTTAGATATAGTTTTTAAAAAGACAAGAAGTGCTATTCTAATTGATAACACTGTTCATTTCTATAAAGGCTCAGGACATAGTAGGTAGATAAAAAGTATCAGGTTCTAATTTTGCCTCTCTAACTTACTATCAGAACAAATGTTGGAAAGTGCAAAGCATTGTAGATTCATAGGCACATGAAACTACTTATGTTGTTTATTAAATATCTCGTTACTTTTGGCAAGTGCTATTTATAACTGATGATGATGAGCCGGCCTCTGGCCTAAGACCTTTAACTATATTCATTGAATCCATTTAATTCATTTAATCCAGTTCTATGAGGTACATATGACTATTTTGCCCATTTTAGACAGAGATGTTAATTGCTCGAGGTCACATAAGTGCCAGGTGATAAGCTGAGATTTGGAACTAGACTACCTACCTCAAGACTTTAAGCTCTTAACCCCACAGTGCATGAACTCACTGGATATGAAGTGGAATTATATTAAGCTACCAGAAATGAAGACCATAATGAATTATTCTATAATGAACACTTAGAAACTAGACTTATAGTTTTGTTTAGATAGTTCAATCCACTTCTGTAGCAGGGAGTTATGGAACAAATTACATTTTTCTTTACCTCCAGATGATAAGCTTCTTTGAGAGATTCTACTTCTGCTGACAATTTCTTGATTTCTGCTTGCATTCTTGCTTCTAAATGAGCTTCACGTACTTGAGAAGCCCCCAGTTCTTCAGCTAAATGGTGTCCATGAGCTTCCTTAAAAATGACACATTAAGGAAAGTTTGTTTATTTGGTTATTATAGCTAAACCACTCATGTGGATTTATGGAAGTATTTTAATCTTTTATAATACTATGTAAGTGCTCATACACAAAATTAGTTTATGAAATGGTATAGTTTAAAATCTAGACACTTAAGAGACTACAAATGGGACTGTATTAGTATACTGTTTATCACAATGTAATAATTCACTAACAAATGCATTCTGTAAAACAAACTAATAACCACGGTATGTTGAACTTCAGTAGATAAGTCTACTGTAAGGTTTGCCTGTGCATTATTTATTCACCAAATGCACTGTTTGCTTATCAAGAGTCAGTTGTGGGGTGCCTGCGTGGCTCAATCAGTTAAGCATCTGCCTTTGGCTCAGGCTGTGATCCCAGGGTCCTGGGATTGAGCTCTGCATGGTCAGGCTTCCCACTCAGCAGGGAGTCTGCTTCCCACTGTGCCCTTCCCCCCCACTAATGAGTGTGTGTGCGCTCGCGCTCTCTCTCTCACTCTCTCTCTCAAATATATAAATAAAATCTTTAAAAAGAAAAAGAGTCAGTTGTGTTTATCCAAACCTATTTATGCTAGTTGTGCTTGTTATTATAATTATGCAATTCTAATATACATTATTTATGAACATTGAGGAAATATACATGCAAAAAGAAATTTTTTATATGAAAAATTAGTTATGTGCCTTGAGACAGCTTACTGAATGAGTCAAACATTTTTTACTCAATTAGAAGCAATCAAAATAGTTGTAAAATACTGTGGGAAACCCCATGTAAAATATAAGAGATGTTATACTCTGATTTTAAAATGTCTTTTAATTTTTACTCTACTTTAAAGAAACCAGAATTGCAATAGATGAGGGACTAGTAGTATGGTTAATGCAAAGATATTAGGTGGAATTCTAATCAAAGAACCTACCCCCACACACACACACAAAAACAAGATTTGGTCCTAAATTAAAAGATTTACCCATGAATACATATTTAGAGTTTTGAGCTGAAATATTTTAAACTATCATTTTAACAAATCAAAACTACAATGAGATACTACCTCAAAATGGCCAAAAATAACACAAGAAACAAGGATCCAGAGAAAGGTGTCGGTGAGGATGCAGAGAAAGGGGAATCCTCTTACACTATTGGTGGGAATGCAAACTGGTGCAGCCACTCTGGAAAACAGTGTGGAGGTTCCTCAAAAAGGTAAAAATAGAACTACCTGAGGATCCAGTAATGCACTACTTGATATTTACCCAAAGGATATAAAAATACTAATTCAAAGGGATACATGCACCCTGATGTTTATATCAGTATTATCTGCAATAGCCAAATTATGGAAAGAGCCCAAATGTCCATCAACTGATAATGGATAAAGATGTAGTATAAAGATATAATGGAATATTATGCAGTCATAAAAAGAATCAAATCTTGCCATTTGCAATGATGTGGATAGAGCTAGAGAGAATTATGCTAAGTGAAATAAGAAAGAGAAAGACAAATACCATATGACTTCACTTACGTGTAATTTAAGAAACAAAATAAACAAACCTGGGTTGCGTGGAAAGAGAGGAAACCCGAGAAATATAAGCTTAACTATAGACCACTGATGGTTACCAGAGAAGGGATAGATGGAAGGATGGGGTAAAGAGGTGGTGGGGATTAAGGAGGGCACTTGTGATGAGCACTGGGTGTTGTATGTAAGTGCTGAATCACTAAATTCTACATCTGAAACTAGCTTGAATTTAAATGAAACTTAGAAAATAAAGTACTTTTCCCCCCCATTTTTAATTTAAGTTCAATTAATTGACATATAATGTATTACTGGTTTCAGAGGTAGAGGTCAGTGATTCATCAGTCTTATGTAATATCCAGTGCTCATTACATCATATGCTTTCCTTAATGTCTATCACCCAGTTACCCCATCCCCTCAACTCTACCCCCTTCAGCAATCCTCAGTTTGTTTTCTATGATAAAGAGTCTTTTATGGTTTGTCTCCCTCTCTGGTTTCCTCTTGTTTTATTTTTTCCTCTCTCTTGCTAAGATCCACTGTTTTGTTTCTTAAATTCCACTTATCAGTGAGATCATAGGGTAATTGTCTTTCTCTGATTGATTTATTTCACTTAGTTAGCATAATACCCTGTAGTTCCATCCATATTGTTGCAAATGGCAAGATTTCATTTTTTTTGATGTTGAGTGGAATTCCACTGTATATAAATACATCTTCTTTATCCTTTCATCTGTTGATGAACATCTGGGCTCTTTCCATAGTTTGGAAATTGTGGACATTGCTGCTATAAACATTGGGGTGTAGGTGCCCCTCTGGATCACTATATTTGTATCTTTGGGGTAAATACTCAGTAATGTAATTGCTGGGTCATAGGGTAGCTCTATTTTCAAATTTTTGAGGTATCTTCATACTGTTTTCCAGAATGGCTGCACCAGTTCACATTCCCACCAACCGTATATGAGAAAGGTTCCCCTTTCTCCACATCCTCGCCAGTATCTGTCATTTCCTGACTTGTTAAATTTAGCCATTCTGACTGGTGTGAGGTGGTATCTCATTATGGTTTTGATTTGTATTTCCCTGATGCTGAGTGCTGTTGAGCGTTTTTTCATGTTAAACTGTCACTTTAAATAATTCCTCACTTTCACTTTTTCGATTAATTGAGCTTATTGTGTCCACAGAAAATCAATTATACTATACTTAGATACTACTGATAAGGATAGAGATGAGATAAAAATAGACAGCTTCCTAGGAGCTTTCCCTAGGAGACTTGCAAATGCCCAACATAGTCTAATAAAAATTCCTTATATATTCTTTTAAAAAAAAAAATAGAAAAAAATATTAGAGAGAGTGCACAAGGATGAGTGGGGGGAGGAGCAGAGGCAGAGAGAGAAGATGACTCCCCACTGAGCAGGGAGCCCAACACAGGACTCCATCCCAAGACCCCATCCCAAGACCCTGGGATCACAACCTGAGCCCAGGGTAGACACTTAACCAATTGAGCCACCCAGGCATGTCCCCTTATATATTCTTTATTAGTCTAACCAACCAGGTATGTGAATAAAAGCACTAAATTTACCAAAATTAAATGTAAAGATACTTCAATGCAATTCCTATAATGTATTAGTAACCATAATAAAAATCAGAGGACTCACAGGCACTTTTCTGAAACACCAATAAATACATTTTTCTAGAAGTCTAAGTAATTAACCCAAGCATATCAATCTAGTATTTTTTTTTAAGATTTTTTTTTTTTTATTTGACAGACAGATCACAAGTAGGCAGAGAGGCAGGCAGAGAGAGAGGAGGAGGAGGCAGGCTCCTCGCTGAGCAGAGAGCCCCACGCGGGACTCGATCCCAGGACCCTGAGATCATGACCTGAGCCGAAGGCAGAGGCTTTAACCACTGAGCCACGCAGGCGCCCCCAATCTAGTATTTTTAAGCAAAGTTGTTAACCTTCTACCAAATCTTGGGGAAATAGAATTTATATTATTGTTCTTGTTATTAAAAGTACTTTCTCTCAGTAAGGGTTCTGGACTACGGGTTTCATAACAGTTATAAATTTAGTAGCTACAAATGTAAACATTTTACTCAAGAAAGATTAGCTTTTTTTCTTCCAAAAGATAGCTTAACTCACTTGAAAATCCAAAAGTACTCTGTAACTCAATTTATTGAAAACTAATGAGTTTGGCCAAAACTCAGTTCCAAAGGTCTTCTTATTTATATTACTAGGCTACACTAAATATAACACTTTTCTTCTTAAAACTTTAGCAAAATATACATAACATAAAATTTACAATTTTAACCAGTTCTAAGTGTAAAATTCAGTAGCATGAAGTACAGTCAGTGTGTGTAAAAGTTAATATAATCTATAATCTAAAAAAGTAAATGCTAAAATTTTAAAAAGATTTTTTAGTAAGGTAAAATTATTTAAAATAGGGATTACTTTTTCTTTAGAGAGTTGCTTTATTTCCTCCAGTTCACTTGAGAGCCTTTCTACCTCTCTCTGTGCTTGGACTTGTTGACGATGAGCCTCCAACAATTCTGCATGGGAGTTCTGCATCTGCTCCCGAGTTAGCCTCAATTCTTGCTCCATATCTATGGCCTCCTTATACTGAGTTGCAATGTACTGTTCCTGTTCTTTCATAACCTGAAAAATACAAGATATTTGTAGGTTTCAAAATGAAGTTATATAGATTAACCTATTTCTTATTTTGATTTTTCTTTTAATAAGTGATTTCCCCAACCCAACTCAATCTCTATAAACTTTAACACACAAGGAGCACCTGGGTGGCTCAGGTCACAATCCTGGGTTGAGCCCTCTATCGGGCTCCCAGTAGGAACCTGCTTCTTCCTCTCCTCCCTGCTTGTGCTCTCCCTCACTATCTCTGTCACTATCTGTCTTTCTCTCAAATAAATAAAACCTTCAAAGAAAAATTTAACATACATCATCCACTGTGAAACTGTTAAAATGTTTTCTCTTTTTAAAAAATTTTTAATTTTTTATTAACATATAATGTATTATTAGCCCCAGGGGTACAGGTCTGTGAATGGCCAATGTTTCTTCCTTTTTAAATGATAAGAAAATGTACCGTAATCAATCTGGGACTAACTGTATTTTGCATAACTAATATGCAAGCTGTATAATCCTTTATCATTATGACTATAACATGGCAGAATATATAATAATATAAAGAGACAAAAGAAGCTAATATCTGATTATCCATTTCACAGATAGAGAATACACTGGCATGGATAACCAAAAGCCACCATTAATCCACATGTTTGGGTTAAGGTCATGACCTTATTTTCTGTCAAAGTAAAATTTGCCACTGGGACTGCTACTCCTTCTGAAACATTTCTGCATTACTACTCAGTTAAATCCCTAGTATTGTTTTCTTAGAGAAAAAAATATCAGTGAAAAGTAAGTTAGTTCTAAATTAGCTTGGTGAGGGAGATTAGAAGGTAGGTAATTGACTTTAGGGCTGATAAGAAGGAAAGAAATGACTATAAATCATTAGGACCCTGACGTCTGGAATGGGGACCTTGGGTCCAACTGTATTACATATCAGTACAAATCTCAGGTAAATATTTTTAGTCAGCCTTTGTTAGGGAACATGAAATGAGTGGACCAATAATGATTTTCTTTTCCCTGGGGCCCAAACTTGTTCTCAAAGGCCCTGCTTAATTTATGTATAAATTCAATGAATATTTATTCATGCTTACTATGTGATATGTGCTGTTTTAGGTATTGAGGACTTAAGAGTGAACAAAGGAGACAAAGTGGCTACCTCTATGGATTTTAATCCTACTGAAGCAGACAAACAATAAAGAGCTATATGCGAAGTTTTAAAGTTGATTATAAAGAGCTATATGTGAAGTTTTAAAGTTGAGTATAGTATTTAAAAACAAAAAAAGTTACATATATGAGAGCTCTCAGAAGCAAATTCACTTTTTAAAAAGGCAGGTGGGTAGAATGGGTTCACCAGTCAACACACATGTAAACTGTTAATACAAAGACATCACATTTCATCTGGCAACTAACTCAATATACTTGGTTTCAATATCTGTTCATTCATTCTCTGGAGGGAGTTCCTCAAGACAAATGAGTATATGTTATTAATATCTGTATCTCCAGCTCTGTTTCATAGCAGGCTCTCAATAAATATTTGCTGACCAAGTAAGCACATATTGTGGGTTTACTATATGACAGATACCATGCCAATGTCTGTAGGCAATATAAAGATAACTGGAATATCAGAGTAAAATATTTAGAAAGGTCAAAGAAACCCAATAATTATCTGACACAAATAATTAGCCTAAAAATATTAGGGCACAGTTTCTGTATTTTAAAACTAACTAGTTTAAAACAAAGATTTATGCCACTTTTCAGATAATATTATTCTGTTCCTTAGAAAATACTTTGCTTACACTTTCCATTTCTTTCATCTTTTGTTGTGTTCGTTCATTTTCTTTTTTCAGTTGACTTATCTCCTGTTCATTTTGTAGCATTATAAACTCTTTTTCTCGAAGCTGTTCTTTGGAATTTTGTAATTTTTCATTCAAACTTTCTATCTGAATTTTAAACAGAGCAATATTAATTTAACTAAGGAAAAACAGTTCTTTAATCATAACTGCAACCCAAATAAGTCAAACTTTAAACATATTTATATACAACAGCAAAATATAAAAATATATTTTTCTTAAGATCACCATAACTTAGACATTAACATCAGAATTCTTATGCTTAATAAGATGCTTATCTATATACCTAAAATATACTATAAGAAATCAAGTCTCAATCACGTTTGTATAAGGATAATTAGAGTACATTAAAACAACAGATGTTACACGACCTCACAAGTAGTTTTATAGGTAATATGTGCAAGAGGTAAAAAATATAGTTAGTGAAAACAAAGTCCTCTTTCCACTGTGTTCCTTCCTTAGAGGCAACCACAGTTAAGAGACTTACAAATCCTTCCAGAGATGTTTTATACATATTCAAACATGCACACATGATGATAAACATGTGGACACACTGAGACAAGAAAAACTACATTCAAAGTAATGTTAAGAGGGTAATTATCAGGGGGTAGGGAGTGAGGAAAATGAGGAAATGTTGGTCAAAACATATAAGGTTTTTGTTGTATAGGATGAGTAAATTCTGGAAATCTAATGTACAGTGTATGGTTATAATTAGTAATACTGTGTTGTATACTTGAAATCTGCTGAGAGAACAGACCTTAAGCATTCTCAGCAAAAATAAATAATTAAAACTGAGGTGATGGCTATGCTATTTAGCTTGATTGTGTTAATTACTTCACAGTGTATATCAAAATATGTTGTATACCTCAAATATATGCAATTTCTGTCACTTATATGTCAATAAAACTGGGGAAAAATTAAGAGGAGAAAAGTGAATTTAAAGTAACATGTACAAGGTGGTTAAAATTATGTAGTATTTTTATTATATGTGTTCTATAAAAAAGCCATATTATGTTAATAAGTAGATGCTTACAGTTAAGGAGTTATTTTTAAAAACAATATAAAGCATGTAATTTTAAATAATTTACCTGTTTGTTGCATTCTTTAAGTTCCAATTCTGATTTCTGCAGAGTACCTTCTAATTTAATTATTTTCTGTTCCATTTCTCCCCTGTGTTCACGAATAGTCATATCCAAATGTGTAACCTAAATACCAAAGTAACATTAAACTACTCAACTTAATTCTAATGTTAAAAATTGTGTTCTTGGAATGTGTTTTAAAATTGTTTACAGTAACTACAGTAACTATAACTGAGACATAAACTCATCTCAGATTATTTTACAAAATGAGAAAAAATATCCATTGCTTATTGATACTGCATCTTAAGCCTCATATATATTATAGAAACTTGAAGAAAAGATGCAACTATATTCATAAATATCAAATAAATGATTTAGACTTCATTCATGCTAAATAAAAGCTGCTAAACACAATGCAACATAATAAAAATTGTGGAATGCAGCAAAAGCAGTGTTTGGAAGAAAATGTACAGCACTGAATGCAAATATTAGAAAAGAAGAAAGATCTGAAATCAATCATTAAAGCTTCCACTTTGGTAAACTAGAGAAAGAAGAAGAAATTAAATCCAAAGTAAGCAGAAGAAAAGAAATAATAAAAATTAAAGCAGAAATCAGTAAAATTAAAATTAGGAAATTAAAAAAATTAGGAAATCAACAGAGAAAACCAACAAAATCAAAGGCTGATTCTTGAAAAGATCAATAAAATCAGTATGCCTCTAGCCAGACTAAGAAAAAAAGAGAGAGGACACAAATTACTAATACCAGAAATGAAAGAGAAGACATTACTATAACTCTCAAAGATGCTAAAAGGATAATAAGGAATACTATAACAACTCTCTGACCACAAATTTAATAAAACTGATGAAAGAGACCAATTACTTACAAGACAGAATCTTCCAAAACTCACACAGGAAAAGACAATCTAAATAAGCTTATATTTATTAAAGGAATTAGTAATACTTTCCCAAAGAGAAAGCAGCAGGTCCAGATGGGCTCTCTGGTAAATTCTACCAAACATCTAAGAAAGAAATTATACCAATTCTTGTAATCCGATTCTGAAGACAGAAGCAGAGGAAATATTTTCTAACTCACTCTATGAGGCCAGTACTAACCTAATACCAAACCAGACAGACATTTCAACACACATTCACAATAAAAACTCTCAGTAAACAAGGAATAGGGGGGGACTTGCTCAACTTAATAAAGAATATCTATAGAAAAACAACAGCTAGTATCATACTTAATGGTGAGAAAATCAAATGTTCCCACTATGATCGGATACAAGGCAAGGATACTCTCTTACTGCTGCTTTTCAACACTGTTCTAGCAGTCCTCACTAAAGCAGTAAGACAAGAAAAAGAAATAAAAGATACACATCTTAGGAAAGAATACAAAACTATATTTGTTTATAGATAACATAATCATCTAGGTGGAAAATCCGAAAAATTTGACATAATAATTCCTAGAACCAATAACTGCAGGATACAAGAAGTACACAAAATTTAGTCACCTTCCTATATACCAGCAATAAGTAAGAGGAATTTGAAATTAAAAACACAATATGATTTATATTAGCACCCCCCAAAACAAATACTTAGGTATAAACCTAGCTAAATATATACAAGATCTATAAAGAGAAACTACGAAACTCCAGTGAAAGAAATCAAAGAATTAAATAAATAGAGAGCTAGTCCATGCTCATGGATAGGAAGACTCAATATTGTCAAGATTCAAGATGTCAGTTAGTTAGTTGCAACTAAATCTATACGTATATTCAAGGCAATTCAATCAAAATTCCAGGAAGTTAATTTGTGGATATTGACAAACTGATTCTAAAGCTTACATAGAGAGGCAAAACACTGGATATTCTTATCCAACATGATACTAAAGAACAAAGTTGGAAGAGTGACATTACCTGACTTAAAGACACAAAAGAGCTACAGTAAACAGACTGCGGTACTGGCAAAAACAGAGATGAACAGATAATTGTACAGAAGAGAATCCAGAAACTAAATATGTCAATTAACCTTTGACAAAGGAGCAAAGGCAATACAATGCAGAAAAGATAGTCTTTTCAACAAATGATGCTGGAATAAGTGGACAACAACATGCAAAAAAAACTAATCTACACCACACCCTTCACAAAACTTAACTCAAAATGGATCACAGACCTAGATATAATTTGCCGAACTATAAAACTTATAGAAGATAACATAAACTTTGGATGACTCTGGGTGACTTTTTAGATACAAAGCCAAAGGCATAATTCATGAAATAAATAATAAGCTCGACATCATTAAGATGAAAAACTTCCGTGAAAGTCAATGTCAAAAGATTGTGAATAAAAGCCACAAACTAGAAGAAAATATATGTAAAAGACACACCTGAAAAAGGACTTGTATCCAAAATATACAAAGAACTCTTAAAATTCAACAAGAAAACAAATTACTCAATTAAAAAATGAGCCAAAGACTATAACAGAACCTCACCAAAAAAGATGTGCAGATAGAAAATAAGCACTGGAAAATATCCTCCATCCCATATGTCATCTGAGAAGTTCAAATTAACCAGGAGATACCACCACACACTAATTAGAATGGCCAAAATCCAAAACATTGACAATAGCAAATGCTCGCCAAGATGTGGAGCAACAGGAATTCACATTCATTGCAAATTGGTACAAGCCACTTGGGAACATAGTTTGGAAAGTCTTACAAAATTAAACATACTCTTACCATATGATCCAGTAATCACGCCCCTTGATAATTACCAAAAGAAGTTGAAAACCACATTTAGATACCACCTTACACCAGTTAGAATGGTCAAAATTAACAAGACAGTAAATAACATGTGTTGGAGAGGATGTGAAGGAACGGGAACTCTCTTTCACTGTTGGTGGGAATGCAAGTTGGTGCAGCCACTTTGGAAACCAGTGTGGAGATTCCTTAAGAAATTAAAAATAGAGCTTCCCTATGACCCTGCAATTGCACTATTGGGTATTTACCCCAAAGATACAGATGTAGTGAAAAGAAGGGCCATTTGTACCCCAATGTTCATAGCAACAATGGCCACAATTGCCAAACTTTGGAAAGAACCAAGATGCCCTTCAACAGATGAATGGATAAAGAAGATATGGTCTATATACACAATGGAGTATTATGTCTCCATCAGAAAGGATGAATACCCAACTTTTGTATCAACATGGATGGGACTGGAAGAGATTATGCTGAGTGAAATAAGCCAAGCAGAGAGAATCAATTATATGGTTTTGCTTATTTGTGGAGCATAAGGAATAAATAACATGGAGGACATGGGGAGATGGAGAGGAGAAGTGAGTGGGGGGAAATCGGAGGGGGAGACAAACCACGGGAGACTGTGGACACTGAGAAACAAACTGAGGGTTTGGGAGGGGAGGGGGATGGGAGGTTGGGTGAGTATTATGGAGGTGGTGGGTATTATGGAGGGCACATATTGCGTGGAGCACTGGGTGTGGTGCATAAACAATGAATTTTGGAACACTGAAAAAAAATTAAATTTTAAAAAATTATATCCACATAAAAACCTGCACACGGATGTTTATAGCAGCTTTATTCACTTAATTGTCAAAACCTGGAAGCAACCAAGATGCCCTTCGGTAGGTGAATGATTAAGTAAACCGTAGTACACTGAGACAATGGAATATTATTCAGTGCTAAAAGAAATGAGCTATGAAGCAATGAAAAGATGTGGAGAAAACTTAAATGAGTATTACTAAGTGAAAGAAGCCAATATGAAAAGACTATGTACTATATGATTTCAACTATATGACATTCTGGAAAAGGCAAAATGATGGAGAAAATAAAAAGATCAGTGGTTGCTAGGGCTGGGGGAAGTGGAAGAAGGATGCTATGTGGCGCACAGAAAAATTTTACGGCAGTGAAAATACCCTGGATACTATAACATAATGATGGATATGGGTGATTAAACATTTGTCCAAACCCAGAGAATGTACACACCAAGAGTGAACTGTAATGTAAACTATGGAGTCTGGATAATTATAACGTGTAGGTTCATCAACTATTATCAAATGTACCACTTGGGTGGGGAATGTTGATAATAGGGAAGGCTGTGCATTTATGGTAGCAAGGTGTATTTGGGAAATCTCTGTACCTTCTACTCACTTTCACTGTGAACCTAAAACCTAAAGAAATAAAGTCTTTAAAAAAGATGTCTTTTGAATAGTTTTGCTCCTCCAACAAACACAATATTAAAGGAGTTACAACTCCTTTAATTCCATTGTCTTATGATATGCAATAATGTAAGAGATCAAAAGATTCAAATACTAAGCTAACCTTCATTCTCAAAAATCAACTTGCTATAAAAATAGCAAGATGAAGAAAGATGACATACTACTAACTTTTAAAATATTAATGAACACAAACATATGTTTTAAAAAGGTCCATTTTACCAAAAAGTGGTGACCTCTGAAACCCTGTGTGATTGTACTGTAACCAAAAATTTCATTAAATTTAATTAAGAAAACCAACTTGGGCTGCTCTTTGCTTTAGTTCCCAATTTCTCTCCTTAAGTGCCTGATCCATTTCAAGGAGTTCTTGCTTTTTATCTTCATTCTCCATCTTGCATTCTCTGCAATTTATCAAAGGAAAATGGTCAAAGCAAATAGTAGGAATATTATAGTTTTAAAAAATTAAGTCAATTGGGTTAACATCCTGTAAGTTAAAAGTAATTAAAATATATGCAATTATTTCTGATTGAAAGGGCTCAAATTAAAGAAATACTGTATGAAGAAAATGACTGGTATCAATAGTTATTTTAATAGAGTATTCTCAAAAGGTAAAAGTTAACTCAAACACTATTACTGTAGACAATTTAAACTAAATGTTAAAGTACTCCTAAGACAGAAAACTGAATCAGAGAAAGTCAATTATCATATTGTTTCACTTATTTGTGGAACATAAGGAATAGCATGGAAGATATTAGGAGAAGTAAGGGAAAAATGAAGGGGGAGAAATCAGAGTGGGAGATGAACTGCGGACTCTGGGAACAAACTGAGGGTTTTAGAAGGGAGGGGGTCCTGGGAGGGTGAGCCTGGTGATGGGTATTAAGAAGGACACTCCAGGGAGCACTGTGTATTATATGCAAACAATCAATCATGGAACACTACATCAAGAACTAATGATGTACTACTGTATGATGACTAACATAACCCAATTAAAAAAAAAGTTTAGGGGGGAGGAGTCAAGATGGTGGAGAAGTAGCAGGCTGAGACTACTTCAGGTAGCGGGAGATCAGCTAGATAGCTTATCTAAAGATTGCAAACACCTACAAATCCAACGGGAGATCGAAGAGAAGAAGAACAGCAATTCTAGAAACAGAAAATCAACCACTTTCTGAAAGGTAGGACTGGCGGAGAAGTGAATCCAAAGCGATGGGAAGATAGACCTCGGGGGAAGGGGCCGGCTCCCGGCAAGCGGCGGAGAAACGGAGCACAAAATCAGGACTTTTAAAAGTCTGTTCCACTGAGGGACATCGCTCCAGAGTTTTAACCGGGGTGAAGCCCACGCGGGGACAGCGTGGCCTCAGGTCCTGCAGGGTCACAGAAGGATCGGGGGTGTCTGAGTGTCGCAGAGCTTACAGGTATTAGAACGGGGAAGCCGGCTACAGAGACAGAGCCGAGCAGTGAGCTCTAAGCTCGGGGTTACCTTGAACCGGTCGCAGGCTCGGTCAGCTCGGAGCGCGGCGGGAGGCCAGGCAGACGGGAGTAATTGGGCGCTGTTCTCTGAGGGCGCACTTAGGAGTGGGGCCCCGAGCTCTCGGCTCCTCCGGGCCGGAGACTGGGAGGCCGCCATCTTCATTCCCGTCCTCCGGAACTCTACGGAAAGCGCTCTGGGAACAAAAGCTCCCAAAAGCAAACCCGAGCTGATTACTCACCCCAGCCCCAGGTAAGGGCGGTGCAACTCCGCCTGGGGCAAAGATACTTGAGAATCACTACAACAGGCCCCTCTGCCAGAAGATCAACAAGAAACCCAGCCAGGACCAAGTTCACCTACCAATGAGAGCAGTTTCAATACCAAGGAGAGCAGCGGAATTCCAGAAGAGGAAAAAGCAAAACACGGAACTCATGGCTTTCTCCCCATGATTCTTTACCCTTGCAGTTAATTTTTTTTTCTTTTTCAATTTTTTTTTCTCTTCTTCTGCTAAATTTTTTAAACTTTTACCCTTTTCTTTTTTAACGTTTTTTAACTAGTTTATCTAATATATATATATTTTTTTTCTTTTTTATATTTTTTCTTTATTGGTTTTCTTTTTTTAATTGTTTCTTTCTTTCTTTTTTCTTTCTGAACCTCTTTTTATCCCCTTTCTCCCCACCTCACGATTTGGGATCTCTTCTGATTTGGCTAAAGCATATTTTCCTGGGGTTGTTGCCACCCTTTTAGTATTTTACTTGCTCCTTCATATACTCTTATCTGGACAAAATGACAAGGCAGAAAAATTCACCACAAAAAAAAGAACAAGAGGCAGTACCAAAGGCTAGGGACCTAATCAATACAGACATTGGTAATATGTCAGATCTAGAGTTCAGAATGACGATTCTCAAGGTTCTAGCCAGGCTCGAAAAAGGCATGGAAGATATTAGAGAAACCCTCTCGGGAGATATAAAAGCCCTTTCTGGAGAAATAAAAGAACTAAAATCTAACCAAGTTGAAATCAAAAAAGCAATCAAAAATGGAGGCGCTCACTGCTAGGATAAATGAGGCAGAAGAAAGAATTAGCGATATAGAAGACCAAATGACAGAGAATAAAGAAGCTGAGCAAAAGAGGGACAAACAGCTACTGGACCACGAGGGGAGAATTCGAGAGATAAGTGACACCATACGACGAAACAACATTAGAATAATTGGGATTCCAGAAGAAGAAGAAAGAGAAGGGGAGCAGAAGGTATATTGGAGAGAATTATTGGAGAGAATTTCCCCAATATGGCAAAGGGAACAAGCATCAAAATCCAGGACGTTCAGAGAACCTCCCCCCCTCAAAATCAATAAGAATAGGTCCACACCCTGTCACCTAATAGTAAAATCTACAAGTCTTAGTGACAAAGAGAAAATCCTGAAAGCAGCCCGGGAAAAGAAGCCTGTAACATACAATGGTAAAAATATTAGATTGGCAGCAGATTTATCCACAGAGACCTGGCAGGCCAGAAAGAGCTGGCATGATATATTCAGAGCACTAAACGAGAAAAACATGCAGCCAAGAATACTATATCCAGCTAGGCTATCATTGAAAATAGAAGGAGAGATTAAAAGCTTCCAGGACAAACAAAAACTGAAAGAATTTGCAAACACCAAACCAGCTCTACAGGAAATATTGAAAGGGGTCCTCTAAGCAAAGAGAGACCCTAAAAGTAGTAGATCAGAAAGGAACAGAGACAATATACAATAACAGTCACCTTACAGGCAATACAATGGCACTAAATTCATATCTCTCAATAGTTACCCTGAATGTTAATGGGCTAAATGCCCCAATCAAAAAACAAAGGGTATCAGAATGGATAAAAAAACAAAACCCATCTATATGTTGCCTACAAGCAACTCATTTTAAACCCGAAGACACCTCCAGATTTAAACTGAGAGGGTGGAAAAGAATTTACCATGCTAATGGACATCAGAAGAAAGCAAGAGTGTCAATCCTTATATCAGATCAATTAGATTTTAAGCCAAAGACTATAATAAGAGATGAGGAAGGACACTATATCATACTCAAAGGATCTGTCCAACAAGAAGATCTAACAATTTTAAATATCTATGCCCCTAACGTGCGAGCAGCCAACTATATAAACCAATTAATAACAAAATCAAAGAAACACATCAACAATAATACAATAATAGTAGGGGACTTTAACACTCCCCTCACGGAAATGAACAGATCATCCAAGCAAAAGATCAACAAGGAAATAAAGGCCTTAAATGACACACTGGACCAGATGGACATCACAGCTATATTCAGAACATTTCATCCCAAAGCAACAGAATACACATTCTTCTCTAATGCACCTGGAACATTCTCCAGAATAGATCACATCCTCGGTCCTAAATCAGGTCTCAACCATTATCAAAAGATTGGAATCATTCCCTGCATATTTTCAGACCACAATATTCTGAAGCTAGAACTCAATCACAAGAGAAAATTTGGAAAGAACCCAAATACATGGAGACTAAACAACATCCTTCTAAAGAATGAATGGGTCAACCAGGAAATTAAAGAAGAATTGAAAAAATTCATGGAAACAAATGATAATGAAAACACAACGGTTCAAAATCTGTGGGACACAACAAAGGCAGTCCTGAGAGGAAAATAGATAGCAGTACAAGCCTTTCTCAAGAAACAAGAAAGGTCTCAGGTACACAACCTAACCCTACACCTAAAGGAGCTGGAGAAAGAACAAGAAAGAAACCTAAACCCAGCAGGAGAAGAGAAATCATAAAGATCAGAGCAGAAATCAATGAAATAGAAACCAAAAAAACAATAGAACAAATCAATGAAACTAGGAGCTGGTACTTCAAAAGAATTAATAAGATTGATAACCCCCTGGCCAGACTTATCAAAAAGAAAAGAGAAAGGACCCAAATAAATAAAATCATGAATGAAAGAGGAGAGATCACAACGAACACCAAAGAAATACAGACAATTATAAGAACATACTATGAGCAACTCTACCCCAACTAATTTGACAATCTGGAAGAAATGGATGCATTCCTAGAGACATATAAAGTACCACAACTGAACCAGGAAGAAATAGAAAGCCTGAACAGACCCATAACCAGTAAGGAGATTGATACAGTCATCAAAAATCTCCAAACAAACAAAAGCTTAGGGCCAGACGGCTTCCCGGGGGAATTATACCAAACATTTAAGGAAGAACTAATTCCTATTCTCCTGAAACTGTTCCAAAAAATAGAAATGGAAGGAAAACTTCCAAACTCATTTTATGAGGCCAGCATCACCTTGATCCCCAAACCAGACAAGGATCCCATCAAAAAAGAGAACTACAGACCAATATCCTTGATGAACACAGATGCAAAAATTCTCACCAAAATACTAGCCAATAGGATTCAACAGTACATTAAAAGGATTATTCACCACGACCAAGTGGAATTTATTCCAGGGCTGCAAGGTTGGTTCAACATCTGCAAATCAATCAATGTGATACAACACATTAATAAAAGAAAGAACAAGAACCATATGATACTCTCAATAGATGCTGAAAAAACATTTGACAAAGTACAGCATCCCTTCCTGATCAAAACTCTTCAAAGTGTAGGGATAGAGGGCACATACCTCAATATTATCAAAGCCATCTATGAAAAACCCACCGCAAATATCATTCTGAATGGAGAAAAACTGAAAGCTTTTCCGCTAAGGTCAGGAACACGGCAGGGATGTCCGTTATCACCACTGCTATTCAACATAGTACTAGAAGTCCTAGCCTCAGCAATCAGACAACAAAAGGAAATTAAAGGAATTCAAATCGGCAAAGAAGTCAAACTATCACTCTTCGCAGATGATATGATACTATATGTGGAAAACCCAAAAGACTCCACTCCATAACTGCTAGAACTTGTACAGGAATTCAGTAAAGTGTCAGGATATAAAATCAATGCACAGAAATCAGTTGCATTTCTCTACACCAACAACAAGACAGAAGAAAGAGCAATTAAGGAGTCCATCCCATTTACAATTGCACCCAAAACTATAAGATACCTAGGAATAAACCTAACCAAAGAGACTAAGAATCTATACACAGAAAACTATAAAGTACTCATGAAAGAAATTGAGGAAGGCACAAAGAAATGGAAAAATGTTCCATGCTCCTGGATTGGAAGAATAAATATTGTGAAAATGTCTATGCTACCTAAAGCAATCTACACATTTAATGCAATTCCTATCAAAGTACCATCCATTTTTTTTTTTCAAAGAAATGGAACAAATAATCCTAAAATTTATATGGAACCAGAAAAGACCTCGAATAGCCAAAGGAATATTGAAAAAGAAAGCCAAAGTGGGTGGCATCACAATTCCAGACTTCAAGCTCTATTACAAAGCTGTCATCATCGAGACAGCATGGTACTGGCACAAAAACAGACACATAGATCAATGGAACAGAATAGAGAGCCCAGAAATAGACCCTCAACTCTATGGTCAACTAATCTTTGACAAAGCAGGAAAGAATGCCCAATGGAAAAAAGACAGCCTCTTCAACAAATGGTGTTGGGAAAATTGGACAGCCACATGCAGAAAAATGAAATTGGATCATTTCCTTACACCACACACGAAAATAGACTCAAAATGGATGAAGGACTTCAATGTGAGAAAGGAATCCATCAAAATCCTTGAGGAGAACACAGGCAGCAACCTCTTCGACCTCAGCCGCAGCAACATCTTCCTAGGAACATCGCCAAAGGCAAGGGAAGCAAGGGCAAAAATGAACTATTGGGATTTTATCAAGATCAAAAGCTTTTGCACAGCAAAGGAAACAGTTAGCAAAACCAAAAGACAACTGACAGAACGGGAGAAAATATTTGCAAATGACATATCAGATAAAGGGCTAGTGTCCAAAATCTATAAAGAACTTAGCAAACTCAACACCCAAAGAACAAATAATCCAATCAAGAAATGGCAGAAGACATGAACAGACATTTCTGCAAAGAAAACATCCAGATGGCCAACAGACACATGAAAAAGGGCTCCATATCACTCGGCATCAGGGAAGTACAAATCAAAACCACAATGAGATATCACCTCACACCAGTCAGAATGGCTAAAATTAACCAGTCAGCAAATGACAGATGCTGGCAAGGATGCAGAAAAAGGGGAACCCTCCTACACGGTTGGTGGGAATGCAAGCTGGTGCAACCACTCTGGAAAACAGCAGGGAGGTTCCTCAAAATGTTGAAAATAGAACTACCCTATGACCCAGCAATTGCAGTGCTGGGTATTTACCCTAGAGATACAAGCTTAGTGATCAGAAGGGGCACATGCACCCGAATGTTTATAGCAGCAATGTCTACAATAGCCAAACTATGGAAAGAACCTAGATGTCCATCATCAGACGAATGGATAAAGAAGATGTGGTATATATACACAATGGAATACTATGCAGCCATCAAAAGAAATGAAATCTTGCCATTTGCGACGACGTGGATGGAACTAGAGGGTATCATGCTTAGCGAAATAAGTCAAGCGGAGAAAGACAACTATCATATGATCTCCCTGATATGAGGGAGAGGAGATGCAACATGGGGGGATAAGGGGGTAGGAGAAGAGTAGATGAAACAAGATGGGATTGGGAGGGAGACAAACCATAAATGACTCTTAATCTCACAAAACAAACTGAGGGTTGATGGGGGGAGGGGGTTGGGAGAGGGAAGGTGGGGTTATGGACATTGGGGAGGGTATATGCTATGGTGAGTGCTGTGAAGTGTGTAAACCTGGTGATTCACAGACCTGTACCCCTGGGGATAAAAATATATTATGTGTTTATAAAAAAAAAAAATTTAAAAAACAAACAAAAATAAAAGTTTAAAAAAAAATGAATCAGTGTAAGAATTTTTCTGTATAACAGCTCTAAGTTTATTACAGTTGAATGAGGCATTTATCTCACAATTGGTATCTTCGATATCCTCAGCTCAGTAAATGACCACTGTGTTTCTCATGGGAATTTTACTCAAATGACGCCTTACATATATAGCAAAGTATTGAAGCCTAACATTTTTTATAAGCTGTATCTCTCCTAAAACCTTATTTATTATTTTATATTCTAAAAATGACACAACTTTAAGACTACTACCACTTAGATCAGAGAGTGCAATCAAAGAATTTTAATTTGGAACTCTATGTTCCAATACGACAAAAGCTAAAAATGTTCATCTTGAAAATCTTCATATGGTTTTCCAGACTTAAATATAAACAATATTGAACAAAGGTACTGATTTTAAAAAGCAGATTGTGAACTTCTTTAATGAACCGTTTACTATTCTGTTAAAAGTCTCAACAGTTAGGGGTGCCTGCGTGGCTCAGACAGTTCAGTGACTAACTCTTGATTTAGGCTCACAACAAGATAGATGTTCTTCATCATATGGAGAATACATACTAATAGGTCCAGTAGAGGAGACAGACTATAAATAATAAACAAAAGGAAAAACATAAAGTGCTCTGTTAGAGCATTAAATATGTTAGTACATCTCTCAATTCCTGAAGTTGTCTTAAAGTGATGAGATAATGCCTGGGTGGCTACTTGCGAGTAGGTGGTTAGAAAAGGGCCCTTAGAGGTAATATGAAGGGCAAGAGGTCAGCCATTCAATCATTATTTCAGGCCAAAAAGACAGTTACAGCAAAGTCAAAAAGTAGGAAAAATTTACTAAATTTTAAGTATCAACAAAAAAATCCAAGCTTCAGGGTGCCTGGGTGGCTCAGTCGGTTAAGCCTCTGCCTTTGGCTCAGGTCATGATCTCATGATCTCAGGATCCTGGGATCAAGCCCTGCACTGGGCTTTCTGTTCAGCAGGGAGCCTGCTTCTCCCCCCCTCTCTCTGCCTGCCTCTCTGCCTACTTGTGATCTCTCTTTGTCAAATAAATAAATAAAATCTTAAAAAAAAAAAAATCCAAGCTCCTTATCAGGGAATACAAAGCCCTACATGACAGGGTTCCTGCCTGTTTCTCTGGCCTCATTTTATACTGTTCCCTTTTCTCCTGGCCTTTTTGTTGAAGATATAATATAGGGGAGGGTCAAAATAAAATGGTCCAAAGACCAAGGATGGAAATATTAGTCATGAGGAAAGGCTGAATTAGTTAGAAGGAGCATGGGACAGGCTGCCTGGGATGAATAACAGTGAGCCAAACGCAGCTGAGAAATTTAGACATCTAGAATTAAACAGCAAACTTTATTGTATGACCCAAAGAGTCAGAGTAATAAAGTGAAATACCTAGAATTGTGGTATCATTTCTTACTGTTTAACATACCTAAGTTCAGCTGTGAGATCCTTTATAGTAGTATATTTTTCCTCTAATGATAATTGAGCCTTCTGTAGTACATCTTTCAATTCCTGAAGTTGTCTTAAAGTACTTTTTAATTCTCCATGAGCATTTTGGAGTTCAGACTCTAATGCTTCCCGTTTCTGCAAAGCTTCTGTTAGTTCAGTTTCAGTGTTATGCTGTAATTTTTCTAATTCCTTCACTGTTAAAAGGAAACAATAATTTTAGAATTATATAAAAACTATTTTTATTAAAAATTTGTAAAAAAATTATAATTAAGAGGGCGCCTGGGTGGCTCAGTGGGTTAAGCCTCTGCCTTCAGCTCAGGTCATGATCTCAGGGTCCTGGGATCGAGTCCCGCATCGGGTTCTTTGCTCAGCAGAGAGCTTGCTTCCCCCTCTCTCTCTGCCTGCCTCTCTGCCTACTTGTGATTTCTCTGTGTGTGTGTGTCAAATAAATAAATAAAATTTTAAAAAAATTATAACTAAGAATATCCAATTTTATTCATCAACAAGAGGCAAAATACTGACCACTCATTGTCCCTTCTGGCCCTACTAACACAAATGCTCACATTATTCCACTTTTCAAATATAAATATACAGGCAGCTAAGCTCAGCTAACCTGTTGCTTACCAGAATTTGTCTTCTTATCTAGTTCTGTCTTTGTCTGTTCTAAGATCATATCTAACTGAGAGAGATGCATTGCTTTATTTTCTCCATCTCGTTTTAGGTACATTATTTCTTTTTCCATTTTAGAGAGTTCTTCTTTATACTGATCCATCTCAAGTTTTACTTGCCTGGTTAAAAGCAAAAAATAAAACAAGTAGTAAACGATAATTCGGAAACCTAAAAGCCAACTGACTTTTCTCTGACTAAACAAAATCTGTAAGTTATTTAAGAGCAAATATCAGCAAAACATCTAGTCAGAATCTTGGGTCATCCTTAAGTCATATTATTAAAAATGCTCCAACTGAAAGATTGTAATTCTGTACCAACTATGTACCACTAAATATGACTGTACTACCTGGTAATATTTAGCAAGGCTAGCCTTCTTTTCAATCTAACTACAGTTAGCTTGCGAAAAGCTTTGTATACTGAGTATGTATGTATCCATATATAGATAGGTGTCTCATTCATCTGGAATTTCTGTTATCTGCAACACAGAAAAGGAAGCCAACCAATCAAAATATTCACCATAATGACCATACTACTCATAGGAGAATCAAGTGAGTTATTTTTATTCAGACCTTTATTATTTATGTTATCCTTTTTAGCTTTACAAGGGACTAGTGGGGTTCCCCAACTAGTGCGACTTTCTTGCTTTAGAGATGAGGAAACTGGAAGGTCAGTGAGTTGTCTGGGAAAAGACAAATAATTATTAACAGTGAGAGAATCAGGTTTACTAACTTTCAGTCAGTCCTGAGCTTATTCCAACATGGAAGATTTTCTACCTATTGACAAATCAACATAGTGAGAGACAGTTTTAAGCCCATTTGTTGGTAATTCCAAAGTGATATTCACTAAGTAAACAAGTGCTAATGTCAGCCTCAATGGTGGGTAGAAGTGACGCTCTTTGAATCAACATTTTTTTGTTGTTGTTCTTTATGTCTTGGATATTTTGTAAATTGAGTTTCCAAGTAGGAACATTTCTTTTGTAAATGCAATTTAGACAAATGTGGATTTGTTCAAGAGGTTTTTAATCTGATGTCCATGAGTGAACTTGAGGAGAACTATAAAACTCCTGAAACAATATGCAAAATTATGTATACATATGTTCTAGGTATAGAAAATAATCCACAGCTTTTTATCACACCCTCAAATATGTCCATAGTCCAAAAAGCTAAGAAGCTTATTAGGTAAGTGCCAATTACCCTTTTACATTTCTAAAATTCCATGTAAGTGATTTTTTAGCTTGATTAATTAATTTCTTATATTACAGTAGATATAAAACATAATTAGAAAATAATAAATGCAAGAGGTTGGCATATAGTACCAAAAGATGACAGCTTGTCAGCAAAAGAATTGGGAGAAAATTACATTAAAAAAATAGAAGAACTTGAAAAGGACAGTAATCTACAGACATTTAGTAAAAAACCAGAGCTCTGTACTCTTCAAGATTTTGTTGAGGTGCTACTGTATTTTTCGGCACGGTACAATAACTGATGTATGTAATGATAATCCTCAGACAACCAGAAAAATTTAAAATAACAAGAAAATATATATTTTAGAAAATTTCTGCCAAGAGGAGTTTTTTGTTTTGTTTTAAAGTTTCAGTACTTGGTAAAGGTAAATTCCACTCTTATTTATCAGCAACTACTCATTATTTTTTTTTTTAAGATTTATTCACTTGACAGAGAGAGATCACAAGTAGGCGGAGAGTCAGGCAGAGAGAGCGAGGAGGAAGCAGGCTCCCCGCTGAGCAGAGAGCCCGATGCGGGGCTCGATCCCAGGATCCTGGAACCACGACCTGAGCCGAAGGCAGAGGCTTTAACTCACTGAGCCACCCAGGCACTCCTACTCATTATTTCTTGATGCTAGGTAAATGAGGCATTAGTATAATAAATATTTATGGATTTGAAAATTTTAATTATTATATAAATAATCCAATACCAAAAATTTTTCCCTTTCAAAATTTTACAACAGGCTTTAAACACACCCAGTTTTTCCAGAAATATTTCACTGTCTTACTGCAGAGTTATTGAGAGCAATCAACTCTGAGATTGGAAATAAAGCCAAAGGAAGGGTTATGCAAACATAATACTAAACTTTAAGAATATGATGGCTGGCTCTCTGTCCAGACTCTCTGGCCTCTTCCAATGTAAAATAAAAGTGCTATACGAGCCTCAGCACTGAGAAACCAGGGTCAGGATCATTTACATGAAGTGACATTTACATGTAGCACCAGAAGCACCTTTTAATACCTGCTTCAAAAAGTTAGTTTCCTTTCTTTCTATCTGAAGATATTTTAGTTCTAAAACAGATCCAAGGAGATATTTTAACTGTTATAACTTTTGAGAGAGAAAAACAGAGTTTTATAAATTGTAGTTCCAGAAGGGAAAGAAGCAATAGTGGGACCAGAGAAAATGAAAAAACCCTGCTTCATGAGGAAAAGATAGCATGGAACTAGGACATTTCTTTCTTATGAAGTTTAATCATTTTGCTCATAAGCTTCTTATTAGTATTTGGGACTTACTTTTCCTCCTAAATGTGCCTATTAGCTATAATCAAGGAAAGGTTTTGTCTAGAAGTCAAAGAGTGAGAATAAGAAAAGTAACAAGCATTGCTTCAATTTTCCCATTGAAACAGAAAGCAAGATCATCAATGACAGCAAAGACTGGGGAGTGGTTGTTAGGAGTTTTGAAAGAAAATGACTATAAAAGAGTCCTCTACAGAAGTTAGTAATGTTGTGATTGACAGACAGCAGGTCCCTTAAGGGACCTTAAGGATGAAATTATGAATTTAAGGTAAGACTGATCAGTGTGCTTATATTTTCCTCCAGCTTCTCTAAAGATGCAAGCACAGAGTAGTGTGAGTTGGATTTTTAGTGCTGTGTAGAAAAAAGAAAGAGATAAGAGAATTTCAAGTAGATGCAAATCATTAATTTTAATGACTGATTAGAATTTAAGCTGGGTAAAGAAAGGAGAAGACATCAGGGAATGAAACAGTGATGGAACTGATGAATTAAGTCCTGGTGAGATCAAAGAACTGTTGAGTTTGGGGGTATTAAAGGAAATCAAGAGATAATAGAGGTATAGATGCCAAATATTCAGATTACAGAAAAACCAGAGATACTGAAAATGATAGGATCTAGAGTAAATCATGTGAGTGAGTGGCTGAGGTATGATAGAGCTCAAGTTCATTACAGGAGAGGGATCTTTAAATGAGAAGCTAGCATCTCAGATGGATCAGCTAACATATTGAAATCCTCAAGAATAATGGTGTTGGAGTGGTGTTGGAGGAATCAACAGTACATCAGGTGGCCTGTAGGTGTCACCAACAGTGAGGAATGATATGGTCTGAAGACCAGAGAAAAAAGTTTTAACTTTAGAGGGCTGCAGGACATGAAGCAAGGTCCTTAGGGAAAAGTAAAATTTCTGTTAAAGCAAGAGGGGAAAAAAAGTAGGGAATATAGAGAATGCCTTTCAGGATGGACTGTGAATTTCAGAGGACAAGTAGAGGTCTCCAGAAGTTGGGATAAGCTGAGAAGGAAACAGTGTATGTGGTAAGGTTTGGGGAATTAGTATGAGAGATGACTGTTGACCTGGAAATACACAGCTTCTTGTGGCATCTAGCATTAGCAAGGATAAAGTTATTATGTAACTATTCAAGCAGACCCTGGTGGTGAGGCTGTTGTGTGGGAGACACCAATCAGTGGAAGAAAGAAGGTCTGAAGAACTGTGATCTTAAGTCTTAAACACAGGGCAATCTTCTTGACCCAGTTGAGAGAGTTGATATCTAGAAAAGAAAGTTGCTACTCAATGCACAAGGCCTGATCTTTACTCCTGCCAGTGGGAGAGAAGGAACCTGGGGACATAGGGTCCTAGTTCAAGTTAACTCTTGATTCCTGTTGATAGCATGGTGGTTTGAATATGAGTGTATTATTAATTATGTAAACTCTTACTGACAAAGCATAAGGGGTCTGGGGAAGCTGAGACATGCTTTCAGCTATGGGTCCCTTTCTTAACCAATTAACTATTGATTCCTGGGCCCGGCTTAGCAAAATTAAATCAGAATCCTTAGAGGTGAGACCAAGGCATCAGTACTTTTTAAAGCTTCTCAGGTAATTTTAATGTTCAGTTAAGGTTCAGAACCACTGCTGTATTCTGTTAAGTTATTCTTTCCCATAAACAATTAGACACCATGAAAGTTTTCAATGAGTACATCTTTACCTAAAACTTTTAATACTATTCACAATTTAATATAACACAGCACTTGCTTAGTGCCTATGAGGTATAGGGAACTATGCTAACTGTTGTGGGAGGACCCAAAAATAAACCAGAAATTATTTTGGCCTTAAGGAACTTATAATATAATAGGAGGATAAAGAATATTAAAATACAATACAAAAAAGGCATAAAGAAAAATATAAAGGTACAAACAAAATGTTAAGAACACAGGCTGTAAAGAAATTCGATCCTTAAGCAAATACTTCACTTAACATTATCTGATATTGAAATTCAGGTAACTACTGATAATAAAATAGGAAGAAAAAAAAAAAGTAACATATCCATTTTACCTGGCAGTACCAGTAAGCTCAATAACTTTTTGCCTTTTTAAATCGGCTTCATGCGAAGCTGCTTCACATTTCTCCTCCATTTTTCTCAACTTTTCAGCTGAACTTTCCCTTTGTTTTTGAAGTTCTTGTTCCAGTTTTGACACCTTGAAAATATAATTTTCTTTAGGTATTTTAAGTTCAGTCACATCATAATATTCTTTGGAAGAAAAATATTTACATAACTATGTAGTCTAGGCTATCATTCAATTTCAAGATGTATTATAAAACTCAAAGTACAGACGAGGAAGCAAATGTTTCAGTAAAAAAAAAAAGCAAAACTTAACTTCGTGTAGGATATTTCATTCATATACATATTTATAGAAGTAGCCACATCATAACACCAAAGTAGGATTTATAAGAATTGAACAAAATAATGGTAATGTTCCCCTTTTCTTCTTCTTCTTCTTTTTTTTTTAAAGATTTATTTATTTATTTGACAGACAGAGATCACAAGTAGGCAGAGTGGCAGGCAGAGAAAGAGAGAGAGGAAGGGAAGCAGGCTCCCGCTGAGCAGAGAGCCTGATGTGGAACTCGATCCCAGGACCCTGAGATCATGACCCAAGCCGAAGGCAGAGGCTTTAACCCACTGAGCCACCTAGGTGCCCTGGTAATGTTCCCCTTTTCATTTGAAATGTTTTCTTCGCTTGCAAACTATGTTGCTTTCCTTCTTCACAAATTGGCTCATTAGGTGAAGGATTTTTAAATTCCCAACTGCCCCTCAAAGGTTACCACTTTCACTTGCTCCTATTGATAGAAGTATTTTCCTCCTATATAAGTCAAATTGCTTCACTGGTGTTCTGAATTCATTTTCTGAGGAACTTATCCACTTTCTCAGGAATTCATACTATTGAATCACTCCTCTCTCCTTCTGGCTTCTTTATATTATCATTTAAACATGTTCAAGATATTCCCATCATAAAAAATTACCCATACCTCTACCTGTCTCCAACTACCACCACCACCCTTTCTTTCCTCCTCGTCAAAGCCCAGTTTATCAGTTTTCTATGCTTGTTGTATCATCTTCTCACTTCTCACTCATTCCTCCACCCAAAGCAAGTTAGCCATTCTACAGAAACTGAGCAAGGTCACTAACGACCTCTATGTTGATCATCCTAGTGGACATTTCTCAACCTTCATTTTACTTGATATTGATTTCAGCAACCCAAGACACCAATTATCATTCCTAATTTCATGAAATAGTTACTTTGGCTTCTATGTACCACATCTCACAGACATCTGCCCAAGTCAATCTTCCCACCTCTCACTCTGTATTTTCTTCCTAGTTAATCTCAGCCACTCCATGTTTTCAGTGAACATTTATATGACTCTGGTTATCCTTTCTGCTCTTCTTTTCTTTTTTTTTAAGATTTTTATTTATTTATTTGACAGAGAGAGAAATCACAAGTAGACAGAGAGGCAGGCAGAGAGAGAGGGGGAAGCAGTCTCCCTGCCGAGCAGAGAGCCCGACGCGGGGCTCGATCCCAGGACCCTGAGATCATGACCTGAGCCGAAGGCAGAGGCTCAACCCACTGAGCCACCAGGTGCCCCCCCGCTTTTTTAAAGATTTTATTTTTTGTTATAGAGAGAGAGAGCACGAGCACAGGCAGGCAGAGTGGTAGGCAGAGGCAGAGGGAGAAGCAGGCTCCCTGCCGAGCAAGGAGCCTGATGTGGGACTTGACCCCAGGACGCTGGAATCATGACCTGAGCCAAAGACAGCCACTTAACCAACTGAGCAACCCAGGCGTCCCTCCTTTCTGCTCTTCTAAGACCTCTCACTAAATAACTGAATACAGATTGTAAGTTATTAATATCCACACCTCTAACTCAAATTCCAAGAATAAAATTAAAATAGTACCCAGGTAAAAACTAAAGGGAATCATCAAAACCCACCCACTTTGCATTTTATTAAATAGCACACTCATAAGCAGAAAGAATCTAAAGAGTAATAATCCAAAAGGATCTAACATGGAATCTATACATAGAGAAACATGAATGAAAGGCAGAAAGAGAATATTGTATATACTGGAAAATTTACTCCAAATACTACAGAAATGTTTAGATATAAAATTCTTTAGACCCTCGGGCGCCTGGGTGGCTCAGTGGGTTAAAGCCTCTGCCTTCGGCTCAGGTCATGATCCCAGGGTCCTGGGATCAACCCCGCAACAGGCTCTCTGCTCCGCAGGGAGCCTGCTTCCTCCCCTCTCTCTGCCTGCCTCTCTGCCTACTTGTGATCTCTGTCAAATAAATAAATAAAAATTTAAAAAAAAATTCTTTAGACCCTCAAAGAAGTTAAAGAACATACAAAAATCTCTTAAAACAAAGATCAAGAAGAAAAAAAGTTTACCAAATGAAAAATACAAACGAACTGGTAGATTTGAGAGAAAAAAAAAAAAGAGAGAGAGAGGGATGGAAACCATAAAATCATTATGGAAATGAAAACAACTTCAGAAGGAATAAGAATTTTAATCAATTCTATAAGCCAGAGTCAACAACAGGGGACTTAGGAAGTGGTAATCAAACACAGATGAGATGAAGAAATGCTTCTGGATGAAGACTTTTACAAAAGGGATGGAGAGCTGCAGAACAGCTGTCTCTAAAAAAAAGAAAACTTGATATGTTTGAATGTATTGAGGGATTCTTTAGTTCCACTAGAGAGGCTGAGGATGAATTCAAAATACGTAAATAAAAAGCAATCCAAATGACAAAAAGGTGAGTGAGGTGTTGTGAGATTACAGGGAACTATCATTTTCTAATTCACACATTTTTGTGAAGTTTGAAAAAGAGAAACCACAAAAAATATGAAATATCTGTCTGAAGAATTCATATGAACTGGCAATGAATGAAAGAAAAGATTCAATTCTAGTATTAAATTCCTAGAGTTTAATTAATTTCACTGGAGTGAGAAGTTATTTTTAGAAGTCAGTAGTTTCCTCTGGGATTTTTCTTGTAGTGCACTGCTTTAGCATTTGTTTAGGGATTATCACAAGTCCTGATCCAAAAAACATGGTTGAATGAAGAAGTCTAAATTATAACTAAGTTCTACGGATGACAAAAATGTGCCCATGGTATTCAAGGTGCCGGTTAGAATATACACAAATACAACTTCACCCATTTTTCAATGTTAACACAGAATATTTCTTACAACATGAAATCTGTGAGGTAAACAGCAATATAACAAAATATTTATTATTGATTATTAAAATTTCTATTTCATACAAGTGAAACTATTTTGACCAATAAGATATACCTGTTTTTCAAGTTTAGTTTGAATGTCTTCTAGCTCTTCGTTTCTAATTGTCTCTTGTTGTAACATTTGCTGCTGTTGCTGAAGAGTGTGCTGTAGAATAACATTCTGCTCAGCAGTCTCTTGAAGACTGTGATTTTTTATCTTTAGTTCTTTCTGTAAACAGTATACCTAATAAATATATACATTTCTCATTAAAATGACATTTCAAATAAGAAGTCATAACGTCAAAGCTGTCTTCCTTATTATCTTCACTTGTCACGTTGAATGATTGTTTTTACGGCTATTGTTTGTTATACGGAAGGTCAGGTTCACTTTTCTGATGGGAGTATATGTTAGAAGGGTCTGCTTATAAGGCTGACTCCTGGCTGGTGTCTGGGAATGTGGCTTTTGAAACATTGCCTAAGTGATGAGATTGTCTTGCCTCGCTATGGCACTGAATCATGCTTTCCTTCTGGGAGTCTGTAATTTTGATCCTTGTCCTAGGGGACCAACCCACAATAAAAAACCTGAACTTTGAGTCATAAACAGACTTCTATGGGCAGAAACACCGCACACATATTGCCATATTTCACTGCTATAGAAATGAACATTTTTTATCTGAACCCCACCCAGAAAAGGGAGAGACCCCAGGAAGCCATGGATTTCTCCACACTCTATATAAAGACTCTTTTCTCCTTACTGAGAATACACTATAGCCGAAAAACTGCACACATGTTAGGTGCTATTTATTATATTATCATTGCTACTACTGCTGTTTGTAAAATAATCTCAGTAAGGTGTGTAATTATTCATCCTCCAAAAAACATATAAAGGAATGACAGTATCAACTAAGAAAGTGTATTCATTCTTGCCAAATATTTAGGACTTGAATATGCTGGCCTCCAAAGCAGCTTTATTAAGATACCTTTACAATTATTTGGAAGTACCTATTAAGAAGGAAAAAAATTCCCTTTGTCCTAGTAATCCAAATCCAATAAAACTGCCCAAAGAAATTATTTTAAAAATCATAGTAATAATGCAGCATAATATAATATATATTTTATAATATTCTTTATGTGCTCCCAAAAGAAAGGGGAAAGCTTAATAAATGATGATACATCAATCTGATTTAAAATGATGCAACCATTTAAAATAATTATTTATTTATTTTTAAAGATTTTATGTATTTGTTTGAGAGAGAATGAGAGAGAGAGAGCATAAGAGGGGGAAGGGTCAGAGGGAGAAGCGGACTCCCCACCAAGCAGGGAGCCCGATGCGGTACTTGATCCCGGGACTCCAGGATTGTGACCTGAGCCAAAGGCAGTTGCTTAACCAAATGAGCCAACCAGGTTCCCTAAAATCATAATTTAAAAGACAGTAGGAAATATAACATTTTACAAAATGAAATTAAGTGGAAAAAGCCCCCCAGAATTACATTTCACTAACATAATTATTAAAAATATACAGGCTTGGGACGCCTGGGTGGCTCAGTTGGTTAAGCAGCTGCCTTCAGCTCGGGTCATGATCCCGGCATCCTGGGATCGGGTCCCACATTGGGCTCCTTGCTCAGTGGGGAGCCTGCTTCTCCCTCTGCCTCTGCCTGCCATTCTGTCTGCCTGTGCTCGCTCTCTCTCCCTCTCTCTCTGACAAATAAATAAAATCTTTAAAAAAAATAAAATAAAATAAAATAAAAATATACAGGCAAATAGAAAACTGAAAAGTTATGTATAAGAAAGTGGATTGTAGGTAAATCTTTAAAAAATATGTTATTGTTGCTTACATAATAACTATTTTTAATATGAAGGAAAATAAAAGCCACTCCTTTAAAGCAAAAAATACCTTCCCAATAAGTATTCCAGAAGGAAGGAATTTTAAACTGCTAAGAAATAGTGGAAGATAACTCTGATTTGGTCCTTTTTTCTAATTATCCAGCAGTTGAACAGTCAGTACCACTGTCAGCAGTAAAGAGAAAGTAGCAAAAGAACAGCCAGTAGCAAAATATTCTTTGCTCATGATGAGAAGCTCTTAAGTTTTGCATTTTTTCATTATATGCTGACACTGTATACTTGGAGAACCTTAGGCAACTAACCAATTTCTAATTCTATTATTATAGTTCTTTTTTTAATGCCAATCTATTTAATTTTGTCTACATGAAAATAATTTGTTTAGTGCCAACATGTATCAGTATCACCTGTTTTCTCTGTTTTACTTGCTAGCCCCCAAGAAAACTGCAGATAACACTTAGTACAATAGTTTATTTTATACAGAACTGACTTGCCTGCAAGATAAGTTCAAGTACTATTTTTTCTTTATTGGAACATCCTGTCTTATAATTTATATAGTCAGAGAAAAAGATGGTCAAAATATTAAGATAAGATGAAACAGAAGAAAAAAAAGATAAGCCTTAGCCAAAACACCAGGAAACCATACCACATAATAACAATAAAAAATTTATTTCAGCAACCTGGTCACTGGCAAAATAATTTCAATTAAAAATATTTTCAATTAAAAATATCAACCTGCATATATTCAAAGTGGTATTTAATTGTACTACCCTTTAACTTCCACTTGACTTTAAAATATAAGAAATAGATTTTACATTATATTCTCTACTAAGTTATTATGTTCAGAGAATAATTTCCTAAGGGATTTATCATTTTATAATTAGGGTTAAGAAGAAATTAGAAATTATACTATAAAATCTACTTGACAATTAATTTTATCCAGATTATATCTAAAGGAAAAATACTCTCACAATTATTACAAAAAATAAAATATAACCCAGGGATGCCTGGGTACCCCAGTCAGTGGAGCGTCCGACTCTTGGTTTTGGCTTAGGTGGATCGTAAGATTGAGCCCGGAGTTAGGCTCCGTGCTCAGTGAGGAGTCTACCCTTCCCTCTCCACCTGCCCTTCCCTCTGCTCGTATGCTCTCTTTCTCTCCAATAAAAAATAAAATCTTTAAAATAAATAAATTAAGTAAAATATAATCCAGAAAAGTTACTGATATGATGCCAACTTCTTGAAATTTAAGTCTATCAATTTGAATAAAAATACCAATAAAATGATTGATTTTATGCAAAAAGTGTTTAGGGTTATTTACATCTATTTTGTGTTTATTTTCTCCTATCATGTTAACAATGTAATTCTGCATCATACTTTTATCACTTTTTTAAGCTTTCTAATATGGAATTAAAATATTTTCAAAATGATTCAGAACTCTAAAGTTACTATTATTTTAATCATAAATGTACTTACTTCAACATGTGGAAAATAATATTTACCTGAGGCAAAATTTCAGAGGAATATTTATTAGCTTTTTGTTGTAGATAATCAACATTTAGTTTTTACAACGGGATAACGTCTTACCGGTATGCTCTAGGGTCACCTAATTATTCAGTTAGTACGTAATTTGGAAATATTTACTGATTTAAAAGATTTTAAAACATCTTTATAACATCACCTATTACTAAAAGAATGGATGCACTATGAATCAAATCCAATTTTCTAAAACCTAGCTATAAATGATGAAAACCTCATCTGATCCAAGATAATACAGCTGACTCTTGAACAATATGGGTTTGAACTACACAGGTCTACTCATGCAGATTTTTTATAGTACAGAACTGTAAATGTATTTTCTCTCCCTTATGATTTTCTTAATCACATTTTCTTTTCCCTAGCTCACTTCATTGTAAGAAAACAGTATATAATACATATAACATAGAAAATATGTGTTAATTATCTGTGTTATGTTAAGACGTCTAATCACCAGTAGGCTATTCGTAGTTAAGTTTTTGGGAAATCCAAGGTTATATAGGGATTTTCAAGTACATGGTGGGGAGGGGGTGGTCAACCCTAACCTCTGGGTTGTTCAAGGGTCAACTGTAATTATATTTACCAGCACTGATATTAAAATTTGCTCTAAAGACAAATAACTCAAAAGTAAATAAATGTATGGGGGTGGTACTTAAGAAAACAAAATAAATAGTAATTGGATTTTTCTCTGTATCTTATCAACATATGTGCAAGAGTGAAAGATAACCTGTTAAGTAAGCCAAATACACATGCATTGAGATAATAATTCAGCAGCAATAAAAAGTACGAATCTTCCTAATTTACTTACTTATTCCTTAGTATAGTTGTACATACCTGACTACTACTTCTGATTTCTAATTCAGTTTGGGGCCTAGGTTGGTTGGTTGGTTGGTTGGTGTGTGTGTGTGTGTGTGTGTGTGTGTGTATGTATGTATTTATTTATTTATTTGGACAGAGATCACAAGTAAGCAGAGAGGCAGGCAGAGAGAGAGGTGGGGGGAAGCAGGCTCCCTGCTGAGCAGAAAGCCTGATGTGGGGCTGGATCCCAGAACTCTGGGATCAAGACCGGAGTTGAAGGCAGAGGCCTTAACCCACTGAGCCACCCAGGTGCCCCTGGAGCCTAGGTTTATACTTCCAGTTGTTTTGGAAATAATTTTAAGTTCTATTTTAGGTTAATGCTTACTATCCACCCTAGTCTCTGAGGCAGTTTCTGAGAACACAAAGTGTTAAAGCTCAACAAACTATCTTGTTACAAACACTGCTTGTCTCCAAATTCCATCTCTGCCAAGTCCATTACACTCAAGTATAGCGAAGGCTAGCAAAGAAATGTTTAAGTAATGTTTGAAGAAGTTCAAGGTAAAATAAAAATAATATTTTTATCTTAAAAAGTCAAAGTATCCATAGTTGAGGTAACTTAAATTCCATATACTGTAATAGAGAAACAAAGATGCTATAATAGCCTTCATGGAGAGACATGGAAGGAAGAAGACAGAACCAATAAAATATGAAGATTTTTCTTTTTGAATCTCTAAGCTTATATAATTACGTGATATACCTAAGACTGGAATGTTAGTCAACTACATATCTGCTTTTAGATCTATGCATGCCTTCCTTTTGCTCTGCTCCAGGTATTTGCTCTGCTCCAGGTATTCCCTTTAGTGTAATAGAAAGATTTAGCCAATGGGAGGGACCGGGAGCAGTTCTCCTCCTCGATAGCCTCAGTTTCAGTTAGACAGATTCCTTTGTGGACCTCGCTCCACTAGGCAATCCTGCTTCTGTACTATAATCATAGCATCTCTTCCTGATATTTCTCTATCCCTGATGATGGTAGTAGGTCCTTGCTTATGATAATATGAGTCATCTTACCATGATTTGTTTGCTTCTCCCCTCTTCAAGCACCTGTGTATCTAATTCTCTGCATAAAATTCTCTCCACTTTAAAGATAATAGAAAGGATTCTATTTTTCTGGTTGGAACTTTCTGATACATTCAAGTCAATTTTGCTGGACATTTTGGGGGGACTATTTTTTTTTTTAATTTTTTATGTATTTATTTGAAAGAGAGAGAGATCACAAGTAGGCAGAGAGGCAGGCAGAGAAAGAGGGGGAAGCAGGCTCCCCGCTGAGCAGAGAGCCCGATGCGGGGCTCGATCCCAGGACCCTGAGATCATGACCTGAGCCGAAGGCAGAGGCTTAACCCACTGAGCCACCCAGGCGCCCCTGGGGGACTATTTCTAAACAAGAATTTAAGGTTTAAGGCTTATATTTAATTTTAAAAACACAATTTATTTAAAATTTATATTATAAATTCTTACAAAAAAATAAAGGAATTCTTCATGGAGGTTATACAGAGGGAGAAGCAGTCTCCCTGCTCAGCGGGGAGCCCAATGGAGGGCTTGATCCCAGGACCGTGGAATCAATACCTGAGCCCAATGCAGTAGATTTAACCCACTGAGCCACCCACGCTCCCTTTAATGGAAAGGTTTTTTTTATTAGCTACTGATAAGAGATATACTTTTAAAGAATCTTAAAAATAATATCTCAAAAAGAAATCATGTGGAAAATATGCTTTTTTCACAAAAATACTAATTTACCTCTTCAGATTTCTTCTTCAGCTGTTTTTCAAACTTTTCCTTATTTCCTTCTAATTGATTCAAATGCAAGGCAAGTTCTTCCTTACAAATTTCCAGTGCTGAATCTAGTTGTCTGACCTAAGCAGGAGAAAAACAAAAAAAGAAAAATCAACTAATACTAATGAGTGCTTATTATATGTTCAATATTTTACAGGTTTATCTCCTAATGTTACCTAACTGCTTCAAAGTGAATACACAGCCCAACTCAGGATATGAAATGCTATTACAGAAAAGATTTATTTAGAAAACTAATTTAGACTAATTAGTCTAAAACTAACTTAGAAAACTAATTTTTTATTTTTATAATTTTATTGGAAATCAGAGGCTGGAGTCCTGAAGAATAAACAGAACATGAACAAGCGAAGAAGGGCATTCCAGGAAGAGGGAGTATGTCCAGAGACAAAACAATGTGAAAAGGAATGGTGTGAAGTTGGCAGTTTAGGGTACAAAGAATATTAATTAATTTTTTTAAAATATTAATTATTTATTTTAAAGATTTTATTTATTTATTTGACAGACAGAGATCACAAATAGGCAAAGAGGCAGGCAGAGAGAGAGGAGGAAGCAGGCTCCCTGCTGAGCAGAGAGCCCGATGCGGGGCTTGATCCCAGGACCCTGAGATCATGACCTGAGCTCAAAGCAGAGGCTTTAACCCACTGAGCCACCCAGGGACCCCAAAGAGTATTAATTTATAGGAGATGGGTATTTGGGAGATTAGTTTGGAAAGACAGACTGGGACCAATTGACAAGAACCTGTAGACCAAACGCCCTAAGACAATTACCTAAAATAGTAAGCAACATTTAAGCCAATTTCTTAAGTTCCCTTGATCAAGAAAATAGTAAAATGAGTACAAACTAGTGTACTGTCCTAATAATGCTATGGTGTGAATATTCTGAATGTGCTAAAGTCACAAAGAAAATGAAAATGTTTTTGTAGCTAGGAAAAAAAGAAACTGAGGAGGCAGCATTTGCTTTGAATCAGTGAAAACATTTTCAGAAAAGCGCAGCACTTTAACCTGGTTCAAGAGTTCACATAGCTGCAAATGCTTAATGCCAACTTACTATTAAATAGGAAATAAGCAAAGAGCAACACACATTCAGCAAATTTTTTTTCACAAAAATTAGTTCAAGGGCCACAATTTGCACACATGTTCCATATCCTATCTCTCAAAAAGATGTTTGTCTTGCTTCTTTCTTAGTGTAATTCTGAACTTCTCGGGGGTGGTTTTCCCCCCTTAATCCAGTAGCATTCTCGTAAGTCATCTTGAAGGTGTAAAAGAAATCTCAAGATGAGAGAAAGAGAAAAATGCTCCCTCTTGCAGACACTATTCATTCTATATCATGAAATTATATTTACGACTCTTATTTCTAAACAGAGAATCTTGAAAGACAGTTTTTGAAGCCTGTCCCTATAAGCCTGTGAATATAATCATCCAGAGCTAAAAAGTTGGTAATTTTTAATTATTATCCTTATTAATAGTTACCCTAGTAATCATTTTTAAATTAACATTTGTTTTATAAAGGTATAAATACTTATGAGTTTTCTTTATTTCTTTCATTCCTGAGGGGTTTATTCTTTTTTTTTTTAATTTTTTAAGATTTTATTTATTTATTTGACAGACAGAGATCACAAGTAGGCAGAGAGGCAGGCAGAGGGGTGAGGGGAAGCAGGCTCCCCACTGAGCAGAGAACCCAGTGGGGGGCTCGATCCCAGGACCCTGGGATCATGACCTGAGCCAAAGACAGAGGCTTTAACCCACTGAGCCACCCAGGCGCCCCCCTGAGGGGTTTATTCTTTAGTTTTCTTTCTTAGCCATGAGAATGAGCACTGGTACTTGTATCATCTCCCACACACAGGGAAAAAATAAAATCTGTGACGGTCAGAATATCACACCTGATAATTAATAAGGTAAAAACTAATTCAGGCAAGCTTTATTACTAGATGTTAAAACCACAGGTTATAGGTTGTGGAGGAGCAGTACATTCACATGGCCTGAAAGAATCACTACACATTTTATTAATTATAAAGGAAAAAAGTGTGCCATTCACATGGTGAGATCTGGCAGTAATCGATTTAAATAAAGTGCCAATATTGGCAATACCAGTAATGGGGTAGTCTGACATGTGCTTCCTGATGGGATGCAGATTGTGGTATTCTAGTTGACCCAGACTTTTCAGAAGATTCAGTATCAAGAAGAACAGAAGGAAAGAGTAAGTTCAGGGAAACCTAAAGTGCCAAATGCAACATTCTGGAAAAAGAACAAGAACAAGCTGAAGTAGTGTTTCTCAAGGTTTTAATGGGCATACAAATCAGCTGGACACCCTATGGAAATAATTCAGTAGAAGGGCAAGGATTAGGGTGAGGTAAGACAGGAGATATGGGCTCAAAATTTAAGGAGGCACTCACTCTCAGGGCCATGCCAAATGACAATGCTACACTTATACAACCCCAACAGTAAGCATCTCCCTAAATTTTACACCAGAAGCAATTTACTTCCTTCACCTCTTTTTTTTTTTTTTTAAGATTTTATTTATTATTTGACAGAGAGAGACACACAGAGAGAAGGAAGACAAGCAGGGGGAGTGGGAGAAGGAAAAGCACACTTCCCACTGAGCAGGCTCGATCCCAGGATCCCGGTAATCATGACCTGAGCCGAAGGCAGACGCTTAACAACTGAGCCACCCAGGCGCCCCCCACTTCCTTCACCTTAATCCCAATTCTGTTCGGTAGGTCTGGGGTATAGCCAAAATTCTGCAAGCCAAACAAGTTTCTAGGTGATGCTGATATTGCTAGTCCACAGACCATACTTTTAAGTAGTAACGCTATAAAGAACAATTTTAAATAACTGGAAAAATTTCAGTATGTACTGCATGTTGAATGATGTCACTGAATTAATTTTTACTTTCTCTGGTGTGTAGAGTGGTATAGTCATGTAGGAGAAGTTTCTGTTCACAGGAGATGCAGGTTTAAATATTAAAGATGTAAAGTCTTATGACATCTGCAATCTTCTCTCAGGTGGTCTGGCAAAAAGGAAATGTATAAGTATGAGATTGGGTGGGTGCGTGCACAAGTGAGTACGTGTGTGTAGGCGTGTGTGGGGAGAGATGAAATGAATGTAGCTAGAGCTTAACAGACAGTAAATCTAGGCAGAGGGCTCACAAATGTTCTCTGTCCTATCCTTTCCAATTTTTTGTAGGTTTGGAATTTTTCAAAAATAAAATTTAATTAAAATTAATAAATCAATTTTAAAAATAATAAAACCCAGAACACTCATTACTCTGTTGGATTTATTATTTGAACAAGGAGTTTGAGAGTCTAAATCTCATATGGATAAGCATTATTCACCTCATACAAACCAACTATAAATACACATGTGTATATATATGGACAAAAAGTGAATGAAATTAAAACAAAGACACTGCTTCTTGAAGCAAAGAACTTCCTCAGGAGTATAGTCTGGGGGTAACCAGGTATGGGCTCTAGTCTACCTATCTTCAACAAAAGCAGCTAAGTTCTTTTATGGTGGTGGTGTTGTTTTCCACTTATGACTTTCTTTGGGAAAAGAAAAAAATCCAGAGTGGAATATAAAAGCAAAACAAAACCAAAGAAAGTAAGTAAAAAAAACCTCTAAATCTAACAGGCACCTTCTCAATATTCTATTTAACCACACGTAATGTAATTGCTTTAATTTACTGGTTTCTTATTCCTGTTCAAAATTTTTCATCAATCTTCTAGTTTTCATTAGTCATACTTTCATAAGTGATATAACTTTAAACTGATTCTTACAACTCTCCTGCAGATAGAAAATTCAGAATTTTTATGATTTCATTAATTATATTTGTATTTCCTTTGTTAATGGTTGGATTGACTGCATTTTTTTTTAAAGATTTTATTTATTTATTTGACAGAGAGAGATCACAAGTAGACAGAGAGGCAGGCAGAGAGAGAGAGAGAGAGAGAGGGAAGCAGGCTCCCCGCTAAGCAGAGAGCCCGATGTGGGACTCGATCCCAGGACTCTGAGATCATGACCTGAGCCGAAGGCAGCAGCTTAACCCACTGAGCCACCCAGGCGCCCCAAATTGACTGCATTTTTTTAAGAACTTACCAATTGTAAGAATATATTCTTTGACTGGTTATTTTTTAAAAATTCATTTTTTAAAGTCATAATTTTTTATGCAAAGAACAAATAAAGGTATGTAGAGAGCACAGCCAAAGTCAAGAAAGAAAGGTGGTAATAACATAATCAGGAAGAAACTCGATTTCAAACTTCAGTTTTGTTAGTACAAATACCCTATATGTTAAGTTTGGTATAGCTTGAGTCATAGGAATGTTGTTTCTATGTTTCTTCTTCATTTTGGTATTTGCCCCAATAATATCAGACCTTCCTATTAAGGGAATAAAACCCAATAACATAATTTCTTCTCTTACCGATTTTAATATTTGGTTACTAACATATGGAAATAAGCTACTAGATGTGTTAGGCAGCTTAATAAAAAACAGGAGGTAAGTGGCAATATAGATTTATTTAATGAAATTATTTCATGCCTATAACTTTTATAATGATTTTTTTCATGTTAATGATGTTAGATGTTATTTTTACATGAGGAAATTAACTGACATGGCATTAAATGTTAAACGTTTTGAAGAATATTATATGAAAGCTATGGATAAACATATAATTGTGTTTACAATGGCATACTTGGTAACAAAATGGATTAAAAACAGAGTACTAGGCAAAAATAACACTGGATTTTTAAAATATTCTTTATATTCAAGCCATATATGACAGAATAAACATGCTGATAACAGCATGTTCGGACCTATTTTTAACATTAAAAATGCAAAGGAGAAATACCAAATATATAATAAGTACTAATTAAACTTTGAGTAACTGAGTATGTGCTAAACTATTATAGGTACCTCATTTCATCTCCTCCTCATACTGACCTTCCTCCAGAGTATTACTGTCTCTATTTTACTGATGAAAAACTTAAAGTTCAGAGACTTAAATGAACTAGCCAGGGTTAAAGTTAACTAGTAAGCACTCTGAAATCAGAACTGAAACTCAAGTCAACTCAGCTCCCAAACCCATTCTTTTAACCATAAAGACAGAGTAGCCATGAAACTGTATTTTATCTGGAAATTCTGATTTTACCCTTAATTAATCTTATAGCAGAACTGGTATAAAGAAGCAAAACTCAACTGCTTGTAGATTCATCTCCCCTCACTTCTTCTGTTAATTCTTTACTGGTAATGTTAATAAGTAGCTACAGTTAAAAAAAAAAAAAAATTTTTTATTAAAAAAAAAGCCTTACTTTAGGTAAAAAAAAAAAAAAAAAAAAAAGAGGTTAGATAATCCACAAAACAGATTATCAACAATCAAATAATTAAGATTATAATTCACAATGAAGAAAATATACTCACAGAAACTAAGTTCACTGACTCAGGTAAAATCTTTACTTGTGAGTTTTTATCCAAGTAATTTTTGCAACTTATAGAGAAAAGTGTAAAAGCTACAGAATGTCTCTATTAAAAAAAAGTTTTAAAAACTTAGCATACTGGCCTTGATTGTTTCTTCAGATACTTGGTTCTGTAATGTTCGCAAAGCTTCATCTTTCTTCATGTTTTCCTTTTCCATCTCCTAAAAACACACAGATTAGTAGCAAAAATAGAGTACATGTATAAATATTTTAATTTTAGCATTACTAATGGGCTGTTAAGTAACTGATTTAATTAGAATTAAAGGTAGGTTATAGAAACATAAGTATTTTCAGCGTTTAAACAGCATTTTCAGGGGCACCTGGCTGGCTCAGTCAATTAAATGTCTGCCTTTGGCTTGGGTGATGATCCTGGGGTCCTTGGATCGAGCCCTGCCTTGGGCTCCCTGCTCAATGGGAGTCTGCTTCTCCCACTCTCTCCCTACTTGTGCTCTCTGTTGCCATCTCTGTCTCTTTCAAATGACTAAATTAAAAAATGAATAAATAAATACAATAAACAGCACTTTTACAAAGACGATTTTACCCCTTTGCTTTCCGTCAGGAGTCTGTCTAGCGATTCCAGATGATGTTGTTTACATATTATATCTTGCTGCAAAATGGACATAGTCTTTTCTTGTTCTTTAAACTGTTGGTCTTTTTTCTCTAGTTGAGATTCAAGCTAAACATAAAAACACGATTTATTAACTTTCATATAATTTTTTAAAAATCATGAAACATGTTATATACAGAAAAGAATACTCCTAAGTTAAGTACAACTGAAATTAAATAGACTTTGGCATTGTGCCAAATTTCCTTCAGTTTCTCTCCCTTGAGAGAAGAAATGAAATCACATAGCCAGGTCTTATCTCTCATCAATACAGCTGACTTCCTCCCTCATCGATAGATCTGACCCTTGACCAGCACAGGTTTGAATCGTACAGGTCCACTTATATGAGGATTTTTTACAGTATAGTGCTGTAAATGTATTTTTTCTCTTGCTTACAATTTTTTAAATCACATTTTCTTTTCTCTGACTTACTTTATGGTAAGAATACACTATATAATACATGTAAAATACGAAATATGTATTAGCTAACTCTCTTATTATCACCAAGGCTTCTGGTCATGAGTAGGCTGTTAAGTTTCGGGGAGTCAAAAGTTAGATGTGAATTTTCAACTGTGTAGGAGGACCGTGCCCCTAACCCTTAAGTTGTTCAAAGGTCAAATGTACTATCCTGATATGGTCTGTATTATTCTCTGGCATGTCTCTCACACATGTTTTTTGTGTTTGCTATATATGTAGGTCTATGAATGATATGTTAATATATTTCTATTTCGAAATTTTGCACAGACAATATCAAAACACATGCAAGTTTTAGTGAGTTGATTTTTTTACTCAATATTATTTTAGATATTCATCCCTGGATAGTTATCCATGTATCCATATGTGGATCTAGTTCATTGCTTTTTCTAACAGTACAGTATTCCATTGTAACAACAAACTACAGTTTGTCTTCCCTTCTACTCAAGAACAGTTTAATATTCTATTTTTCACCATCACAACAATGTTAAATACATCCTGTGTGCATGTCCCTTTATGTATTAGAGTTTCTTTAGAATAGATCACCTAGAAGTGGACTTTCTGTAGGATAAGCACATTTCCAATTACTTTAGGTATTTCTCTTCAAAGTGCATCAAAATTTATGCTTGTATTAGAAATGTATAAGATTCTCACTCCCACAACTTCAACAATAACTGGTGTTATCAAAATTTCAAAATACCGGGACACCTGGGTGGCTCAGTGGGTTAAGCCTCTGCCTTCGGCTCAGGTCATGATCCCGGGCTCCTGGGATCGAGTCCCACATGGGGCTCCTTGCTCGGCGGGGAGCCTGCCTCTCTCTCCACCTCTGCCTGCCTCTCTGCCTACGTGTGTGCTTTCTCTCTCTCTTTCTGACAAATAAATAAAAATCTCTAAAAAAAAAATTTCAAAATACCTTTGTGAAGACAAAATAGGAAATTACTGATATGTGTATATGCATTTGTGTGCATATTATATACAAAAGTGCAAAAATTATGTGATATATATAACACTCACATAAGTATATAATACAAATATGGAAGAACAAGGTTAACTAGAAAGTATTAAAACTAAGGAACTCTGATGGGCACCTGGGTGGCTCAGTGGGTTAAGTCTCTGCCTTTGGCTCAGGTCATGATCTCAGGGTCCTGGGATCGAGCCCCACATCTGGCTCTCTGCTCAGGAGGGAGCCTGCTTCCCCCTCTCTCTCTGCCTGCCTCTCTGCCTATTTGTGACCTCTCTCTGTCAAATAAATAAATAAAATCTTTAAAAAAACAAACAAACAAAACTAAGGAACTCTGAAAACAGTCAAACAAAAATAATCAAATAACAAATTAGAGGAACAGAACAATAAAAATGGAAGAAAAGTGAACAGAGCCTAAAGGACCTCCTGGACACCATCTAGTAGACCAAAATGCAGATCATGGGAGGAGAGGAGAGGGAAAAAGGGACACTGAAAATATCTGAAGAAATAATGATTGAAAATGTCTAAATTTGGGGCACCTGGCTGGCTCATTTGGAAAAGCATGCAATTCTTGATCTCAGGATCATGAGTTTGAGTCTCATGTTGGGTGTAGAAATTACTTGAATAAAAACTTAAAAAAAAAAAAGAAAGAAAGAAAATTTCTGAATTTAATGAAAGACACAGATAAAAACATCCAAGAATCTCAACTCCAAGAAAGATGAACTCAAAAGGGAACTGCATGAAGACATACTATAATGAAAACTTTCTAAAGACAGGGGCGCCTGGGTGGCTCAGTGGGTTAAGCCTCTGCCTTCAGCTCAGGTCATGATCCCAGGGTACTGGGATTGAGCCCCGCATTGGGCTCTCTGCTCAGCAGGGAGCCTGCTTCCTCCTCTCTCTGTGCCTGCCTCTCTGCCTACTTGTGCTCTCTGTCTGTCAAATAAATAAATAAAATCTTTAAAAAAAAAAACTTTCAAAAGACAGAGAAAGAATCTTGAAATCATCAAGAGTTAAGTGAATAATCACATACAAGGATCCACAATAACATTACAAGCAGATTCTCATCAGATACTTTGGAAGCCAAAAGACAATGTGTTGAAATGTCCACCAAGAATCCTACTATCTGGCAAAACTGTCCTTCCAAAGTGAGACAGCAATTAAGACATTCCCAGATAAATAAATGCTGAGGGGGTTTTGGCCACTAGATATGCCCTACCAGAAATGCTCAAAGGAGATCTACAAAGTGAAATGAAAGGACACCAGACAATAACTCAAAGCCATATGGAGAAATAAAACTCTCAATAAAGATAACTGCAAGGATAATTACAAATCTAGTATTATTCTAACAATGGTTGTAATTACATTTTTTGTTTTCTATAGGACTTAAGAGCCTAATATATTTAATGAAGAAAAAAACAGTTAGTGTAATTTATTAGTATAAATTTGGTTTCAATTCCAAGTCTTCTTTTCTACATAATTTGAGAGACTAATACATTTGAATGAATTATTAGCTTATGTTTTAGGGCACACAATGTATAAAGAGATAATTTTGTGACATTAACATTAGAAAGGAGTGAAAATGGAGCTGTAAAAGGAACAATTTTTGTATATTACTGAAGTTAGTGTGGTACAAATTCAAATTAGAATAATAAAACTTTAGAATATTAAATGTAATACCCATTCTTTAAAAAAAAAAAGTGGGGGGGCGCCTGGGTGGCTCAGTGGGTTAAAGCCTCTGCCTTCGGCTCAGGTCATGGTCCCAGGGTCCTGGGATCAAGCCCTGCATCGGGCTCTCTGCTTAGTAGGGAGCCTGTTCCGCCTCTCTCTCTCTCTCTCTCTCTGCCTGCCTCACTGCCTATTGGTGATCTCTGGTAAAATAAATAAATAAAATCTTTCAAAAAATAAAATAAAATAAAATAAATGTAATACCCATGACAACCACACAGATAGCAATACAATATTCACAAAAGAGAATGGAAATGAGAAAATAATTTTAAAATTTCACTACAAAAAACAAACTAAATTCAAAAGGAGATAGTAATGTAGGAAAGGAGGGACAAAGAGCTATAAGGCCTATAGAAAACAAACAGCATGATGACAAAAGTCAGTCAGTCTCTATCAGTATTTACCTTAAATATAAATGGATTAAACTCTCCAATCAAAAGATAGAGACTGACAGAAGATAAAACACATGATTCAACTATAGTTGTCCCTTGAACAATGCAGAGGTTAGGGTGGTTGACTGCATGTGCAGTTGAAAGTAAGTGTATAACTTTTGTCTCCACAGAAACTTAATAGCCTACTGTTGACCAAAGCCTTACCAATAACATAAACAGATTAACACATATTTTGTATCTTACATGTATCCTATTCTTAGAATAAAATAAGCAGAGGAAAAATATCAATAAAATCATAAGAGAAAATACTGCTTTAAAAAATCCACAAATAAGTGGACCCATGTAGTTCAAACTCTTGTTGTTCAAGGGTCAACTGTATATGCTGTCTATAAGAGATTCACTTGAGATCCAAAGACACAAACATGTTGAAAGTGAAAGTATTGGGTGTATTCCATGCAAATAAGTAACCAAAAGAGAGCAGGAGTACCTACACAAATATCAGATAAGACACTTTATATCAAAAAAGGTTTTAAAAGACAAAGAAGGACATTATTTACTAGAAGGCTCAAAATAGTAGTAAGATTTAATAATTATAAAGTTTACTCATGTAATGACAGATCATCAAAATATATGAGGCAAAAACTGACAGAACTGAAGGGAAAAATAGACAGTTCTACAAAAATAGTTGGAAACTTCAATACCCCACTCATAATAATTAGAAGACCAGACAGAATATAAATACGGAAACAGAGGACTTAACATAATAAATCAACTAGATCTAACAGACATATACAGAACACTCTACCCAACAACAGAATACACATTCTTCTCAAGTGTGAAGGGGACATTTTGCAGGATAGACCACGTTAGGCCACAAATTGAAATTTCAACAAATTTAGAAGTACAGATATCATTCAAAGTATCTTCTCCAACAACAACCAGATGAAATTAGAAATGAATAATGAAAGGAAAATTTAAAAATTCACAAGATTGGGACATTAATTAAACAAAAGATTTTTAAACAACCAATGAATCAAAGAATTCACAAGGGAAATTAGAAGATAATCAGGAGACAAATGAAAACAAAAACACCACTTACCAAAACTTAAGAGACACAGCCAAGTGGAGCTAAGGGGTAATTTACAGCTATAAATGCTTACATTCAAAAACAAAAAAGATCTCAAGTCAATAATTTAACTTCAAAACATAAGGAACTAGAAAAAGAAGAATAAACCAAACCCAAAGCCAGCTGAGGGAAGGAAAGAATAAAGATTACAGTAAAAATCAACAAAATGGAGGACAGAAAACAAAGTATATCAATGAAATGAAAAGTTAGCTCTTAGAAAAAACAAAACAAAATTGATAAATCTTTAGCTGAGTAGATTAAAAAAACAGAGAAGGCAAATTATCAAAATCAGAATTGAAAGTGGGAATAGTACTGCCAATTACACAGAAACAAAAAAGGTCATAAGGGAGTACTATGAATAACTGTATGCCCACAAACTGAATAATCTAAATGAAATGGACACATTCCTATAAATCAAAACCTACAAAGACTATATAATGAAGAAATAGATCATCTGAATAATGACATAAAACTAATAAAAGGTTCAATCAGTAATCAAAATCTCCCAACAAAGAAAAGCCTTGAACCTGATAGATTCACTAGTGAATTCTACCAAACATTTAAAGAATACCAATGTTCAACTTCAGCCACATGACAACTTCTTTCAAGATATGTCTCAAGGCAAAGAAAACAAAAGCGAAAATGAACTTTTGGGACTTCATCATGATCAAAAGCTTCTGCACAGCAAAGGAAACAGTCAACAAAACAAAGCGGCAACCCATGGAATGGGAGAAGATATACACAAATCACAGTACAGACAAAGGGCTGATATCCAATGTCTATAAAGAAGTCCTCAAACTCAACATACACAAAACAGATAATCACATCAAAAAATGGGCAGAAGACATTAACAGACACTTCTCCAAAGAAGAAATACAAATGCCTAACAGACACATGAAAAAACGTTCATCATCACTAGCCCAGCGAGATTCAAATCAAAACTACATTGAGATACCACCTTACACCAGTTATAATGGCCAAAATTAACAAGACAGTAAACAACAAGTGTTGGAGAGGATGTGGAGAAAGGGGAACCCTCTTCCACTGCTGGTGGGAATGCAATTTGGTGCAGCTACTTTGGAAAACAGTGTGGAGATTCCTTAAGAAATTAAATATAGAGCTACCCTATGACCCTGCAATTGCACTATTGGGTATTTACCCCAAAGATACAGATGTAGTGAAAAGAAGAGCCATTTGTATCCCACTGTTTATAGCAGCAATGGCCACAGTCACCAAACTGTGGAAAGAACCAAGATGCCCTTCAACAGATGAATGGACAAAGAAGATATGGTCCATATACACAATGGAGTATTATGTCTCCAACAGAAAGGATGAATACCCAACTTTTGTATCAACATGGATGGGACTGGAAGAGATTATGCTGAGTGAAATAAGTCAAGCAGAGAGAGTCAACTATCACATGGTTTTGCTTATTTGTGGAGCATAAGGAATAACATGGAGGACATGGGGAGATGGGGAGGAGAAGTGACTTGGGGGAGATGAACCATATGAGCCATGAGAGGCTGGACTCTGACAAACTGAGAGTTTTGGAGGGGAAGGGGATGGGAGGAGGGTGAGCCTGGTGGTGGGTGTTATGGAGGGCACGTATTGCATGGAGCATTGGGTGTGTGGTGCATAAACAATGAATTCTGGAACAAAGAAATTTTAAAAAATAAATACAAATTTTAAAAAAATACCAATGTTCAGGGGTACCTGGGTGACTTGGCCAGTTGAGCATCTGACTAATGATTTCTGCTGAGGTCATGATCTCATGGGATCAAGCAACACATTGGGTTCTATGCTCAGTATGGAGTCTGCTTGAGATTCACTCCCTCTGCCCCTCTGCCCCTTGCTCCACATCCCTCCACACTCTCTTTCTCCCTCTGTCAAAAAAATATAAAATACCAATCTTTCTCAAACTTTTCCAAAAAGTTAAGAAAGTGAGAACACTTTTTAACTAATTCTGAGACCAGATTTAACCTGATACTAAAACCAGACACAGACACAAATGGAAAACTACAGATCAATATCCCTTATGAACATTAATGCCAAAATCAATATAATACTAATAATCCAAATTCAGCAGCCTGGTAAAAGGATTATACACTATGATCAAGTGGGATTTATTCCTGAAATGCAAGGGCGGTTCCACTTGTAAAAATCAATGTAATACACCATATAAACAGAATGAAGGAAAAAACACATGATCATCTCAACTGATGCAGAAAAGTTGACAAAACTCAACACCCTTTCATGATAAAAACACTCAACAAACTGGGAATAAAAAACAACTACCTTAACCTAATAAAAGCCATATATGGAAAACCTACAGCTAACACTGTACTGAAAATGGTGAAAAACTAAAAGCTTTTCCTCTAAGATCAAGAACAAAACAAGGATGCCCCCTTTCACTTCTATTCACCATAATATTAAAAGTTCTGGCCAGAGCAGTCAGTGTCCATTGGTAGATAAATTGATAAGCAAAATGTGGTATATACAGACAACAGAATATTATTCATTCTTATAAAAGAAGTAAATTCTGCAATATGCCACAACATGGATGAGCCTCGAGGACGTTATGCTAAGTGAATTAAGCCAGTCACAAAAAGACAAATAATGTATGATTCCACTTACATGAGGTACTTAGGGTAGTCAAAATCCTGGGGACAGAAGAAAGTAGAATGATGGTAGCTAGGCGATAGAGGAGGGGATAATGGGAGGTATTATTTAATAAGTATAGAGTTGCCGTTCTGATACTATCCCACATGTCCCTTAGGCTCTGTTCTTTTTCCAAATCTTTTTTTCTCTCTGTTGCTCAGACTGGGTAATGTTATTGCTCTATATTTCAAGCTCAGATTTTTACACACACACACACACACACACACACACACAACCACCCCAATGGAGTATTATCCAGCCACAAAAAAGAAAAACATAGTATCTTACTCTTTCAATCTGCTTTTCCATTTCTTTATGCTGTTCAAGATGAATTTTCTTGGCCTTTTCAAAAGCTAAACAAATTTTCTCATGTTCTGTATTGATATTGGTTTCTAGACTTCTTATCTTTTCATTCCTTTCCTAGACATATAAATACATTTTAAAAGAATATAACTGACAACTAGTTTTACATAAAAGTACATAAGTAAAAAAAAAAAGTACATAAGTAAAGCATTAAATTTGTCATACTCTATTCTTTGAAGAATCACAGCAGTTAATATGTAAAACTTCAAAAATATTTAAACAGTTACTGAAAAGACAAAATAGTTATTTAAAAAAACTATCAAAATAAAAAGATTTAACTATTTCAAAGTACTGAAAAGCGTATCAAAGAAGTATACCATTTCCTTCAAAATTCTACTATAATAAAAATGAGAAATTACAGATAGCAACTTGCCATATAAACCTATAAACTTAAAAATAACGAAGCAAAAAAATGAATCATCAGAAAAATTTACTAGTTTATACTTTCCTATTCGGTATACTGTACAACAATGATACTAAAACAAGCATGCTGTCACAAATCAAGTGCCTTAAAGTCACAGTGAATTTGTAGCCAAACAGTAATTTTTACCATAAGTTCCTGTTCTAATTCTGCATTTTTTGCAGCAATAGAGGAATAAGCAACTATTTTTTCTTCCAGCTGTTTCTCGAGAGTTAAAAGTTGAGAACATTTCTTTGTCATCTGAAAACATATTGAAATAAAAATAAATAAATAAATAAGTATTTCTTAAAAATTACTTTTAAAGGTAAGTGACAATTTAGAAGAAAAATAGTGAAGGGAAGACCAGATATATAAGAGATTGTTCCATCTTTTTCCTAAGTGTGGGGTAAAGATTTTAAAATGAGAAATCAGACATTTTAAAAGTACTCCTATCAAAAAAAGTATTCCTACAGACAGCATCAGCTTCAGTCTAACGTGTGAATATAACATATACACATGTAGTTCTGGTCTATAATTACCTAAGAAGGCATCCTTACTCTGTCCTCAATAGAAATGAAGATCAAATACTCACAAAACACGCATTATGCAATTTTCAAAATGTAATCCAAACATATCTGCATCAGAATCATATGCACTTGTTCACAAATGGAGATTTCTGAGCATGATTCCACACCTACTGAACCAGAATCATTAGAACAGTATCCCAAATCTGCACATTTAACAGGCATCCCAGCTCATTCTGCTGTTAGCTAACATTCAAAATCATCTATTATCACTCTTTTTCTCTAATTACATAATCCAAATTCTTGACTTGTTGAATGTTTATTAGCCATATTAACTTATACTTGGAAGAAATGATAGACTGCCATACATTAGAAGTTCCACCATATTTGAGACCTGCTAGCCACTAGAGAGTAATTTCTTACTTTTAACATAGGTTAAAACCCAAAGGTTTCCAAATATGATTTTAAAAGATTTTATAACTGATGTATAAATCTGGACTTACACATCCAACTTTGACACAACTCTACAGGACCTTTTATCTTGTCTCCACAGTTAGTACATACAAACAGCTAATTCAAGCTTACTTCACTTTCCAGTTTGCTAGAGTTTGAAGCTTTCTCCAGCAGCTCCTCTTGTATCAGCTGAAACTGACTAGTTCTGTGGGCCATGTTAACCTTCAAATCAGAATTCTCAGCTTCTATTTGCGTCAACTTAGCACGTAGTTCTTCTATTCCAGAAGCAAGTCTTTGTCTTTCTCTTTCATACTGCTTATTCACAGTATATTGATTTTGGTCTTTTATTCTTTCTGCTAACAAACATAGAAGGAAAATTGTTCTGTATAAAACTTAAAGAATAGGGGTGCCTGAGTGTCTCAGTCTGTTAAGCATCTGCCTTTGGCTTGGGTCATGATTCCAAGGTCCTGGGATCAAGCCCTGTGTCAGGCTCCCTGCTTGGTGGATAGCCTGCTTCTCCCTCCACCCCTCCTTGCGTGCTCTCACTCATTCGCTCTTGCTCTATCCCAAATAAAGTCTTTTAAAAAAAAAATCTTAAAAATCTTTTAAAAACAAGCTTAAATAAAAACCTATTAAATGTTGAAAGATTTAGTCATAAACAAAGTTTAATTTCTCATCTAAAAAATACTAAAGGGAATGGAGAATGAGACATACATTAAGGAAAATATAATGAAGGAACATAGTAAGTAAGGTACTTTCTATATTTAAGTACATAACAAAGTAGGAATAAATTCTTCTGAATCACTCACTTTCCTAGACTATTCCTTTATAACAGAAAGAGTCCTTCTCTCACTCTAAAAGTACCCCCCCCCTTTTTTGATAGAAAACATTGTTTTTAAAAAATCATTATTTTAAAAAAAAGCTGTGCTGTTTCCTTAAACTGAAGTTGACCATAAAATTTCTCTGGATAACCTGGAATCATTAAGAATATTTTGATATAGTGGCACCTGGATGGCACAGTTGGTTAAGCATCTGCCTCCTGCTCGGGTCATGATCTCAGGGTCCTGGGACAGAGCCCTGAATCAGGCTCCCTGCTCAGCAAGGGAATCTGCTTCTCCCTTTCCCTTCTGCCCTTCCCCCTACTTGTGCTTTTTCTCTCTCTCTCATGTTCTCTCTCACTCTCAAATAAATAAATAATCTTTTTCAAAAAAAGAGTATTTTGGGGGCGCCTGGGTGGCTCAGTGGGTTAAAGCCTCTGCCTTCAGCTCAGATCATGATCCCAGGTCCTGGGATCAAGCCCCGCATCAGGCTCCCTGCTCAGGGAGCCTGCTTCCTCCTCTCTCTCTGTCTGCCTCTCTGCCTACCTGTGATCTCTGTCAAATAAATAAATAAAATCTTAAAAAAAAAAAAAAGAGTATTTTCATGTACTATATACAGATGGAAGTTCAAAAACTGAAGAACGGAATTCTTCCTAGTCTAAACTAGCTCACAAGAATTCAGTGATGCTTTCTGAAACTACTGAGGGTTAGCAAAAATAGTTGTTCGAACACATCCTTTCTCCACTACACACATATAAACCTACTCCCACCCAAAAGTGACTGAGTTTTCAGGAGTGCCTTAAAGATGCATAATCTAGGGGCGCCTGGGTGGCTCAGAGGGTTAAAGCCTCTGCCTTCAGCTCAGGTCATGATCCCAGGGTCCTGGGATCGAGCCCCGCATCGGGCTCTTTCCTTGGTAGGGAGCCTGCTTCCTCCTCTCTCTATCTGCCTGCCTCTCTGCCTACTTGTGATTTCTCTCTGTTGAATAAATAAATAAATAAAATCTTAAAAAAAAAAAAAAGATGCATAATCTATATGGCATGAAAACACACATAGGTATGGAAATGTGTAGAGATGTATTATGCTTTCAAGGGTTGCTTAAGCAGCCACCTCCTACCAATTCTCCGTGTTCCTAATAGTTCACAATTTAGGCTATCTATCTATCATTAGCTCTATACTCTTTGATGTAAGAAAATTTATAACATATTTGTTAACACCGCTAATAACTAGCATGCACTCTGCTAATAATCTCATTACTCATCCCTATTCTCTCTAATCACTTAGCTATCTAATTTTCTCTGCTGTCATTTTTTCTGCCACCAGTCAATTATACTTGAAGATAGACCATGATAAGTTAAAGATACATAAGTTAACCACTAGGGCAACCATTAAGAAAATAAAGAGGTATAGTTAGCTAATCAATAGTGGAGACAAGAATGGAATACTAAAATATAACTGATCCAAAAGAAAGCAGGAAAGATGAATAAAGGTCATTAAAATAAATACCAAACAAGCACCAAGATGACAGTTTTTCTCTCCCTCTCCCTTTGCCCCCCGACAAGGGGGCAAAAGTATTATTATTTAAATAAATAAAAAGGTATTTGATGTAAATTTTACTTACAATAAAGTGCACCCATTTAAAATAAAAAGTTCGATAGACTTGGTCAAATGTTTGTTTTTTTCATAGGCTTATATCTTTGTAACTATCACCACAATCAAGACATCTAACATTTCCATCAGAAACAAATGGCCAACAGACAGACATATGAGAAAGTGTTCAACATCACTAAGTATCAGGGAAATGCAAATCAAAACCTCAGTAAGATATCACCTCATACCTGCCAGAACAGCTAAAATAAAAAACACATTTGGAAAACAAAATGGAAGTTCCTTAAAAAAACAAAAACAGAGGTGTGCCTGGGTGGCTCAGTGGGTTAAAGCCTCTGCCTTTGGCTCAGGTCATGATCCCAGGGCCCTGGGATCGTGGGCTCTCTGCTCAGCGGGGAGCCTGCCTGCCCCCTACTGCTTCCTCTCTGCCTACTTGTGATCTCTGTCTGTCAAATAAATAAATAAATTATTTAAAAGAAAAACAAGCAGAATTATTATATGATTTAGTAATTTTACTACTGGGTGTATACCCAAAGAAAATGAAAACACTAACTCAAAAAGATATATGCACCCCTATATTTATTCCATTATTATTTACAATAGCCAAGATATGGAAGCAACCTAAGTGTCCACCGATAAATGAATGAATAAAGAAGACAGGGTGTGGGCGTGTATAAAATGGAACATTACATTCAGTAATATCAACCTTAAAAGTAGTATCAGCCACAAAAAATAAAAAATGAGATTTTGCCATTTGCTACATAAATGGACCTAGAGGATATAATGCTAACTGAAATAAGTCAGAGAAAGACAAATACTGTTTGATTTCACTCACATGTGGAATTTAAGAAACAAATGAACAAAGAAAAAAAACACAAAAATACACTCATATATGGAGAACAAATTGGTTGTTGCCAGAGGGTGGAGAAAGAGTTAAACAGATAAAAAGGATTAAGAGTACACTTATCATGATGAATGCTGAGTAATGTATACAAATGTTGAATTACTATATTGTATACCTGAAGCTAACATAACATGCTATGTTAATTATACTTTAATTTTTTAAAAAACCCCAAAACCAGAAAAACATTCCCACAGGATCCCTTGTACTCCTTTCTCAGTTTCCTTCGGGTTTAATTGTCTTTAATTTTTCTTACAGTGAAAGCTTAGATTATTGATTTTAAACATTTCTTCTTTTCTAATCTAAGTGTTTTAAGGTATAAAATTATCTTTAGGCAATGCTATAGCTGACACTAATTTTTATATGTTGTATTTTCATTTTATTTACTTCAAAATATCCTATAATATCTTTTGTGTGTGTTTATTTCCAAATATTTAGAATTTTCTGGCTATTTTTTTGTTATTAGTAGTGGACACTAGGTTGTATGAATGAAACTGATTTCAGTTTTTTTTTTTAATTTCAGTTTTTTAAAATGTTTTGAGACTTCACTTATTAGCCAGCATATGGAGTATCTTAATGCATATTTTAAATACATTTGAGAAAATTGTATATTCTGGTGATTACTGTATAGAGTGAATGTCAATCATATTAAACTTCTTTATAGTACTTAAGTCTTCTTTCCTCTTAATGATTTTTTTTTTAAGATTTTATTTATTTATTTGACAGAGAAAGATCACAAGTAGGCAGAGCAGCAGGCAGAGAGAGGGGGAAGCAGTCTCCTTGCCGAGCAGAGAGCCTGATGCGGGACTTGATCCCAGGACCCTGAGATCAAGACCTGAGCGGAAGGCAGTGGCCCAACCCACCGAGGGACCCAGGCGCCCCCTCTTAATGATTTTCTGTGTACTTGTTCTATCAATTACTGAGAAAGTACTTTTGAAATCTTCAGATATATATGTGGGTTTGTTAATTTATCCTTCTAATTCTGTCAGCCTCAACTCTGTCCAAAATTAATATAATTATCCCAGCTATTTTTTATTGATATATAATTGACATATAACACTATATTCGTTTCAGGTGTATGACATAATGACTTGGTATGTGTATGTATTTTGAAATGATTACTACAATAAGTCTATTTAATATACATCATCACATATAGTTACAAATTTTAGGGAGGGATGACAGCTTTTAAGATCTTCTCTCCCACATAAACAATGAATCCTGGAACACTGCATCAAAAACGAATGACTAACCTAACACAATAAAGAAAAAGAAAGATATTCTCTCCCAACAATTTTTATACATCTAATACAGTATTAGTAACTATAGTCATCATGCTATATATTACATCTCCAGGACTTGTTTATATTATAACTGAAAGTTTGTACCTTTTGACCACATTTACCCATTTTCCCCACCCCTAAGTCCTGCCTCTGGCAAACACCAGTTTGTCCTCTATGAGTTTGTTTTGTTGTTTTGACATTTCATACATAAGCAAGATCATGCAGTATTTGTCTTTCTCTGCCTGACTTCTTGTTTAACCTAATGTCCTCAAGGTTCATCCATGTTGTCACAAGTGGCAGGGTGTCTTTTTTATGGCTGAATAATATTTCAGCATGTATGCGTACATTATATACATATATATAGTATAGGAGTGCAGACATCTTTTCAAGATAGTGATTTCAGGGGGTTGGCAGGATGGAGTAACCAGATGATGGGTATTAAGGAGGGCACGTGTTGTGATGAGCACTGTATGTTGTATGCAACTAATGAATCATTGAACACTACATCAAAAACTAATGATGTATTGTATGATGGCTAACTGAACATAATAAAAAAAAGATAGTGATTTCAGATGTCAGATAAATACTCCGAACTGGAATTACTGTAACATATGGTAGTCCTATTTTTAATTTTTTGAGGAACTTCCATACTGTTTTCCAAAGCAACTGTACAATTTATGTGATCACCAACAGGGCACAAGGGTTCCCTTTTTTTCACATCCTCACCAATGTTTATTTCTTGCCTTTTTGATGATAGCCATTCTGACAGATGTGGGGTGATATGTCATTGTGGCTTTGATTGCATTTCCCTGATGATTAGTGCTGTTGAGCATCTTTTCATGTGTTTGTTTACCATGTGGATGTCTTCTTTGGAAGAATGTCTATGTAGATCCTCTGCCCATTTAAAAAAAATATTTTAGGGACGCCTGGGTGGCTCAGTTGGTTAAAAAAAATATTTTATTTATCTGAGAGAGAGAGAGAGCTAGGGGAGGAGCAGAGGGTGAGGACAAGCGGACTTTACACTGAGTGCCGAACCCAACTCGGGGCTTAATTACACGACCCTGAGATCAAGACTGAGTTGAAATCAAGAGTCAGATACTCAAATGACTGAGCCAGGTACCCCGCCTCTGCCCATTTTTTTAAATCAAATTTTTTTTGTATTGAGTTGCAGGAATTTTTATGTATGGACATTAACGCCTTATCAGATATGATTTACAAATGCTTTCTCCCACTTTATAGGTTGTCTTTTCTTTTGCTGGAGAGAAGCTTTTTAGTTTGATATAGTCCCACTTATTTTTACTTTCTTGTTTTTGATTTTGGTCTCAAGTCCAAAAGAAAATCATCATCAAGACTGGTATCTGGGAGCTTTTTTCTTACATTTTCTTCTAGTTTTACGGCTTCAGGTTTTATATTCATCCATAATCCATTTTGAGTTGATTTTTGTCTGTAAGATAGTAATCTACTTTCATTCTTTTGCATTTGGCTATTCAGTTTTCCTGACAGTGTTTATTGAAAAGGTTATCCTTATCCTATCGAATGTTCTTATCTCCTTTGTTGTAAATTAATTGACTCCTTATGCACAGGTTTTGTGGTCTCTATGCTGTTCCATTGATCTATGTCTGTTTTTAATGTCAATACCACACTGTTTTAAATATTATAGCTTTGTAATATAGTTTGAAATTAGGAAATGTGATGCCTCCAGCTTTGTTTTACTTTTTCAAAATTACTTTGGCTATTGGGTCTTTTGTGGTCCCCTACAAATTTTAGGATCGTTCTCCTGTTCTATAAAAAATGTCATTGGAGGGCGCCTGAGTGGGTCAGTCAGTAAAGCATCTGCCTTCAGCCCAGGTCATGATCCCAGGGTCCTGGGATTGAGTCCTGCATGGGGATCCCTACTCAGTGGGGAATCTGCTTCTCCCTCTCTCTTTGCCCCTCCCCTCTGCTTGTGTGTGCTCTCTCTTTATTGCTCAGATAAATAACTCTTTAAAAAAATATATATATAATGGGGTTATTATGGACATTGGGGAGGGTATGTGCTATGATGAGTGTGGGGAAGTGTGTAAACCTGGCGATTCACAGACCTGTACCCCTGGGGAAAAAAAAATATATGTTTATAAAAAAAAAAAAAAAAAAAAATATATATATATATATATATCTTTGTATTTAAAAAAAAAAAAAAAAGGGCAGGGCACCTGTGTGACTCAGAGGGTTAAGCCTCTGTCTTCGGCTCAGGTCATGATCTCAGGGTCCTGAGATCGAGCCCCAAACTGGGCTCTCTGCTCAGCGGGGAGCCTGCTTCCCCCTCTCTACATGCCTCTCTGCCTACTTGTGATCTCTCTCTCTCAAATAAATAAAATCTTAAAAAAAATAATGGAAATTAAAAAAAATTTTTTTTTAAATGCCACTGGAAGGAGCTAGAAAAAGAACAACAAACAAAGCCTACAGCCAGGAGAAGGGAAATAAAGATTAGAGCAGAAATAAATGATATAGAAACAAACAAAAAAAGAAACCCAGAATAGATCAATGAAACCAGGAACTGGTTCTTTGAAAGAATAAAACTGATAAACCCTGAGTCAGATTTATCAAAACGAAAAGAGAAGGGGACCTGGGTGGTTCTGTCAGTTAAGCATCTGCCTTTGGCTCAGATCATGATGTTGGGGTCCTAGGGCTGAGCCCTGCGTTAGGCTCCCTGCTTAGCGGGGAGTCTGCTTCATGCTCTCCCTCTGCCCCTACCCTGCTCATGCTTTCACTCACTCTGTCTCTCTCAAATTAATAAATAAAAAAATCTTTAAAAAAAAAAAAAAAAAAGAGAGAGAGAAAGGCCTCAGATAGATAAAATCATGAATGAGGAGAGATCAGACCAACCCAAACTAGTACTAATAGATTATCGATAATAGAAACTAAACTTTTGATAATCCATTTCTCTAAAAAATTATCATAAAAGACTTAGAATTAAGGGGCACCTCGGTGGTTCAGTCAGTTAAATGTCTGCCTCAGGTAATGATCCCAGGGTCCCTGCTCAGTGGGGAGCCTGATTCTCCCTCTGCCCCTCCCCCTGCTCATGCTTATGCTTCCCCCTCCCCCAAAATAAATAAAATCTTAAAAAAAAAAAAGACCTAGAATTTAAAAATTCAATTTAATATACTCACCTAATTGACTACCTCCTAGTTTTACCGGTTCTGTCTCTAAACTATTTAATTTGCCACTTTCTTGTTTGTCATTACAAGCAATAAGACTCTTAGATAACTGATTTGCAGCCAGGTTTGCCTGAAGCTTTTGAATTTCTGCCTCCTTTATTGCAAGCTTAATCCTGGAACAAAATAAAATACACCAAAAATTATTAGAAAGATCCTATATAAATATCTCATATTATTTTTACCTCAAGTTAGCAAAATTTTAAAACTCTGGTATTTGTTAACTATTGGGCAGGATGTAGAAATTCTTACATACCATTGATTGGAATCTAAACTGGTTCAGCTATTTTAAAAACTTGATAGTACCCAGTAAAACTAAAAATATACACACACCATGACCCAGCAATTTCCCTTTTGGAGAAACTCTGGTATATTGTAAAAGGAAACATGTAAATGTATGTAATTTGGAGCACTGTTTATAATGGAAGAAAAGTAGAAACAAGGTAGCTATCAATAAATAGTGATACAGTTATAGGATAGACTCCTATATAGTTAGCTACTAAAACTAACCATACTAATCCACCCATTGATTAGTCACTCTAACTACCTACCTCAACATTTATGAATTTAAAAAATAATGCTGAGTGAAAAAGCAAAATTACAAACAATATAAGCACATAGTATATTTTCCATGTATGGATGTAAACATATACAAAATGGACTGAAGAATATACACACAATTCAGGATGGTGGACACTTAGGAGGAGAATGAGACTAGTGAGAAGGAACATCCCATAATGTTTTTACTTTTTACTTAAACACATTTGGAAAAAAAATCACAGAATGTTAGGAAGAATCAATTATTAGTTGTGGAAACATAGATATTTGTTATAATACTTGCAGAACTTTTCTGTACATTTTTCATCTTCTCAAAGATTAAATTAATTACCAATTTTTAAAAAACACAGTATTTGCTGCAACTTCAGCATCTGAAAACCATACCTCAATTCTGAAATCACCATTTTATTTGCCTCACAGCAGCCAATGTAACTGTCTTCCTTGTTTGAGAAACTACTCATCTGGTGTTTAGAAAGAGATGACTTAAAACCAAACATCTCTCTTTTTAACTGCAAATTTAAAAACAAACACATGTAAACTTACATCGATGATGTAATTGTTTTATTATTCAGAACTCCAATTTTTAAAAATTATGTGAATTAACAGAAATAACCTAAGGTCCATCAACAGGATAAATGTATAAATAACATTATGAAATGTTAAGACAGCAGGAAAACCACAAGAGTTAAAATAAACCTGCGTTATATAAATCATTTGGAGACATCATATAACACAACATTAAGTGAAAAACAACAGAGGCACATGTAGTATTTTCCAAAAATATATTAGTAATATATGTTTTTCTAGAGCATTCATATGTGGCAACATTTAAAATATAGACAAGAAGGATACACATGAGTCTCAGAATAGTGCCTACCTCTGAGGACAGATTGAAAGGACTGGGATCTAACACAGTACATAAAGAGGCTTTATTTATCTGTAAAATTTTATTCTAAAAAAATCTGAAGTGGATATCACAATATATTACTCAGATATAACAAGTGGTATGTGCTTTTCTGTATGTTTGAACAATAGAGAATTTTTTTAATTAGTTGTGAAAGGGGGTAAGATAAGCACTTAATGACTACTACCTTCAAATTATAACCAAACCAAGCTTCCTAGAAATGAAAAAAATTCACATTTCCAAACCATGTTATTCCTAGCATTGCATGAAACACAGAATCAAACATATATTACCACACCAACTTCAGAATCACATAGAAAGTAATTCTTGATATTGAGTCAAATGAGAATATCAGTTTAAAATGAATGCTATTGGGCTCCTGGGTGGCTCAGTCAGTTAAGCATCTGTCTTCAGCTCATGTCATGAACCCAGGGTTCTGGGGTGGAGACTTGCATCGGGCTCCCTGCTTAGCAGGGAGCCTGCTTCTCCTTCCCCCTCTGCTCCTATCACCATTTATTCTCTCTCTCTCCCTTTTAAATAAAATCTTTTTAAAAATTTTAAAAATGAATACAATCTGCATCTAATTACTGTCAAATTTCAAAAGTAAACAGTACATTAAAAACCTAAGCAAAAAATCAGGATCCTAGAAAAGCAGATATAGCAAAGGTCTGGGAACCAAGAATCATGCATTCTAGTTTTAATTCTGCTACCAGCTAGTTGTAAAAGTTACTTACTTCCTTGGTGCTACATTTCTTCAGCAATAAAATGAAGGTGTTGAATCAAACGATTTCTAAGGCCCCTTTCAGCTTATTAATTCCATGGTAGTTTAAAACTGGTAAGAGTCTACCACCCCTTCAAATATATTTGAAACCATCCATGAGATATTTATCTATGCTCTTTTCCTGATCTCACCCTTATCATACATGTAACAATAATGGGTTTCTGATACAGTTATATTTACTTTCTTCCTAATCTCACTTATATATATGGTCATATATATAACTGAAAGAGAAATGGTGGTCAGCTGCTATCATAAAAACATTTTAATGCTCTGTGCATTCTAATAAGTACATGAAAAGTCACACAACATCATTAGTCATTAGAAAAATGCAAATTAAAACTACAATGTGATACCACTTTATACCCACTAAGATGGCTATAATCTAAAAGACAGATAATAAAAGATGTTGGCTAGGATGCAGAAAAACAGGAACAATCATACATTCCTGGTGAGAACCTAAAATGGTACAGCTACTCTGGAAAATAGTTTAACATAACTTTACCATATGACACAGAAAGTCCACTCCTAGGTAACTATCTACTCAAAAGAAATGAAAAGTATGTCCACAAAACCAGTTGTATGCAAATGTTCACAGTAGCATTGTTCTTAATAGTCCAAAAGTGGAAGCAATCCAAATGTCCATCTAATGGTGAATAGATAAATAAAATGTGGTATATCCATACAATGGACTAATATTCAACAATAAAAGGAAATGAAGTACTGATATGTGTCACAATGGATGATCCCCCCAAATTTTTAGAATGCAAGAAAGCATATATTGTATAATTTTATTTATATGAAATGCTCAGAAAAGACAAATCTCTAGAGACAAGAAAGTAGATTAGTGGTTCCCTAGGTGTGGGTGTGGGTACAGGGACTAATTACAAATAAGCACAAAGATCTTTTGGGGATGATAAAAATGTTTGAAAACTAGATCGTGGTATTGTTCCAAAACTTGCAAGGTTACTAAAAATAACTGAACGGTACAATTAAAATTAGTGAATTCTATGCTATGTCAATGTTACTTAAATGAAGCTATTTTTTAAAAATCCTGTGTCAGGATGCCTGGGTGGCTCAATCAGTTAAGTCGCTGCCTTCAGCTCAGGTCATAATCCCAGGGTCCTGGGATGAAGCCCCACGTCAGGCTCCCTGCTCGGTGGAGAGCCTGCTTCTCCCTCTCCCTCTGCCTGCTGCTATGCCTACTTGTGCTCTCTGTCAAAAAAAAAAAAAAAATCCTGTGTCACTCTTACATATGGCACCTCAGAGACTAAGACAGGGTGGAAGAGTAGAAAGGTTAAGTGCAGAAAAAGAAAAGGGATTAGACAGAAAAGAAATTCATGATTGAAAGTACAGATATGTAAAAATACGTACAGACATACAGACATACATATATTTATACTAATAAAGCAACCACAAGATGACCTCTCATAAAGCAGTTCAGTAAAATTTTCTTTTTCACCCATACTTACTGGCAACTGGGACATAACTTTTTCCAAACTTCTCAGTTCCACCCTTGAACTTTCTATTTCTTGTTGACACAAATCCAGTCGCTCATTCTGTGCTACAACACGGACCTTTAATTCTCGGTTTTCATTCATTAGAGAAAATTTTTCTCTAAGTACTTCTTCTTTGTCCTCTAATTCACTCTCTAGCTTCAGAATACTTTGCCTAGACTCAGTCAGTTGTGCCATAACTTCTGAATTTTTCACTGCCATGAGCCTTAATTTTTCTTTTCCATTGTTATTTTCTTCTTTTAACTGCCTATGAAGAAACAAGCATAAAAATGAGAATAAAATATACATCTATTTTCAGTAGTCATATTTAGTTAATCTCACTTTTAAAATATTTTAAAGCTTTAATTCTAGAACAGTAACACCAGCTCACTTTACTGAGTGCCTACTTTCTGCATGCCAGGCACCCACAACTTTATGTGGGCAGCACTATTATCATTCTCTGTTTACAGAGAAGGAAACCAAGCTATTGAAAGGTTATGAAACTTTGCCAGTATCTCACAGTAAATAGGAGGGCAGGATAATTCCATTATCTTCAAAGCATTTCTGCTCCCTTTTGAAAAGTGTAAGACAGGAGATCTAACTCCAAAATCCTAATTCAACATATTGCAACATCAAGAAAGTTTTAAATTATATAAGGAAAAATCATGAACTTAGCCATAACTCTAAGAAAAGTAATCAACCATTAACTGAATACTAAACAGTATTATTTTCAAATATATATACCCACACACACCCACATACACCTATAAAAACATGTCAAACATTAGAACAATCTAATCTTTAGAACTGTTGGTGAATGGATTAATGGATATAAAAATGTGGTACATCCATACAGCAGAATAATATTCTACAATAAAAAATTAAATACTGAAATACATCACAATGCATTCATAGTTTCCTATTTCACATTTTTAATGTCTCTGAAATGAGAAGTCTGGACTAAGTAATTCATCATGATTTGAAGAACACATATTTTACTAACAAGCTAATATCACACCACAAGGACAGTATGTGTGTGTTCATTTTCTCTAAATATATGCAAAACAAATATCTTGATCATATTACGCTGTATTTACAAGTATATTAATATAAATATATTTTATCGGTTAAGAATCCTAACGTTAGCACCCGAATGTTTATAGCAGCAATGTCCACAATACACAAACTATGAAAAGAACCTAGATGTCCATCAACAGATGAATGGATAAAGAAGATGTGGTATATATATATACAATGGAATATTATACAGCCATCAAAATAAATGAAATCTTGCCATTTGCGACAACGTGTGTGGAACTAGAGGGTATTATGCTTAGCGAAATAAGTCAATCGGAGAAAGACAACTATCATATGATTTCCTTATATGAGGAAGTGGAGATGTAACGTGGGGGGTTTGGGGGGTAGGAAAAGAATAAATGAAACAAGATGGGATCAGGAGGGAGACAAACCATAAGAGACTCTTAATCTCACAAAACAAACTGAGGGTTGCAGGGCGGCGGGGAGGGGGAGAAGGTGGTGGGGTTATGGACATTGGGGAGGGTATGTGCTATGGAGAGTGCTGTGAAGTGTGTAAACCTGGTGATTCATAGACCTGCACCCTTGGGGCTAGTAATACATTGTATGTTTATAAAAAAATATTAAAAAAATTATTTAGTAAAAAAAAGGAATCCTAACGTTACCTAGAAAACAATTTCAGTCACGGAACCTATCTTTCTATGCAATTTAAGGCCATAATTACAATATACAAATGTTCTATAATGTTTCAGTTCTTTTTTCATTTCCACACAAAAATCCTTTTTCCACAACAGGATACTGTACCTTAATTTCTCTTTTAGAATTTCAAGGTCACTTTTATATAGACCACACTTTTCCTGTAGCCTTTTATTTTCTTTTTCACAGCTAATTAGATTTTTCTCTAATATTTCTTCTTCAACTTGAACCTAAAACAATAATTCATTTTAAGTGGACATACTACTGTGGTCATAAATTTTAGGTGTTCCAAAATAAAAAATAGTGATTTCAGAAATAAACATGAGAGTACAGTTCATATTCCACATGTTTAAGGCCCTGGTCTTGTAGTGAAAGGAGCAAAGTAAACTTCCTCAGCAATAACAAAGGGCAGGGAGGGGGACTCGACCATCTGTCCAGAAATGGTTAAGGCCTGTGACAGAGGGGCAATGGTACTACCATCTGAAAGTAGGTGTTCTGGCCTCACAGGCCACAGGCAAGCAACTCATGTAGGGATGCTACATCGAGTTAGTAAAGGCAAACTATACTGCAAATGTTCCGGAGAAATAATTCTTGAAATTTTAGCCACTGAATACCCCCACTGAAATCAAATCTAAAACAGGTAAAAGTAAAGCGCCCAGGGGGTGCCTGGGTGGCCTCAGTTAAGCATCTGCCTTTAGTTCAGGTCATGATCCCAGGATCCTGAGATCCAGCCCCACATCCAGCTGCCTGCTCAGCGGGAATCTGCTTCTCCATTTGCCCTTCCCCACTGCTCATTCTCTCAATCTCTTTCTCTCTCTCTCTCAAAGACATAAATAAAATCTTAAAAAAAAAAAAAAAGTCAAGCACCCAGGTTGGAGTGGTGGGAGAAGAGGACTCAAGAGATCTGCCTCCACTTTCTGTTACATCTACGTTACTATAGGGCTCTGCTGACCAGAGTTTGAAACTGAGAATCCTAAGGAGAAGTGTAAAAAAGCATCTTATGTTTTTCCTCTCTTTCCTGTATAAAGTCCTCCCTCTCCCTGAGGATATTCCCCCAGCAGTGAGTATTCTACCTCCTTCATATTACCTTATAAAAAATCCCTTCTATGCTATTGCATTCCCATGGGGATCTTCTCCAAGGCTTTCAAAACAGTGACCAGATTAATTTACACTTCAGACCAGTACCTAATAAGATCCTGATTTTTAAATTTTTTTTCATTGAAATATAGTTGGGCACCTGGGTGGCTCAGTGGGTTGGGTCTCTGCCTTTGGCTCAGGTCATGATCCCAGGGTCCTGGGATCGAGTCCCACATCGGGGTCTCTGCTCAGTGGGGAGCCTGCCCCCCGCCCCGTCTCTCTGCCTACTTGTGATTTCTCTCTGTCAAATAAATAAATAAAATCTTAAAAAAAAAGAGAAAGAAATATAGTTGACACACAATGTTACATTAGTTTCAGATGTACAACAGAGTGATTCTGCAACTCTATGCATTATGCTATGCTCACCACAAGTGTAGTTCCCATCTGACACCACACAACACTATTATAATACCATTGACTCTATTTCCTATACTGTACCTTTCATCCCTGTGACTTATGCATTCCCTAACTGGAAGCCTGTACCTTCTACAGGTATAGCCATTTTGCCCTCCCCCATCCTCCTTCCCTTTCTGTGAACCATCAGTTTGTTTTCTTTATTTATAGGTCTGATATTGCTTTTTGTTCATTTTTTTTAGATTCCACATATAAGTGAAATCATATGGTATTTGTCCTTATTAAATTTTTATTTTTTAAAAAGATTTTATTTATTCATTTAAGAGAAAGAAAGAGAGTAAAGAGAGAGCACAAAAGCAGGGTGGGGGTAGAGGAAGAAGCAGACCCCCTGCAGAGTGGGGAGCCTGATGCTGGGCTCCATCCCAGGACCCTGAGATCATGACCTGAGCTAACCAACTGAGCCACCCGGGCACCCCTCTTATTAAATTATTTTTTAAAGATTTTATTTATTTATTTGACAGAGAGAGAGAGAGAGCAAGCACAAGTAGGCAGAACAGCAGTCAGAGGGAGTGGGAGAAGCAGGCCCCCCACTGAGCAAGGAGCCTGATGTGGGGCTTGATGCCAAGATCCTGGGATCGTGACCTGAGCCGAAGGCAGATGCTTAACCAACTGAGCCACCCAAACACCCCCTTATTAAAATTTTAATATTTCTTCTGTCTACCTTTCTTTGAACAGAATCATTAACTTCCTCTGTTTCAATTATTAAATCAAAATGAAAGTCTCTCACATTAGTATCTATTGACCAGACCTCCCTTCTGAGCTCAACATCTGAATATTCAGCATGTGGCCTTCCTCCAAACAGGTTTTATAATCCATGTGGCATTACTTGAAAATATTAAATGAATATAATAAAGTCACTATACTACTATGCAGAATCTGTTCAAGGAATGTTCCCTCTGAGAAGCAGAAGACAGACCCTCCCAGGGTGGCAGGTCCAGGGAGACCAATTAAAGGCTCTACAATCTACTCTGCCTTCATTTCCATCAAGGGGATGGGAACAAATTTTCTGTTTCTACATCTACGGCTCCAACTTCTGCTCACTCACCTCATCCTTCTCTGCATTTTTTTTTTTTCCTTTCTCTATGTATTGTTTTTCCCCTTGTCTCCATTCTTTTCCCACTTTGGATAAAAAAAGATTTTTGCTCATTAAAAGAAGATTATGAACACCAGCCTTAACCAGTATTTTTAAATTCTTTATTCCAACAATTTTATTATGAGGTCATAAAAATTATTCCCTGCTTTAATTCTAAGTAAACATATTCTATTTATGTCTGCTTTTATATTTAGATATAGACAGTAACACAAAACACTGAATTGGCACATCTGCTTCTTACCTTTTCCAGTTTTTCTGCCACTTTTTCTTTATAATGTTGGAAAGCTTTACTTAACTCTTCAGCATTATATAGTGCTTCATTCCTTTGTCGTTCAGCTCTAAAATTTAAAAAGGGATGATTAATAAAAGTAAAGAATGTTATACATTTGACTAGTGAAACTCCAAAGTAACCTATATTTTATTGTAAGGAAAAATTAGAAATGAGCAGTACTAAAAAAGAATAGTAGGCTTAAACCGCAAAATGAATAGAGACTAAAAAGTTTCCTATTATCAATATGAAAAATAAAATACATTAACTTTGAAACATACATACATTCCTATGTGTTGGCAATTTTTTTTATCTGGAAAAGATTACAGGAAGTGGCTTAGGCTGTACAAATTCTCAAAGATCAGTTATTACAGAATCAGTCCACTGTCTAGTATATTAAAAATACTCAATAAATCCTATGACCTTTGCAAAGGGCAAGTAAATTTTCAAAAAGGTATTTTCAAAAGACATATCTAAAAGATATAAAAATCTGAACAACATCCAACCACTACAAAGCCCTGCCTTAGTTAACCCTGATCTTTCCTCATACCTTTCACATCGAACTGAGACTACTGGGCTGAAATAGTCAGTATCATACCCACGCCCAAAAGTTTTTCTATTTTCTAAACCTCTTCTCTGTAAAGTCCAGGCCTTAGCCTAAAGATTTTACAAAGCAAGGGGATGCATGGCGGGGAGGAAATGGGTCACCACAGTGAGATCAGAGGGTTTGCTTGTACCTGAGAACTAACCTTTAATTAGGTCTTGTGGCCTACCTGTGCATCGAAAGGGGAAAGACTATGTTATTTCTAACAGATTCCTGGGAGGCCAAAGCAAGCCGCCCCCATCCCTACCTTGACTGGCATTTCTAAGGTATGTATATTAATCTCAAGGGGCCCAGAACACGTAGCCCCAAGAGAGGTAATCCAGTGAACATGAACAAGGTGGAGGGCCTAAAACAGAGTCAGGATGACAGCACTCCTACAGGCACAAAGCAGGGATCTTATTTAATTATTAAAAATCAATAAAGAATTTTCCCAGCAACATTTGATGAACTTTTTGTTTTTTAAATTTCAAACAGGTACCCCTTAATGCAGATTAACCAATTTTTGATATTTGGCCACAACCGCTTTTGTCTCTCACCTGAGATGTTTTTGTAGTGAATTGCATTCTAGAGAAATAAGTAACCTTCACCCTTAAATACTTTAGTATGTATCCTAAGAAAACACACATTGCCTCATATAACCACAACTATCAAATTCAAAAAATTTAAAATTGTTACAATACTATTATCTAACATATAATTCATGTGTAAGTTTTATCAGTTATTCTAATGTTCTTTATAGATCTTTTTTTTTCTTCTGATCTAGGATCACATACCGCTTTTAGTTATTTTCTATCTTTAGTTTCTTTAATCTAGAATAGCTCAGCATTTTTTTAAGTCTTTCATGACACCGACAATTTTTTTACAATAATAGTTTGAATTTATTGAACATATATTATGTGCCACAGAGAGCTTTAGCTGCTTTATATACCTAATCAAATGGTCACAACTCTGTCAATCGGACATTATCCTTATTTTATCTGTAACTAGTATCTAAAAAAACTAAACAGTATGCTCAAGGCACGCCCTCACACATATTAAGTAGTAAACACAATGTATGAATCTAAGAAGCAGGTGGGCCCTTGCTCTCAACCACCAGGGTACACGGACTACTGACACAAAATTAAATGTCAAATAAGGTGCACAAAAAAACCACATGATTTTAGACTCATGCTATGCGAGTATTTTATATTTTCTTATATAGAGAAATATGAGCATTCTCTGTTTAATAAGTAGAAAAAAACCTTTCACACACACACAAACACACACACACACACACATACACACAGAGGTTACTCAAAGGTCTATAATGACAACACCGTTGAAGAGTCACACAAGATGAGATCTTCAACTGCCAGAAGCTGGTGGTCAATTCTGTATTTACTGTGAAGCCCTGGATTCAATGATTCTACCTTCTTTTACTTCCTAATGTGACCAAGTATAAAGTTAAAAATGACCTATGACCAAAGCTGGCATAAATGTGCAGCAGCCACTCAAGCTATCTGGAAGTAGATTATCACTACATGTTTTTCTCATCCTACTTCCCTCTCTTTTCACAACTACCTACTATTTCTCAAGCTTTGTGCTTCACCATGAGGAGAAACACATCAAACCAGGGTTCTCTCACATTCTCAAGACAGCTGATGTGTCCCAAGTGAGAAATCCAGTAATCATTGAATGCATGCTGCGAAACATCTGCTTAGCCTTGCCTGTCTCCTCATGAGTAGTAGATGCCGGCTGTTCATTCTTGGGAGCACACTACATAAGGGACATTATACTCTTTCCACTCTACCACATATGAAACACACAATGTCAGTCTGTCCAGCACCTTAACTTACTGATTCTTCGAATCTTTCCCCTGATTTGTAATGCCACCTGTTACATAGCAAGTTTCCCTTGTGTGTATGTTTGCTAAAGAGGATCTGTTCTATACAATCAATTTTTTTGGGGGGGGAGGGGTATTCCTATACCAACAACACATTAATTTAATTCATATAACTTCAGAAGTCCTGGTATCTACAGGCATGTCCTCCACTTTGGTCTAGAGCTTCAAAATTGCCTCCCTTATTCTTAGACCTTTGTTCTTACATATGATATTCAGGGTCAGTTCAATACAGTTTACCAAAAATCTTTTGGGATACTGATTGAAATTGTATTGAATGTATCAATTGTTTTGGGAAAAACTGACAATTTTATATTAGGCTCCCTTCCAGAAAAAATAGTATATATAGTTTTATTTTAGTATGTGCTACCAAAGCAATCTCTGATATATACTTCATTAGTTAGGTCTTTCTTAAGATTTTCAGTAACATTTTATAACTTTTTCTATCAGATTAAGTATGTCCTTCTATTCTGACATTTTGATACGTGGGGCCTTACAGATCCTAGGAAGACTGGCCCTCCCAGGGTTAGCCAATTCTTAAAGATAGTAAATTACTCACCTGGAAGTTTACCTTTCATAAACGAACTAATCAACCCAGAGCCGGTTCCTCACTCCAGTCTTCGGCTCTTATACTCAGGGCCAATAATCCTCTGTCCTAATTACCTCAGGACCAGGTACTAGACAACTCAGGACAGTCTTAAACTCAGTCCATTGAGATTATTTATACTACCAAACCTAAACCTGCTGACCCTGCCTTAACTGCTCCTTCTCACAGACACCACAATAACATCTCCTGCTCATATTTTTCTCCCAACTCTCTCTGCCTCCTGACAAACCCTGATGCTTCCCCTCCACGGCCCCCTGCATAACCTGCATATCAGAATTCCAAGTGCTCCACAACTTTGCCAAAACTTGATATTGTGGGCCATAATGGGCCTGTTTCCTTTTGTCATCACCATTGTTTTCTTTGGTTTACTTTCCTGTAGGCAAATTTTTAACTATTGATTCAATATCTGTAATGGCTATATATCTATTCACGTTTTCAATTTATTCTTAAATTCTGTTAAATTATATTTTATTAAAAAGTCATTTATTCAGTCTAAGTTTTCATATTTATCATACTACAATGGTTCATAGTATTTGGTCTTATTTCTTAAATCATAGCTAAATCTGTAATTTAGAAGTTCCTTTTCAACCCCAGTATTGCTTTTTTACTTTTTTTAATTTCTTTTCAGTGTAACAGTATTCATTGTTTTTGCACCACACCCAGTGCTCCATGTAATCCATGCCCTCTCTAATACCCACCACCTGGTTCCCCCAACCTCCCACCCCCCACCCCCTTAAAACCCTCAGATTGTTTTTCAGAGTCCATAGTCTCTCATAGTTCACCTCCCCAGTATTGCTTTTGTGCCTTGTCTCCTTGATTAATCTTATCTGGTACCCATTGGTTTGGTCATTATGAAAAGAACCAGATTTAGGTTTTTGTGATTCTATTGTTTTCTTGTTTTCTATTCCACCATTTCATCTTTTATTATTTCAATACTTTTATTTTTATTTTTCTTGTGATGCTTTTTCTTCTACTGCCTTTTTTTGACTATATAAATTCGATGTTTTAACTCATTCATTCTCACTCATATATTAATTTAACATACACATAGGAGGCTAAAAATTTTCCTCTAAGAATTTATTTGGCTATACGGACATAGTGAAAAGAAGGGGTACATGCACCTCCAGTGTTCATAGCAGCAATGTCCACGATAGACAAACTGTGGAGGGAGCCAAGATGCCCTTCAACAGACGAATGGATAAAGAAGATGTGGTTCACATATACAACGGACTATTACTCAGCCATTAGAAAGGCTGAATACCCATCATTTGCATCGACAAGGATAGAACTGGAGGGGATTACGCTGAGTGAAATAAGTTAAGCAGAGAAAGACAATTATCATATGATTTCACTCATATGTGGAACATAAGGGATAGTGCAGGGGATCATAAGGGAAGGGAGGGAAAAGTGAATGGAAAGAAATCAGAGAGGGAGACAAACCATGAGAGACTCTGGGTCCAGGAACCAAACTGAGGGTTATAGAAGGGAAAGTATGGGTATTAAGGAGGGCATGTATGATGATGAGCACTGGGTGTGTGTGTGTTATACACAACTAATGAAACATTGACCACTACATCAAATGTACTATATGCTAGCTAACTGAACGTAATAATAATAATAATAATAATAATAATAATAATAATAATAAAAGGGTATCTTTGGCTGCAGCCCAAGAGCTGTGATTATTTTTTTTTTTTATATCACTCCTCATCAAGAGCTTTCTAATCTTTATCTAATTTCTTCAATGCTCCATAAGTATCAAGAAGGCCGGCTTTAAATTTCCAAACATACATGATTTGGGGGGATTATATACTAATTTCATTGTACAACAGTCTGAGAAGGCAATACATAAAACATATCAATCTGTTTGTCGAAACTCAATCTGGTGTTTGTCGAAACTCATACTTTTGGCACAGTGAGGTGAGAGATTATAAATGTTCTAGAAGTGCTTAAAAGAATGTGAATTTTCAAACTGTTGGGTATAGGTTTCCATATATACACATGAGATCAAGATTGTTAATTGTCATTGAACTCTTCAACTGCTAGCTTTCTTGTTATTCACCTAACAACAATTCCTAGTAAATGTGTAAAAATGTTCCCTGTATGATTACAGATTTGTTCATTTTATTTGAAATTTTACTATTAGATTCACACAAGTTCAGAATCTTTAGGGCTTCTGCTTAAGGGTTATTTAAACATTATATAAGAGCCTTTTTTGTTTGTTTGTTTGTTTGTTTGTTTTTTGAGAGGAGGAGAGAGGTCTGGGGCGGGGAGAGGAGCAGAGGGAGAGAGGGAATCTTAAGCAGGCTCCACACCCAGCACAGAGCCTGACACAGGCCTGGATCTCACAACCATGAGATCATGACCTGAACAGAAATCAGGAGTCAGACAGTTAACCAAATGAGCCACCCAGGCACCCCTATAAGAGTAATTTTAACTCTAGTAATGCTTGTTGCACTTAAACCTATTTTGTGTGATATTAATATAGCTATATCTACTTTGTTTTAGTGACTATTTGCCTAAAATATTTCTTCTAATTCTTTTGCTTTCAATTTTTCTGTGTCCTTATATTTTGGGTATGTCTCTTATAAACAGCATAAAGCTAAACAATCTTTTCCTTTACACTAGTTTTCTAACCCATTATGATTATGATTAATCTTCCCATCTTTGCAAAGGTTCCAATTTTAGAATGCCAACATCCATTCTAGATGGATGGAGTTTCAAAAAGCTCTCAAAAATTTAGATGTCATATCTCTACCTAAAAATCTCAATTGCCTATATGTGCTCTCCAGATTAAAATATAAATACTTTGGCCTAACAATTCCTTGCCTCATTTCCTACTACATCTATCCATTTATAAGTACAAAAAACTCCCTACTGTTCTCAGCAGTGATGCTTTCATACTTCCATGCCTTGTCCAGAATGTATGAAAACAAAGTCAACACCCTTCCGTAAAAATTATCTCTTATTTAAGTTTTACAGAGATAACCAGTCATTCTTCCTCTGTACTTTTTCTTAGCTATACTATGAAGCTAGTCTTTGTGTATTATCATTTCACTATTTCAAATAATCATATACAAAATGTTTATCTGAGTAAGTAAAAATTTATCTGAATATGTCTTAATTTCAGAATGTTTAACCCACAGTTTACACTTAAAATAGCCACATTTGTTAGTGTTTATTAAGAGGCACCTTACATTTCTTTTTCTCATTTAATCCTCACATAGATATACTATCATCTTGATTTAACAGATGAACAAACTAAAGCTCAAGAAGGTCAGACAGTTTGCCCAAGATAACAGAGCCACTGAGAAATAAAATCTGGTTGACTCCAAAACCTAAATATTTCCATAAAGTAATAGTGCCATCCAAATATATACTGAAACTTGAACTATACTAACCAAATACTGCAGGAAAATATTCTGCCAAGCTTACTTTAATGAAAAATGACTTAAAGATTTCAAGTAGTTTTTAGAAGTTTAAATGCACATGCAAACAAATATTTAACTTATTTATGACAACTTTTCAAAAAATACTTTCTTAAAAAAAAACTTTCTTCAAAACCTTATTTTATCATGGTATACCTTTTTTGAAAATAAAAAATTTTTTGCATTCCCACCAACAGTGTTAGAGGGTTCCCCTTTCTCCACAACCCTGCCAACTGATGCAGTCACTCTGGAAACAGTATGCAGGTACCTCAAAAAGTTAAAAATAGAGGCACCTGGGTGGCTCAGTCAGTTAAGCGTCTGAGTCATGATCTCACCTCAAGTCTTGATCTCAGGGTTGTGAATTCAAGCTCCATGCTGGGCTCCACACTAGGCATGGAGTCTACTTTAAATAAAAAAAGAAGTTAAAAAATAGAACTTTCCTATGATCCAGCAATTGCACTACTATTTACCCAAAGGATACAAAAATACTGATTTGAAGAGATACGTGCACCCCAATGTTTTGACTATCGACAATAGTCAAATAATGGGAAAAGCCCAAATGTCCGTCAACTGATAAATGGATAAAGAAGATGCAGAATGTATATACAATGGAATATTCTTCAGTCATCAAAAAGAATGAAATCTTGCCACTTGCAATGACGTGGACAGAGTTAGACAGTATTACTCCAGACGAAATAAGTCAGTCACAAAAAGACAAATACCATATGATTTCATTCATATGTGGAACTTAAGCAACAAAACAGGTGAACATGGATGGGTGGGGGACAAACCATAAAACAGACTCTTAACTACAGAGAACATACTGAGGGTTGATGGAGGGGAGGTGGGTAGGTGATGGGTTAAATAGGTGATGGGTATTTAGTGGGGCACTTGTGATGAGCAATAGGTATTGTATTTAAGTCATGAATCACTAAATTCTACACCTGAAGCTAATATTACACTGTATGTTAACTAACCGGAATTTAAATAAAAACTCAAAAAAGAAAAAAAAGCTTTTTAAAGATTTTATTATTGTTTTTTATTTGAGAGAAAGTGAGTGTGCAAGCATGTGAGTGGGGAAGGGAGAGAGGGAGAGGGATAGAGAGAATCTCAAGCAGGCCCCTCCTGAGCATGCAACTGAACAAAGGGCTTGATCTTATGACCCTGAGATCATGACCTGACCTGAAACCAAGAGTCAGATGCCTAAGTGGCTAAGCCACCCAGGAGCCCCCAAGAAAATAAAAATTTTTTTGAAGATCAAAATGCAGATTATCACTTTACCCTGTGTAAAACTGCTATAAATTATATAATGATATTAGAAAATATTATTAAACTAAAAAAATTTAAATCTTTATTCGTTTACAAGTTAATTGACATTAAGAGTTAACGGTTCCTTAGTCAAGGCTACTTACAAAACTTTATCTTAAAATGTGTTTTATATAAAATAAATACTTCTGCATTACTTATGTATTCCTAAAGGAAGACCCAACTACACTTCCTCATGAATTTTATGTAGGTCATAAAACTTAATTTCAGAAATAAGTAAATATCAATACACTGACTATCATTATCAGGTTTCTAATCCCAATCCAGAATGCCAGTAATATGAAATTTTTAATAGAAAATGAAAAAAAAAATTAATAGACAAAAAGAACATTAAATTATCCTACCACCAGGTTACTTAAACTTTTTCACTTTAAAAATTAGCTATGATTTTATGGGGCGCCTGGGTGGCTCAGTGGGTTAAGCTTCTGCCTTCGGCTCAGGTCATGATCTCAGGGTGCTAGGATCGAGCCCCGAACTAGGCTCTCTGCTCAGCAGGGTAGCCTGCTTCCCACCCCCCGCCCCCTCTCTGCCTGCTTCTCTGACTACTTGTGATCTCTCTCTGTGTGTCAAATAGATAGATAAAATCTTAAAAAAAAAAAAAAAAATTAGCTATGATTTTAAATAGGTAATATATTCTTTTTCCTTCTACAAAAACAATTTGTTTTAAAATTTGCTTTGAAAACACATACCTCTTTCCTTGTTTACTTTGTTCAAGTAAGTCCACCTTTAACTTTATACATTCTTCTTGGGACTTCTGCAAACTCTGCTCCTTTTCAATCACCATTTTCTGGCTCTGCTCTAATTTATCTTCAGCCTCCCTATTAAATAAAGGATAGATATATTTTTTAAAGATTTATTTACTGAGAGACAGTGTGTGCATGCATGTGTGGGCAAGTGGGGGGATGGGCAGAGGGAGAGAACCTTCACACAGACTCCCTGCAGAGCCAGACATGGGGTGGAGGTGGTGTTCATCTCACGACCCATGAGGTCATGACCTGAGAAGAAACCAAGAGCCCAATGCTCAACTAACTGAGCCACCGAGACGTACCAATAAAGGATATTTTTAAAGGCTATTAAAGAGATTATTCCACGTATGCAAGAATAGCTCAATACTAGGAATTCTATCATTTTAAATCACTGAGGTAAGAGAAACCATTATTTAATAAGAGATAGACAAAATTCATCATCTGTCTACTAAGAATCTTTATAAGGAATGAAATAATACATATATCTGAAATAACAGCTTATATCCTATTTCATAGTCAGACACTAGAAGCATAACCATATAGTTCAGAAACTAGATAAGAATGACTATTATCACCATTATATCCAATGATTTCTCGAACAGTTACAAAAAGAATAATGAAAAGTAGTAAGTATAAATTTTGAAAAGACAATATTTTCTTTCTTTTGCTGAAACTATCATTAGCTGCCTGGAAAATCCAGGAGACTCAAAATGATAAATTATTAGAATAAAAGATTATGACAAAAAGTTCTAATTACAAAATAATTATATTATACAAAAAGAAACAGCCTTCCTATATACCATCAATGAACAGAACATGAACAAACTCACAACAACCAAAAATATAAAATACCTAGGAATAAAATGAAAATAACATGTAATACAAAGAAATTACAAGACTCTGATGGTAATGAAAAATTACTTTAGGGTACATGAGAATGACCTGCAGGATTTATTCAAATACAGATTGCTGGGTCTCATCTCCTAGAATTTGTAATTCAGTAAATCTGAGACAGAACCTGAAATCCACAATTTTTTAGAAAGATTAATTAATTAATTTATTTATTTATTCTAGAGAGAGGGAGATGGGGGAAAGGGAGAGAGAATCTCAAGCAGAAATTCTGACACAAGGCTCTAACAACCAAGATCACGACCTTGAGCCAAACCAAGAGTCGGATGCTCAACTGACTATACCAGCCAGGTGCCCCTGAGACCTACAATTTTAATAAGTTCCTAGAAGATGCTAATATTGCTGGTCCCAGAACTACACTTTGAGAATCATCAAAATGACGTAATGGGCTATTTAGTACACATACAGTTCTCATTTTATTCAAAGCAGAAGAAGGGGATAAATTATAAGGTGCCTGATTCCTTCTATTTTATTTCTTGACCTCCCACTGAAGCACCAGTATGTACTACTATGTGAGGCAAGAAATGAACGAGTTCATTTTCAATAAAAGCATGTAAGTAAGCATCTCAGCTAAGATTTAGTCTTTTTTTAGTCCCCTTAAACATCACGCATCCTGGAGGCAAGAGGAGGTATGATGGATTGTAGAACAGATTCCTTAAGTTCTAAGACAGTCTACAGGACACTACAGATTTATTGGGGTTCAGATTCCACAAGATATACCAAAAAGCAGAAGAAATAAAAATTTTAAAGCCATAAAAAGTATACTTACCTCAAAACTTTATCTTGGGCTGAAACTTCTGCTTCTAAATTTATAATCTGTTCTTCTAAGATTGGCACATTAGCTGCCTGTTGTTGAACAGATTCAAGCATAGAAACCTAAAACAACAACAAAATAACTTTTAGAGCACTTCATGTCAGAAGATAAATTAATCTAATTGGTCCTTTGTTTCTTTTTCTGTGTGATGAGGGTGTCCAATATAACTCCCTAATCATTGGTCAATGTGAAGCTCACCCTATCTATTCTTGTGATCAACATTTACATGAGCATATCACCATCACAAATCAGTGTCAGCATGTAAGTTCCTGCCATTATCTTCAACTTAATATTCCAAGATAACTGATTAGCTATTTGGGGGGTGGGGGTGGAGAATCTCTACTAACAACATCCAAGAAGATAAATTTCACATAAATCAGAAAATTAAATAAAAAAGATCAAGTCATAAAAAAGTAAACAAAAAAATACCTATTGAATCTTTTTACATTTTAAGATGTAATTTTAGAATACACGCTTACTAGAGAAAACCTAGAAAATACAGAAAAGCATAGGTCCAGGAAAGAAAACCTGGAGTACAGCTCAAAATCTCTGTCGGTAAGTCAACACTCCTTTTCCCATTCTTAAAACACCAACAATCAAATGATGGCCTATCAGGAAGAGAGAGAAAATTTATTATCTGGAGAAACTGAACAGGAAAGGTTTAGAACTCTGGGAAACTATGTAGAATGATGAGCAGGGATGAAGTATTTATAAATAAACAAATTGATTAATATAAAATGGTCAGTTTCCAACTACTTACTTCATCTGATTTAGGGCTATCCCACAGGTGGGAAATTAAAGGATTCTTTACTGGAGAAATTCAACAGCTCCAACTAAAAGACTTCACATACTGACACTGGATGAAAGAGCTAAGGTATCTCCCTACAAAAGAGCCATCTCCCCAGGTATCACCAACATATATTCACCTTCATACACAGAGCTTCTAAACAGAATTTAAGTGCCTTTCTCTTAAATATAAATAGCTAAAACACTAACATCTGCAAAAACATTTCTAACATATAAGTCAGAGGCCAAAACAAAGAGGCAACTGGCAGCAAGCAAGGTAAGTATGCGCGCGCGCGTGCACACACACACACACACACACACACCCCATTAAATCTGCAGAAAGCTAAGTGAGGATGCATCAGGATATTATTCAATACAAAGCAAAGAATTAGAGAATATTGGAAAGCTCTGGAAAATGAAAAAATATGACAGCTAAAATATGATTCAACACAGGTGGATGATAGTTTTGAGAAATGTCTTAAGAAGTATCACAGGGGGCGCCTGGGGGGCTCAGTGGGTTAAAGCCTCTGCCTTCAGCTCAGGTCATAATCCCAGGGTCCTGGGATGGAGCCCCGCGTTGGGCTCTCTGCTCAGTGGGGAGCCTGCTTCCTCCTCTCTCTCTGCCTGCTTCTCTGCCTACTTGTGATCTCTGTCTGTCAAATAAAAAAATAAAATATTTTTTTAAAAATGTATCACAGGAAGACAAGGAGATAGAAAACATGAGGAAAAAAAAAACTTAATGAATTATAAGGTTGAAAGAGTTAGAGGGCCAGTAGAGGTGATCACCTAATAGGAAAAACAGAAGAAAACAGAGGGAAGAATATTACTGAGGAGATTGCCTAAGAAAAATTTCCAGGACAAAAGAACACAAGATTTTAGCCTGAAAGGGTCCTCACTAAACAAAAGGTCTACTCAAAGACATGTCATTCTGAAATTTTGAAACACCAAGGAAAGAGGGAAGATCCTTAAAACTACCATAATGTGCTCGCTTCAGCAGCACATATACTTAAAACTACCATAAGAGGAAAAACAAATGGAAAAATATTACATGCTAAGAAAACTGATTCACAATGGCAGTGGACTTTTCAGAGAAGTAGCAGAAGATAGAATACAAGTAAGCAATGTCCTAGAAATCCTGAGGCAAAATAATTTTCCAACCTAAAATCAAATGTAGGGGAGAAATTAGGACATTTCAGACATGCAAGGGGAGGTTACTAGAAAAATATGTTCCACTTAAAGAAAGACTAAACCAAGAAAAGAAGACGACCCAGGATCCAGGGACAGTAGATCCAACCTAGAATATCAAAGGCAAGTCTCAGGAGAGCAGTCGGACAGCAGGCCTGAGGGGCAATAAGCTTGGAGGAGCAGGATGCCTGGCTCCAAAAGTGTAACAAACATTGGGAAAGATAAATTATGAATATACTGGTTGACACAATGAGGAATTTCAGCCCAAGATTTCCAAAAGTGGTATATATGCAATAGCAAAAGCCTAGACCTGCCCTAGGAAAGGGAGTCTCCTTAAAAAATATTTTGTTAGGCAATGTAGAAAATGCTGACATGGTAAGTAAAATATAAAATAAAATATAAAATATAAAATATATTTATATATTTAAAATAAAATATAAATAATTATAAATTATTTACAATTATAAATAATTATACTACTACATACAATAAATAACCACTGGTGTGTCTACATACTAAAAGAAAGGAACAAAATGCTATGTTTTGGTTTGGTAGTTATTAGTAAAATTCTCTTAATATCTCTTTGCCTTTAAATAATTAAGCTTCTATGACTTAAGCAAAAATCTATAGTTGGTAGAAAAGTTAAAACAATTAATAAACCAAAAAGGTGAACAAGGGGAGCCTGGGTGGCTCAGTGGGTTAAAGCCTCTGCCTTCAGCTCAGGTCATGATCCCAGGGTTCTGGGATCAAGCCCAGCATTGGGCTCTCTGCTCAGCAGGCAGCCTGCTTCCGCCTCTCTCTCTCTGCCTGCCTCTCTGCCTACTTGTAATCTCTGTCTGTCAAATAAATAAATAAAATCTTTAAAAAAAAAAAAAAAGGTGAACAAATTACATAGCAAACAAACAGTGAAAGGTAACCTTGTGAGAAATCAAGAAAAACAAAATACTTTCCCTCAAAAAAATAAAATGTTAAAAAAACAAAAAACAACCTCAGTATAATACTGAATGCAGAGTACAATAAATCTTGAAAAAAAATTTCCCCTGTAATTTGGTTATTCTAAAATTCTATCCTAGAAATAATCCCAAATACGAAAATGTTTCCTGTTCATTGGAGTATTTTTTTTTTCTTCTTAGGCTGGAATTATCTCCAATAGCACTTTTTGTTTAAAATATACAGAAGAGCTGGCTGGCTCAGTCAGGTAAGTGTCTACCTTGGGGTCAGGTCCTGATCCCAGGATCCTGGAATCGAACCCCGCATTGGGCTCCCTGCTAGGCAGACAGCCTGCTTTTCCCTCTCCCTCTGCCTGCCACTCTGCCTACCAGTGCTCTCTATCTCTCTGTCAAATAAATAAATAAAAATCTTTGAAAAGTAAAAATAAAATTAAATTGAAAAATTGAAAAAATAAAACACACAATAGAAAAATAAGGATCTCCCATAATCCTACTACTTAAAACAATACAAATATAAAAGTAAATAGTGAAAGCCTCACCGGAGACAAGACATTCCAATCCCTCTCAAAATTATCAACAATATGGAGTGCAGTCTTTCTATTCTTATATATGTTATATATACCTATATACATAGATACAAACATATATAGACACATTTGCTCTTTTTAATAAAAAGCAAAACTGGGATCACCCTGCCTATGTGTGTTGCTCTGTAATGTTCCTCTACCACTCAATATTTTAGGTAACGGTTTTTGAATGCTTTATGCAGGTTCTAGGTGCCTTTTCATATATTATTAACTTTGGATCTTAGAATTGATTTATTTAACCTCAAAAAAAAAAAAAAGCTTTGTAGCAATCCCTTACATGGATATATTGTAATTTACCATCCCTCTATTATTGGACATTTTGGTTTCTAATTTTTTGTATAATTACAATCATACAGCAAAAATAGGAAACCATTCGGGGCGCCTGGCTGGCTGTCTGTAGAGCATGCAACTAACTCTTCAACTTGGAGTCATGAGGTCAAGTCCCACTTTGGGTGTAGAGATTACTTAAAAAAAAAAAATTAGCCACGTAAAAGGAGAGTTATTAATTAAATTATGGCATAATCACATAAGGAAACAATGCTACGATTAAAAAAATGGTCAGTGGAGAAGCCGAGTAAATATATCAGAAAATGCTTGGACTATCCATCAGAAAATGCTCAGGGTTGCCTGGGTGGCTCAGAAGTTTAAGCCTCTGCCTTTGGCTCAGTTCATGATCTCAGGGTCATGGGACTGAGACTTGCATCGGGCTCTCTGCTCAGCAGGGAGCCTGCTTCCCCCTCTCTCTCTGCTGACTTGTGATCTCTCTCACTATGTCAAATAAATAAATAAAATCTTAAAAAAAGAAAATGCTCAGACTATGCACGAAGTTAAAAAACACAGGAAAAAAGAAAACTGTTCGAACAGTCTCGATTCAACTATGTAATAAGCCAATAAAGTAGTTTCTCATTGGTGGAAACTGGGTGATCTTTCTCCCCTTTTCTATTTTCAAAGTTTCAACAATGGGAATGTATTAGTCTAAAAAGGAAGATAAATAAGCTATATTTTCTCTATAAAAAGAAAACCACATAAATTGGTAATCTTAAGATTTTAAGAAGCTCTGACTTATATACACACAGTATACAATTTCTCCTAAATCATTTGCAGATATTAAACTCATGTAAATTAGATTCCATAACATGTTGATCCTATATTATCATTATAAAATTTGTTATATGTAACACATTAAGGCAATACATGGACTATTTTTCCAATTCGAAATCAAAATGATTCAAAGTACTTTCCATTGCCATAGTCACCACTTCAAAAAACATACTTTTGCTCTTGACTGTGTTAATTCAAAGTGGACAGATTCCATTTTAGTCATTAAAGAATGATTCTGTGAGACCAAACAAGCATTCTGTTGCCTGAGTTTGTTAAGTTTCTCTCGAAGATTTCTGATCTCCTGGTCCATGGGGGCAGATGAAAAAGACATCTGAAAAATTAAAAAGAGCAAGCTATTTTGGATTCTTTCATTAAGCCTTTTAGGTAATGGAAAATGATGAATAACTGTCAGTAAAATGACTAAGTAACTCAGAAAATGAGTTCAGATGTTTAGTGAGTGCTGGTGAGGCTATGTGGGACAATCAGCTCTCTCCTCCACGGCTGGTGGATATGGACATAAATAAGCACAGCTTAAAAAACAATGGTACAATTTGGGAAAGTTCTTGGTATTATCCAATAAAGTTGAAGACACTAACACTCAGCAATATTAGTCCTGGGTATAAATCTAAAACTTTTACACCTGAAAATATAAGAATTATTCATACCTACCTTGTCCATAAGAGATAATAAATGGAAAGAATCCAAATGACCAACAACAAAATGGATAATAAATTCTTTATACACATTTTTGTTATACATCTGAATATATATTTTATAATAAATTTTTATTTTCATGAGGGTTGAGGTTTTTAAGACATGATTTAATTCTTAAAAAATATGCATTTCAAAAGTCAAAACTATATAAAAAGTATACACAGAAGCCTCATTCCTATTTTTAGTAGGTAAGTAACCATTTAACAAGTGGGTTTTTTTTTTTTTTTTAGGATTTTAATTATTTGAGTGTGAGAGAGGGGGAGAGAGCAAGCACAAGCAGTGGGAGAAGAAGAGAATGAGGGATGGGGGAGAAGCAGAGCTCAACGTGAGGCTCATGAGGCTCCATCCCAAGACTCTGAGATCATGACCTGAGTGGAAGTCAGATGCTTAACTAACAGAGCCACCCAAACACCCCTTTAAGTTTCTTATTTATAAATTTTGTATAACACCAATCATACAGAAAAAACATTAGAGAACTGAGGCACCTAGGTGGCTTGGGTGACTGAGTGTCTACCTATGGCTCAGGTCACGATCTCAGGGTCTTGGGATTGAGACCTGCACTGGGCTCCCTGATTAGCAGGGAGTCTGCCCTCCCCCTACTCGTGCTTTCTCTATCTCAAGTAAAAAATAAAATCCTAAAAAAAATAATAATAATGGGGAACTGCCTATATAGGAAAGCTAAGTTATGGTCTTAAACAGTCTTCTCATGTTTCCACCTTCATCTGCAAGCAATACAAATTACCCACCTTCACAGTGAGTTATGCAAAAATTAGCATTCTATATACGTCATTCTGTACCTTGCATTTTTTTAATATATCCTGCCAATCTCTCCATAATCAAGATAGTTAGAAACTCCTTTCATCTCCCCACCTGAGCTGCAGTTTCCACTGCATGTTTATTCAACCAATCCCCTGTGATAGGCACTTGAGGTATTTCTAATCTGTTATGACAAAGTCTCCTTTTGTACTTATGCAGGCATACCTGTCATGTACCTTTCTACAAGTGGGATTCTCAAGTCAAGGGTAAGAGCATTTGTGATTTGGGGAAACATTACCAAATACCCCTCCATAAAGGGCTGTATCATTCCGCACTGCTACCAGCAATGTATGAGAATGCCTATCTCCTCTTAATATTACCAGCAAAATATAGTGTCAAATATCTGATAGGTATGAACTGGTACCTAAGTATAGTTTCACTATGAATTTCTCTTATTATGAATGAGACTGAACACCTTTTTATTTGTTTGAAGATCATTTTAATTTCCTGTTTCATACATGTCTTTTGTTCCTTTTTCTACTGGGTTATTCATCTTCTTCCTAGAAGCTCTTTCCATGTTAAAGAGATTAGCTCTCTGTCTTTAATAGGCATTACCAATATTTTCCCCTCCAATTTGTCATTAGTTTTTTTATTTTGTTTAGGGTAAAACACAATGATTTCAATTAAAGCATATATGTAGCAAAAATGATCAGCAATTTTATTGAGAATATAGGTCAAATTTCCCAGAATTACACAGTCTTTGAAGACTTGGAATTTGACTTTATTTTCTAACTTGCAGGCTCACAAAGCTTCATAAGCAGCTTTCTTACAAAAAGAAAACCTCTCAACTGTTAGCTTTCTGAAGTGGGAAGAGCACATTTTTATGAAAGAAGATTATGATAGCATATGCAACCATATGTATGCGTGTGTGCTGGCAGTGAGATAATAGAGAACAGGAAAAAGAGATTGGAAAGGGAGATTGAAGGGTTGAGTAAGGAAGAAAGGTAAACACAAGGAGGTAGGTAATAGGACTGAAAAAAAAAGACAGAAGGAAAAAGTTCCAGACAAGTAAAGATGTCTAAGATCATCCACAAAATTTAGGGATAGCTAAAGGGATAGCTACGCTATCATATAGCACATGACCCAGGCTAAATATACTAAATACATTTTAACCACTTACTAAATAACTGATTTCCTATTATGTATAGTGCCAAAAATCACAGGGGTTACCATTTACTTGGGAAAACAAAAGATTTAATTGCAAAAAGGTAATAAATATAGAAGTCTAAAAATACAGTAATACACCAAAGCAACTACTTTCTTGTTAGGACACAACAAGAACCATAATATTTAAATTCAAGAGTCTTAAGCACAATGGTAAAAGACTATGGAAAACATAAACAGACATTTAAAGAAAAAACTCAAAGGAAAAGTATTTTAAGTAAACAGGTCTGAAACTAAAGTTACTTTTAAGTAGGCAGGTCTAAAAACAATAACCTTATCTCTTGGTTTTTTTGGAAAATCAGTACTGCCAGTGGGCATTTTACAAACTTTTTTATAAGGTATGTGATTCAAAAGTCCAAGCTGATTAGGCTGAGAAAGATCTTCCAGAATGAGTTTTTCAGGTCTTAAGAGATTAGAAGCATAATCGGAATTTTCACTTGGACTAACACTAGAGAAAAAAGAAAAATCCATTTTAGTTCCTAATTTAAGTATTCACTCCAAATTTCTATACATTAAATAAGAAAACAGAAAGAAAAGCACCTGAAATTGTGCTGGAAATCACATTCAGTTATGAACTTAGAGCAATGTCTCAACTAAAATTCTTAATAAATTGTAATGAGTTTTAACAAACAATCTGTGTAGTTTAGAGACTCTATGCTAGAATTACTTAAGATTCAAAAAGTAGTCATAATAATAAAAGATTAATTAAGCCCAAAACATATATTTTATACTCTGAGTCCTAATATAGTAAAGGTGTTTACTTAATGTATAAACACTTCTCTAACACTATTCTCTTTCCTAAACCAAGAATTACATTAAAAATTATAGATTATTTCCTATTCTATTAAAACAATATATAATAATGAACTTCATACATTTTACATTCATAAATTAAAGTCATATTCTGAAGTGCATATGTGATTTTACTTACATACCTGGATAACTCTTCCCCTAAACTCTGTAAACTCCATTCTGTTATCTTCAGTTCATGTCTTAAGGAAGCAACATTTGCAAGCAAACTTTCTTCTTCATTGTCTTTATTACAGTACTCTGATGAACTAGATTCCATTTCTTAAAAAAAGAAGTGTATTTCTTGTACCTTGCCAGAAAGAATCTGTGGTGTCAAAATACTCTCACATTAATAGAATTTAACTCATTATTTTTCTATTTATCTCAAATGTTGTGCAATCTTTCATGGCAATTTAAAACAAAACAAAAACCCAGTAACAATGAATTTCTCTGCAATGTAAAGCCAAGGAAATAGAAAGTTCAATAGTTCCCCTTTCCTAAGCACATTTAATCTTTCTAACAATAGTGCACATTAAACACTGTTATTATTCCATGTTAAAGTTAAAACAAACTAAAAATAAGGTAAATAAAATAATTTGCTTAAGGTCACATAAACTGTAAATGGTGGGAACAAGATCTGAACCTAAATCATCAGGATCCAAAGACCTTTTAATTATATCACACTGTAATTTCTAACTCATAGATCAATTTCAAGATGAGCTGTTTGAACCTATAAAATCAAGTTACAATCCCTGGAAATCTGACAAAATTGGCATCATTATAGTCATTCATATTTTCTTAATGGCAATTTATTACAAAATAAAGGTTATCTCCTTCTCCCATTCACAATGGTTATGAAATTAAAAAAACACACACATTCGCATCACAATCATAGAGATCAAAATCGCATTTGGCAAGTTAACTCAGAAATACATGAAGAAAAGTTTTTCTTTCTTCAACTGGTATCTCTAGAGTTGTGAAATTCTCTACTAAATAACCTTTACCCATAAAAATCGTGATAAAGGCCACATTTTATTATTAACAATTAACACATACAATCATTATGTATTAAAATACATATTAATATAATAAAAACTAAGGCTTTAAAATTTCTACTACTGTAGATCTTTCTGCATCTTAAAATTACATTCTTCTTTCAGATCCCATTTACCTTTGTCATTGTAGCACCTCTCTTTCACCACCCTTCTAGAATTCTGACCACATCTCAAGCTCCAAAAGGTTAGGAGTCTTATGTATTATGTTGAGGACTGTAAGGCACTTACAGAAGGTCAGTATGTTCGGTGAATAAATGAAGATTGCTGAATTGCTCTTCCCTCCCCTCACCCAGCTAAAATAGAATAGCAAATTTATTCCCCACACAAAATTTCTCAGATGTTAAGAAGGAAGATTAAAGAGAAAACCCTCACCTTTTTGGAAGAAACTGTGTCAGGAAATTAAATGAGATGCTATGTAAGAGCAGAGAAAATGTTTCTTTTTTCCCCTTTCGTTTGCACAAATTTGCTTCTGCCTAAGTGAGAAGACTCTCCCATACAAAAGTCAATGGGTCAGGTCCCCATACTGCTTTATCTTTTCAACATCATCTATAGGATGGTGAAGGAAAAAAGGGTAGTACAGACAAGCTGGATAAATTCCAAAATGTCATTCGATATTAAGTTTAAACTAAATCAGGTTTTACATCCAACGTCTTCTATGTATCTTTTTTTTTTTAAGATTTTATTTATTTGACAGAGATCACAAGTAGGCAGAGCAGCAGGCAGAGAGAGGGGGAAGCAGGCTCCCTGCTGAGCAGAGAGCCCGATGTGGGGCTCTATTCCAGGACCCTGGGATCATGACCTGAGCCCAAGGCAGAGGCTTAACCCACTGAACCACCCAGGCGCCCCTCTTCTATGTATCTTAATGTAACAATTCCCTAAAACTTCTTAAGTACCAATGAATAATTTGCTTTTAATTTTTTTTCCTTCTGAGCCATTTATTTTCAAATGAAGACTTTTCTTCCCTTCAACTTATAGTAGGTTATAAAAGTCTATTTTAACTGCCTTTACATACGTGGAAAAGGGCATCATGCTACCTACAGGCCCTGACCAGATCCTCTGCTGGTCCTAATAACGCGTCGGTAGCTCTATGCTCACGCACACCTGTCAACACTGAAAAACAGGTGTTTTTTATAAACCTTGTACGTAAAGGATGGGCTGTAGTCGAAAAAAGATTCCTCATTTGGGAAGGGGGTTATAGATTTATGGCGTATGGTCCAGTTACCAAGAACTCTCAATTTGACAGCACTGATCCTACGTTCATCTGAAAGAAGCGGATTAAAACAGGACATCTTCCTCCGATTTCTCATGTAAAATAAAAGCCTGCAGAGCAGCGTCCGCAGCAAGGGTGAAGACGCGAAGCGCGTCCGAGGGTGCTGGGAGGAAAGGAACAAAACTCCCCCAGGTAGGCCTGTTTTCACCCTCCAAGGAGCAGTCACTCACCACCCAAGTCGTAGTTGGGAGATAGACCCACCTGACAACGCGCGCGCCGCGCTCTAGTCCGCGTTCGGAAGCCTCGTACCCTCTCCCGAGCTCGGGGCGTGTAAGCATCAAACACTCCACGCGGGGAACAAGGGAACACCACTGCACCGATTTCGAACCGCCGCGGGAGCCGTTGGGGATGCGCCTACCCGGCCGCAGCCCCGCCCCCCGCGCAGGCTCTGCGTGTGGGGACGCAAAGGGGTGGGGCCTGTCGGGACTCGTGGTCTGCGAGCGCGTCCAAGCCCGCTCGCCCGGAACTACATTTCCCACAATTACCCCAAAGACTCCCATTGGTGTGGGGGAGGCCAGGGGAACCTGCCGCCCGCGTGTGAGGCGGAGCGCGCTCACGCCTGGCCTGAGGGGGCCGACACCCAGAAGGGTGCGGAAAAGGACTGGTGGCCCCGCCCCTCGGTCCCTACCCTTCGGAGGCCGGCGTTTCCCGCTCTGAGGGATCTTGTGCCGCCGCCGCGGCAGCCACCTGGGGTTTCTTCCGGCGCGGGGTTTCCCTGCCAGCCCAAGGAGTCCAGGGAGGAAAAGCGGAGCCTAGGTGCCAATAACCCATACCTCCTGCGTCTCTTCCGCCCGAGATCGCCCCGGCAGGGATGGGCGACAAGATCTGGCTACCCTGCCCGGTGCTCCTCCTGGCCACTCTCTTCTCAGTGCGGCTGCCGGGGGCGGCCGGCTTCACGCCTTCCTTAGACAGCGACTTCACGTTTACCCTTCCGGCCGGCCAGAAGGAGTGTTTCTACCAGCCCATGCCCCTGAAGGCCTCGCTGGAGATTGAGTACCAAGTAAGTGCAGAGGGTGAGCCAGCCTCCTTCCTTTATCCCAGCTACACCGCGTTTTCGCCTCGCACCCGCCTGGAAACTTCTTGTGGACTCCCGGGGGTGGTGAAGAGGCGAGGGCCGCCGGGGTAGCCGGCCCGCTCCGCGCAGGCGCGCGAGGCTTGGCTCTCCGGGGGCCGGGGACCTAGAAGTTAGGCGGGACCTGGAATTGACTATCCTCCCTCTCCCCTTTCCTCCAGTTGGAAAGAGGCCAGCGCTGGTGATCTTGGTGATGTTCCCTTTTGTTTCATAATTCGCCCATCGCCTTGCTAACCGGCACAGGCTCCGGTATTGGGAATTTCGCAATACAGGACTGATAACACGTTCTCCTTCATCATTGGAGGAGATGATGACACTTGGTTTGCTATCCCCACCACGCTCACCCAATTCCGGCATTATAAATATTCCCTGTCATTGCTTCATTTAAGGATTTTTGAATTGTGAACTTGTGATTATCACTAAATCCGCTTTTGGAATATTTTGAAAGGAGCTCTTGATGTATTTAATGGGGTACCCTTCCTTCTCAGTTACATATTTTTAAATCAAGCAATATTTAATTGTATATTAAAACTTTATGACTTTTAATTCATCATTGTAGGCATTTCCCCCATATCATTGTTTTCTTTTTAGTGTCTTCATAATATTATGTAGGGATTTGCCTTAATTTATGTAGTCATTGTGATAGTGGGTAATTTCTTAGAAGAAATCTTGTTAGTTCCACACAGCTAATTTTGATGTTTCTGGGTAGCACTAAGAAAAAAAACAGGATGCATTGGTGTGGTTCCCCCTTTAATTTTTTCACAGATTACTTAATTTATAATAAGATTTTTTAAGTTGATGCAAAGAATTTTTTCAACAATTACTGTCGTGTATAGAGTTATGTAGAATTTTCATCGGAAGGAAACTTAGAATTAAATTATTTATAGATACTTAAGGAAAGCAATAGCGCAGTGTCTGAAGTCATAAATAGGCAAAATTGGGGCTAGAACGCAACATTTATTGATTTCCAGTGTAGTTCAAAAGTTCATTTACTATGTGCCAGTAATTGGCAGGTGGGAGGCCAGGATGGGAGGAGTGTGGATAAGATGACCAACTATTACACGGACAAAAAAAAGCATCTGTTTTTTAAGGATCTAATTATTTAAGGGATACTGTGCTAATAAACAGCTAATTTCAATAAAGTATCGTTAAGTGCTCTTAGAGGACAGCCACTTCTCAGGTGTTTCAGAAAAGGATTCCTGGAGAAAATAAATTTGAATCCTGAAAGATGCTTAAGTGAGACAAGAATGCAAGGAAGGAGGGGCATTTCAGGAAAAGGAATAAAACACAAATAGTTACAAAAATGCATAGTGTGTTTTGTTGGTGGGCAGTATGTGGACACTACAAGTACTGAGTTTTTATTAGACCTAAAGACTGTAAAATCTAAGGTGAGAGTAGAAATAAAATAGACTAGAGAGGTCAGGAGGCTGGATCATGGATCATGAATCTTAGCCTCGTGTGCCATGCTGAGTGGCTTTGCCCTTGTTCTCTACAAGGGCCATTGAAGATATAAGCAGCATGGTAACAGAAATGTTTTCCAGATACATCACTGGGTACAATGTGGAAAAAGAGAGCAAAATTTGAGGCAAGGAAACCCAACTGGGGGTTTGTGAAATAATCCATGTAAGAAACAATTTGTATTATTTGAAAAGTCCTTAATATTTATCCAGGTGTTAGTATTAGGGGGGAATTGTATATGAACTACTGACCTCTTAGCATTATAAGACCTGTAGAGATAAAATGCGTGGGTTGAAATCCTAACTCTGTCACTTACTACCTATGTAATTGGAACAAGTCACTTAACCTCTTGCTTGTAGAATAAAGATAATAGTAATTACCTCATAGAGTTGATTTGAAAAAATGAATTAGTAAGTGTTCATAGACCATCCCTGACACTAGTAAATAGGCAGTGAATGTTGATTTTAATACATTTATGTTTCTAGAGTTATACAGCTGGCTTGGTTTAACTTTATGCTCTGCATCTTTAGTCACTCTTAAAGGGACTGATACCCCGAAGTAATCCCCCTAAACAACTTAATTGTTTTGATCGAAGAAAGAAGTAAAATGATTTAATGTCTGTAGTCCTAGACAAGGTTGAGGGGTTTGTAGGGTAAGAGATAATCTTCAACTTTTTGTTTGCATTTTCCAATTGCATGATTAATTTTCCAATAACAAGCTACTGCTTTTTTGTCTTAGTTTTTAAAATGTCAGGGAACAGACATTCCAGACATTGCCCTTGGGTTACTGTGACATACTGAAAATGTTTAACATTTGTTACTTTTCAGATTTAGGACACTTTTAGAATAATTGACAAGCCCCACATTATATTAAGTTCTTGAAAATTTTAAATGTCAATACATAAATCTTATGAATAAACTAGATCATTCAACTTTTTAAAAATCATTCCTAAGTGCTTAATTTGTTGGAGCACTATGCCAAGTGCTGCAGATATAATGGTGAGTAAAAATATAGTCCAAGTTCTCATACAATCTAGTATGGAAGAAGACTGTAATCAGACTTTACAAATAAATGTAAAATTATAACTCTAATAAGTGCTATGAAGGTAGGTTATGTGAAGGTTTAACAGGTGGACTTAATTGCATCTGGGAATTGAGAGAAGACATTCCAGAAGTAGAGTTCAGAACTGTAGAAAAATCAGTCTTATTAGGGACAAGGGGGTGATTTAAATTGGCGTTGATGAAGAAGACAGAAAAAAGACTTTGAGGAGCTGAAAGACTGTTACAATAACAGTATAGACTAGGGAGAGTGGCACTCATCATCTTCTAGTGAAATTATAGGGAAGTTTAGTTTCAGATTATGGTGTTTTTTAAATAAATATTTTTATGTTTTAAAATTGTGTTTTATAGGGACACGTGGGTGGCTCAGTCAGTTAAGTGTCTGCCTTCAGCTCAGGTCATGATCCCAGGGTCCTGGGATCGAGTCCCACGTCAGGTTCCCAGCTCAGCAGAGAGCCTGCTTCTCTTCCTTCCTCTGCCCCTCCACCTGTTTGTGTTTTGTTTCTCTTTCTCAAATAAATAAATAAAATCTTTTTTAAAAATTGTGTTTTATATATTTTTAAGTTATCTTCTGTGTTCTTATTATTTTTAACAATTTCATTAAGCCTGACAGCCACTACCAATAGTATCTTTTAAACGCTGTTTTACTGAAATCTTTTTGTTAGATCTTTTTTTTTTTTTATTTTAAGATTTTATTTATTTATTTGACAGAGAGAGACACAGAAAGAGAGGGAACACAAGCAGGGGGAGTGTGGGAGGGAGAAGCAGGCTCTGCTGAGCCGGGAGCCCAATGTGGGGCTCAATCCCAGGACCCTGGGATCATGACCTGAGTTGAAGGCAGACGCTTAACGACTGAGCCACCCAGGAGCCCCTTTGTTAGATCTCTTACATTCTGATGTAATACATATCTTTTTTGTTTTTTTTAGAGGATACCTTTGAGTAATTCTTTTAAAATGCTTTGAGTCCTTGGACAAACTTTTTGCTTTCACTTTAATATAATTTTCTTTTACTTGGGATCATTGAAGGCATGGCTGTATTGTTTTTTTGCATCTAGTATTATATGTAAGAATTCTGATGCCAATCCCAATTCTTGTTTTGCAATTCTCTACTACTTATCACTAGAAGTTTCTAGGTTGTTCTTTTTAAATCTTTTGGGAAAGTCAGTAGGATTTTATCTTTCACATCTATTAGCACCTTCCAGTCTAAAGATTTTTATCTTTTGAAGTAAGAATTTTTGTTCTCTTATTTGATGATTTCCTCATTTCTCTTGAGTCTCTTCTTTGAAATGCTTGTTAGATATCTGAAATCTTTAGCTCGGTCCTTCACAAAGGGTTTTACCATTTTTCTCATACTTTTCACCTGTACTTTTTTAACCTTGTTCTGAGAATTCCTTGGTTCCTTCCAGTTCTCTGATGTTTAGTCTCTGTCCATATTCATTCTGCTGTCATTACATTGGTTAAGGCTTTATTTTGGCAACAGCGTTTTTTATCTTGTTTCATACCAGTAACCTCATTTTTATGGATTACATATTCTTAAATTTCTCTGAGGATATATATATATGAAGAAACATTTGAATTCTGTTTATATTAACTATTTTTTCAGAATTTAATCCTTGCAGTAAAACCAGTAACATGAAAAAGAGGGCATTGATTTCAACAAATGTGTTTCCCTAGTCTGTTTCAGTGAGAATTTTGAGATTGATAACTATTGGTAGCTGTACATATCCTTTGCTCAGTGGACTATCTTCCAGAAATTCCTTACTCTTAATGTCTGTTAACAGTCTTCCTAGATTTCCAGTGTTGTTATTTATATCATATATTTTCTTCATTTTATTGGGATTTGAAGATGAAAGAGAATTATGTATTTAGCTAGCTATTTGAAACTACTTCTATTGATAAGTAAGTAGAGCACAAGAACAGGTAATTTTTTTTTTATATCATTCCATTGGAGGGAGACAAACCATAAGCAACTCTTAATCTCAGGAAACAAACTGAGGGTTGCTGGAGGGGAGAGGAGTGGGAGGGATGGGTGGCTGGGTGATGGACATTGGGGAGGGTATGTGCTATGGTGAGTGCTGTGAGTTGTGTAAGACTGATGATTCACAGACCTGTATCCCTGAAGCAAATAATACATTATATGTTAAAAAAAAAAAAAAGCCACCAAGAAAAAGAAAATGGAGTGTTAAATAAGAAAAAGAGTAGTTATCAGAAAAAAAACTGCTGAGTTCAAGTTTTGACCTTGCCTTCATTGACTGTATCTACCTTGAGAAAAGTGTTTCTCTCTGCCTCTTTTTTCCCCCGTTTGTTCTGCTGTTGGTTCTTTTGTTTTACTGAGAACGTTAAGATCTATCTCTTAGAGTTGCTGTGAGGAAATTAACCCAGATAAAGCACTTAAAACAGTGTGTGGCATACACTGTAATTGTTAGCTATTATCATCATTTTGGGATTGTAAAGGAACAGACTCTGTTCACTGACTAGTAAGCATATAGCCTACTTGAAGTATTCAGTTCATATTGGGGGAATAATAAGTGAATGCACTGAAGAAGTCAGCTGGAGTCAGATCATGGAAGGTTTGAGTTCTGGGTTAAGAAATAGCTAATTATTATTTTATTGAAGAGGAAACAAACTCAGGAAAGTTACATAGCTTGCTCTAAATTGCCTAAGTAAAAAGGTTTACCATTTGAACTCCCTTCTGTGTTTCCTTCCACTCTACAGGGCTTCTCAATCAAGGCACCATTTTAGGAAGATTATTACAGTAATAGTTATAAGGCCTAAAGTTAGGTGATGGCAACAGAATTGGTAAGAAAGCTCCAAATTAATGGAATTGCATTGGATGATCTTTGTGTTCCTTTCTAGGCCTTACATGCATCGTTGACTTTCTTTACCTAAGTTTAGAAAGAAAATCTTTTCATTAAAAAAAAAAATCTTTCATCATGTGATTTACTTTATATATTTTTTATTTTCAGAATTTGTAATGTGTGTTCTTTTGTGCTTTTTTACAGGTTTTAGATGGAGCAGGATTAGATATTGATTTCCATCTTGCCTCTCCAGAAGGAAGAACCTTAGTTTTCGAACAAAGAAAATCAGATGGAGTTCACACGTAAGTGATCTCTTAGTTGAGTTCCTTGGGCTAAGTAATGCCAGTGGACTATCTGCAGGGCAGGGAAATTTAGCACTTTTAATCCATACATCAGTATTAAATGATTCCATATGAACATTTTAAACAGTCCTAGATAGTGGTCTATCATAAACTAAAATGTCTTTCATTGACTTTTTTCTCTTTTTTTAGACATTTTGTATTGATCCCCAATTTTTTCTTTGCTTTGATTAAATAACATGAGTATGCACTAGGTATTACATTCAGTCTGTTGGGGCATTTTAAAGCCTGTCTTTCTGACTAGCACAACATTTCCATCTTAAGTTACTATTCCAGGTATGTATCCTATAGTTTGAGCTGCTGGCTATATCATCTTTGCCCACTATTTCCTTTCTTAAAAAAATAAGTACAGTACATCTTTGTGTGTATGTTTTATATGTGTATGCATGTAAAAATTGGGGTTTTTCTCACTCAAACCTCATTCTTTTTAGATAATTAGATGTGATAGTAAAAGGTATGACCATAGGAAACCAGAAAGAAAGAAAATAACTTGTTGTAAGTTTAGAGTTTGAAAAAAGGCTACATATACTCTCTTAATCTCACTTCTCTTTTTTGTATCTCAGTGGTGTGTTTCCCTGTTCATTCTATGATTTTACTGTAGCACTTTGTTTACTTATTGCATTAAAACTAAACTGTGAGTTTACAGGAAGAAGAAAAGCAAATACAATCTAATATTTGCCATAAACTAGGCTTTGCATTTTATATGCTTCAAATTAATCATTCCAACCCACCAAGAGAGATTATTTGATTCCTCAATTCCCATTTTACAGACAAGGAGGCTCAGAGAAGTTAAGTAAGTTTGAAGGGATACACATTTATTAAGAGGAGGAAGCAGGATGGATCAGAATTTTTGCTTTCTACCATATGATGCTTAGAACATCTCTGGCACATAGCACTGTGTAAGTACTAGCTATTATAGTTACTGGTCTTTGTTAACCAGCATACTTGGCATGTAATTGATAGTAAATACTAAATACATGTATGAATGAATAAGGAGGAAAATATCCCAACTATGATACTCTTTTCAGAGTGCTTTATTTTTATTTAATTTTTAAATTTTTTATATTTTTTAATTTTTAAAGGTTTTTCTATTTAAAACGTTTTTAAATTTCTTATCTTTTATTAAAGTGCTTTTTAAAATGGCATTTTACCTCTGCCATGTCATGCCAGGTCAGAAAAAAATACTTGTATAAATTATTAATAAGTAAAATAGAGAAACAGATTTAAAGTCAGTTTCGATTGATATATTTTGAACTTTGCTTTCTCTTTGATAGTTATATGAACAGAAACTAAAAATGTAGTTCATTTTTAAATTTCAGAATCTAGAAAATCTGTAGAATTTGTCATTTTTTTTCCTCCAATTTTCTCTTTTCCTTTAGAGATAAATTAAGATTAACTGTTAGCAGAAAAAGGTACCTTATTACTTTCCTGCATAGAATTACCTCTCATTAAACCAGTGGGGGATAAAAGAATTAGTTTGTAAGAGTAAATGTTAACATTAACATTTATTGAGTTCTTTCAATGTGCCAAGCTACTGTTCTAAGCACTTTAATTTTTTTATTCTCTCCGTAGTCCTATGAGGTACATGATTTATCATGTTATCAATAAAGAAATTGAGGCATAGAGCCCTAAAGTTAGGTTAATGAAAGTTACACAGCTAGTGAACAGCAGAGCCAGGATTTAAAACCAGGCTGTCCAACTCACTCTTAATCACTACACCCAATTTACAAATCTACTTTCTAAAAAATCAGATTTAAATAAAATTTTATCGGGGCACCTGGGTGGCTCAGTGGGTTAAAGCTTCTGCCTTTGGCTCAGGTCATGATCCCAGGGTCCTGGGATCAAGCACCGCATCGGGGCTCTCTGCTCAGCAGGGAGCTGCTTCCCTTCCTCTCCCTCTGCCTGCCTCTCTGCCTACTTGTGATCTCTGTCTTTCAAATAAATAAATAAAATCTTAAAAATAAATAAGTAAATAAATAAAATTTTATCTTTAGCTATATTAACTTTTTAAAGGCCGGTTATAAAGTATCTCTGTTATGGTACTGAAATTTTTTTTTTAAATCCTTAAAACAAATACTGTCTTTTCAGAAGGCAGGGTTAGTAAAAATGTCTCCAAACAGAACTATAAACAGCTTAAGTAATACCTATTGGCTGGCACTTCCAGGAATGAGAAGTCTGTTTGTGTGTTTGTGTGTTTATATTTTTCTAGACAACTGAATTAACATTACTATAACTCTTAAAGAGAATTTATCCGTTCTGGACTACTGCTTCTACTTAAAGGGAAAATTAACTCTGCTGTTTTTATTTGGATAAAATTTTGTATCATTTATAGTATTAAAGTTCCTTCCTACTAAAAGTCAACACAGATTTAGAAAGAGATTAGTATAGGAAGGACTATGAAGTAGTAAAACATCTGTTTTTTTTCCATACACATGCTGAAGTTCATCCATGTGTCAGTGCTTCTCAAACTTTCTTCTTTTTTACTCTTCTCCCCATGCAACCTTTCTAGACTTTTCTGTCTCATAACCCAGCCATGAAATTTTAAAACCAGTTTTTGTACTGTTTGTTTATCTGTACTTTACATGTAAAAAGAGTAAGTACAAAGCTTCTCCTTTTTATCCAGTGCAGGGTTAAGAATGGCTAAATAAAGTTCAGTTAAATAAAATTAAACAAAATTAAGAGTTAAATTTAAAAGTGATTAAAATTGAACTTTACACAAAAGTCATAACATTTTTTTTCCTTTTAAAATTGTTCCCCACTGTATTCGCCAGTATATTCTTCAAGCTTCTTCCAAAGGTAAATACATCCTCAAGACAAAGGTTTGTCATGACTGAGGAGATTGCAAGGAATGCAGACAGGCTCTGAGCAGTACTATAGAAAAGAAAGATCAATTAACATGAGAGTCAGAAAACCAAGCTTCATCTATGCCTATGACAGGCTGTGTGATCATAGGCAAGTATTTTAATTTATGTGAACCTTATTTTACTTACCTTGAAAAGGTCAGTTATGCCTACTTGCAAATATGATGGTAAGGATTAAAAGAACTAAAATAGTATATAAATTATAAAGGGGTATATAAGTATTGGCTATTTTTTATTTATAGTATATATGTTAAGATCCAGTCAAATTGCTGAGTACTTCTCTCTTATGATTAAATTAACTAAGTTGGATATAGGGGTAGAAAAGAAGTGGAGATTGAGATAAAGCATCAGATGTTGTAGGCCAGTTATTTTGAATGTGAAGCTAATGAGACCAAGGTACAAGTTTAACTTAGCTGTGAGTGGTATTTATTCTGAAAGCTAATACCACTAGGAGTAGATCTCCGTTTGTTGGCCACTGATCCTTAATCTTTGTGAACCTATGTTATTATAAAGATGTTCTTAATCTGTAGGAGGCCTGGAAGAAAGCATTTAGAACAGTCCATCACTTTTGAAAACAAAAGTCAGTTTAGAAAGTAATCTCAATTAAAGGGGAGGTTTGTGGTCATATTTGCATATGACTTGAACTCATGATAAATTACTCCTAATATATAAATATTAAAGATCATTGTGAGGTATCATGTATCTATGTTTTTAATCCTATCCTTTTCCAAAAATTAGGTCAAGATCTTTTACCATAACTTCCTGAGTAAATGCCAAGCACATCTAAGTTACAACCATATATATAAAATAAATATATATTTCCATATATATTTCCAGGTTGCCTCTTTCCCAAGATATTTTAAATAATCTTTCAATACTAAGGAAGTCTTTTTATCAGCAAACTATCCAATTACTACTATAAACTATGTTATTTCTTACCTATAGTAGTTTTTCCTTTGATCCCAAATAGGAAGTACAGATAACTGAACACATGTACTTTTTTTAATACAGGGTAGAGACTGAAGATGGTGACTACATGTTCTGCTTTGATAATACATTCAGCACCATTTCTGAGAAGGTGATTTTCTTTGAATTAATCCTGGATAATATGGGAGAACAGGAGCAAGAACAAGAGGACTGGAAGAAATATATTACTGGTACAGACATGTTGGACATGAAACTGGAAGACATCCTGGTCAGTATGGTCTCTTAATAAATAAAAATTATCCAGAGATCTGTGTGATAGGCACTGAAATAAGCATTTTCTCTGCATTATCTCATGTAATCTTTACTTAACTCTATGAGGATTATTTATCTTCATCTTTCCAAAAAGGAAATTGTGGTTTAGGGGAGATGAAGTAATGTTTGTCACATAACCAGAGAGGGGGAAACTAGAATTTGAACAGACTCTTCTTAACTATAAACACCCTTAGTGTTCACAAACAGAAAAATGTAATGATCTATAGCATACTTGCACAGAGAAAAAAGTTGAGCAATTTGTAAACACTTAAGGTGTTATAGGCATTTTTCCCACAGCATAATTTTTATAACATGGAATTTCTTATTAATTGATTAATTTGGCAACACTGTTTATATCACTCAGACCAGACCCTGCAGTTACCGGAAACTAGGACTACATTCAAGAGTAAAACCTTTTAGAATATGGCCTTTTTGTTTGAATTTCTCTACCATTTACATGCATAATGAAATGTGCATGTGTAAGAATCTATTTGTTAATAGTACTGGTGATGGGGGAAAAGGTCACTACCCTTCAGCCACAGGTAGATATAATCAAATGATAGAATTTACTGAGTGATATTTATAAATAGCTTATATAGCTGTATTGTAGAAATTCCTGCAAGAGAAATAACATGGTCATTGCAAATTAAAACTGTGTAAACCCTAATAGTCTTATAACCTGGATTTTTAAAAATAACATATTTTGATCACTTGAGGTTTTTTAGGAAAGCAGCTGTCAAATAGCAGAAGAGACATGCTTGTGTGTAGATCAGTTAGCTTAAGAAGTCAGAAAATTAGCCGGTCGTGTATGTGTGATTGCTTAGTGATTGAGCCCTCAGAGCCTTGGTTTCCTCCCCTGCAAAATGGGGATAGGGTTGTGAGGATGAAATAAGAAATGATGTGTGTCTAAGTGCTTTTAAACAGTGTATCGCATAATGAATATTAATTTTCTTACCTTTTCCACTGGTGTTACTATGAATGCAAACTGAAAGGATTAAGTTTGATAGGTATAAATTTTTACAACGATAGTTTTTTATCTCAACATAATTTCCCATGTATAGATCTTTTAAATTTCAATCATATTAACTTACTCTTCCATTTTAAATTTATTTTGCCAACAAAACTAAAACACTAGTACTTATAAATCTTATTAGTACTTCACTGGATTCCCAAGAGATTTAATTCATTCACATGGTTAAACAAAATGACAAGTTCAGACTCAAATATGGATTAAATACTAACAGGCCTTTTTTTTTTTTTTTTAAAGAAAAATGTCTTTCAGGAGCTTTATTTCCCAAAAATTTGTATCATAACAGCAAACTTTGATAAATAATTTTGTATTTGGTTATCATTGCTGTAATATTGAAAAGAACTATGCATGATCTTTTTATTTGGGGATCTGAATTCCTTATTTTCCTAGAAAATATTTATATTACTAGGTAATTTGCTTTACAGAAATGCACAAATGATAAATACTACATTTGTAATTTTGTAGGTTTAGCAGAAAGTCTGAAATTTTGAGTATAGTTTTTGCTTAAATAAGGATTTTAAGCAAGAGGACTATCCAGGAAAATCTGTTATAGTATTTTCTAATTTTTCCCCTAAGTATATTGAGCCCTGCACAATGCACAGTTGAACTGTGCAGGTCTACTTATGCACAGATTTTTTTCAGCAAATGTATTTTCTCTTATGATTCTCTTAGTAACATTTTCATTTCACTAGCTTACTTTATTGTAGGAATACAGTATGTAATGTATATAATATATATAACAGGAAATGTGTCGACTGTTTATGTAAGGCTTCTGGTCAACAGTATGCTATTGGTAAAGGTTTTCGGGAATCAAAGGTTTTATGTGGATTTTTAACTCTGCAGGGCAGTGGTCTCTGTAACCCTCATGTTGTTCAAGGGTCAGCTGTACTTTGACATCATTTCAAATCTCAACTTAATTTTAACTTACATTCATAAAGCCCTTTTATAGTTTTTAAATCACTTCCCTCACCAGGACCCTACTATAAAAATAGGTTTTTCAGAAGATGTGCAACTTAGAGTGCATCTTGATAAGCTTGTTTTACAAATGTAATCTTGGAACATTTTTGTATTAAAAAGTAATACTTTGGGATGTATAATACGTATATAAAAAATTGGAAGGTTTTCTAATTTCACTATTATTTTCTGAGATGAAAACATTGGGTATTTTGCTAGACGCTAAATTGGACAAGACTAACATTCGAAGAAACTACTATAAACACTGTGTATTATATAAAGATATCTAAAAGCTGGCTTTTTGTTTTTTTTTAAACTAGTCTTTTTCTTATGGTTGTGAGGGCTAAGAAATAATATATATAAAATTCTTGGCACTTTGCTACTGAAATATATTTTCATATTATTTTCAATTTGCATTAGCTTTGCTCCTCTGTTAAGTAACTATCTGTAAACAATAATTTAAAGATATCAGGAGAACTGTTACATAAACTTACAGATCTTTAGGTAAGCTAAGGTAGTACCTGTCCCTTAATTAAAATTGTTTGGATCTAAAACTACTATGAGTGTCAGGGTACTGTGACTCACGTGTTTAAAATAACTTAAAATTACTGAGCATTCCTTTATAGTAAAATTATTTTATTTATCTCCAGGAATCCATCAACAGTATCAAGGCCAGACTAAGCAAAAGTGGTCATATCCAGACTCTGCTTAGAGCATTTGAAGCTCGTGATCGAAACATACAAGAAAGCAACTTTGATAGAGTCAATTTCTGGTCTATGGTTAACTTAGTGGTAATGGTGGTAGTGTCAGCCATTCAAGTTTACATGCTAAAGAGTCTATTTGAAGATAAGAGGAAAAGTAGAACTTAAAACTTTAGAGTACTTAATACTGAAAAAAAAAAAAAAAAGACGGAGAAATGCAATACACTGTTCTAATCAAGACCATTAATAGTCTTTAAAAAATGTTTTCAGGCATTACCACAAGTGTGAAACGAGTACAATTTTAAGGTGAAAGGAGTCTTCACTTCCATCTGTGCAAGTAATCTTATTGCTTCACTTGTACTTAAGTGTATAGCAGAAATATTTCAGAGTGTAGGTGTAATTGAATGAAGCCATATTAATCAGCATTTTCCTGAGTTTGAAAAAATTTTGCAAATGTCATAGGTGACTTAAATAAATGAACTTTTGGGCTAAATGCAACACCAAACATTGTTTTTAAAAGACTATCTTATCTAGAAGTTTCTTTGTACATGTGGCAATTACAAATTAGAAGTTTTCAGTATATTGAAGTTTCTTTGTAAATGTAGCAATTAAAAATTAAATGTGTTATCTCTCCTATAATGTAAACAGAAGCATAGCTGTGAAAAACAGATTTGTGAGATTTTTTTATAACCAAATATATTTGAATTTAAATATTAGCAAAAGTATTATATACTTAGCTTATATTCCCCAAAGGCCAACATCTTGATAATTCTTAAAAATGCTCAGTCATTATGAAAATTGGAACAGATTTTCTCTTTGAAATGAAGTAGCTAAAGGCTGCTCAGTCTCCATAAGGACACATTTTGTCTAGTCCTTAACTAAGATCTAGAATTTTGAAATTAAATGTGAGGGAAAATAATTTTATTTTTATATTATCTATCAACAGTGTTATGTTAGTTTTAACATGACTACTGACTTGGATAATACATTATTATCAACAGTTGTGAAGGAAATATTGCTTGAAAATCTAGGCCTTAAATAAATATCTCCTTTTCTGAGTTCTCAAAATCAACAACAATCAAGAAGAATTTAGGTAAGCTTGAGAACATCTCATCAAATTAAGTTCACTTTATTCAAACCATTTTAGATCATAAATTATTCAATATTTGTTTTTCTAATCCTTACTTACATATTTTTTAAAAAAAGTTCACTTAAATAAACTCTAAGTATCTGGAATCTGATTGATTAATCATAAAGACCCAATCCTAGTATCAATCATGAGACTAAATCCCAGATAACTGAAGAAACTATACTTGGCTAGGGTTTTATTTTTCTACAGTTTTATTCTGTTTTGAATTGTCTTTTATAAGTATTCAGGTACATTTTATGAAACAAACTCTACTGTAAGGTTTAGCACTGGGTACATACAATTGTTATAACTTTCATTAAATGACCTTTCTGATCACTTTATTTATTGACATTCAAGTAAGGATTTGAAAGCCCACAGAATCCCAAATTTAAAGTAAGTATGTGAATAACTATGTAAATCTCTGCCATCCTTGCTTATTGCAATCTGTGGAGCATTACTCAAATACTAGTAATTTAAATACATCATTAATTAAATAGAATTTTTAGGTTATACCCATTTGTAATATTAAGACAAATAGGCGTTAGAAACAATCAACTTAAAAATTTGAGTATAGAACATCTCTGTACATTACTACTGCTGGAATTCTTAATAAGCAATGATCTTGAGAGAATGGTTTCGGTTATTAATTTACAGTCAGAGTGGTACAAAAGAGATTTATTTCCCTCCTTCTTACACCCTTGGGAGGACAAAAAGGTTAACTATCCCTACTATGAAGCTTTTTAAAAATGAGGTAAATGCCATATATAATTGATTACCTTAATTGGCAAAGAAAATGTTTTAAGTGTCCAGGAGCAGTGCCTACAATACATGCAAAATAAGGGCCAACAATCACTTATGAAGAAACCTCCCTGTCCCCCTTCTGTTAAACTTATAATGAGAAGCAACCTTATCATACTATAATTAATAAAACAGTACAGATAGAAACTACTGCATCTTTTCTATAATACTGTGATTAAGAATTCTACCTCTGGCTGGTTACTGTACTGTACTGATTCCTTGTCTAACAATGAATTTGTTAAATTATCTATGATGATTTGTGCCACTGATTTAAACCTATGATTCAGTGTAATGTCTTATCTTATAATGGCCTTATCTGGAAACAAAGAACTTAGGAATATTGAGGACAATTTTATTTTTATAGGCACAAAATGAAGAGTGGGTTTAAGAAGGATTTTACTTGTATTAACCAAAAAAGTATAATTAGCAAAGAATTAAATATTTCTAAAGGCATATAGCTTATCTGCTTTATGGTTTTTTAAATGTCAATATTGAGTTTTGAAATTAAAATTAAGCAACTTACCACTTAATGTCTGAGTTTCTCTTCAGTTTTTAGTTAAACTCTTAAAAATACAATATTTAAAGCCTAGAGTTTATTCTTATTTGCATTTGGGTCATTAATGATGTGCCATGCTTTCATGTGAATGTCAAGGTTAGAAGGTAAGTGAATGTCAAGGTATAGAAGGTAATTAAGTGGTTGAAGTAGCATGGAAATAAATTATAAATTGAAATGTAATTGTATGTTAAGTATGTTTACTCTTCTTCAGTATTGTTATTATGTCTTAAAATTAACAAAAATTGAGTACCTAGAATTGTAAGCCTCCCCAAGTAATTCTTTACCTTAAACTTTTAAAAGATTCAGCATGTAATAACTTCATCTTAATACACAATCAACGTTTCTAAAATTGATTTATGGTTGTGAATAGCCATATTAAAAGAGCAGTGAATACCGTTCTGAATATAATAAAAATTACAAAGAAAATCTTATGAACCAGTTATTGTAAATGTTGTCTAATCCTTAAAACCTTCATTGATCTCATTTTAGCCATATGTGGCTCTCCCCTACATTTGAAAACCCATAGTTCTCTGTACTTCTGTTTGTCTTTCTACCCTGCACTGGAGTTCTGTTAACATGTGTTTTAATCGTCTGCTGCCCAAACATGCATTGTAACTATTAGGTGCGCAAAATAAAGAAGCAGGAAAGAAAAAAAAGGGCAAAGGTCACCTCCAAAAGTTTGGAATACTGGCAAATCAATATTCCTTTGAGCCTATTTCTTTGTCTATAGAAACATTTTTAGATAGCATCTTAAAATTTGGTCAAAATCACATTTAAGAGAGTCCAATGCTTGGTGGAGGTTGGTTATTGGTTGTTTCCTTCATACCATCCAGACAACACACTCTTCCCCTATAAGCTGACAGAATTCCTTAGGCACCTTTCTGCTTCTGCACTCCCAATCACTTCCAGGTGTCTGGGTTTCTGAAAGGTTTGTGTCATTAAAAACTAGAGCTATGTTATACTTAATTTCTCTCTTTTATCTGAAAGAAAATGGCAAGCAGGGAAAAATCTGGAGGTCTTCAATGACCATAAGTCAACAGCAAAATGAACAGAGAATCAGTTATCCATCATTGAGATGAACTCCCTTCTATATAAAAAGAGACTACTCCCCAGTCCTGGAAGTTTTTAAGTGGTGATAATTATCAAATGTCAGATGGTTTATTTTTATATTGGATATCCGGTGGGAGGAGGGACTAATAAACCTAACCTTTCTACCCTTCAATTCTAAAAGGACTAGTAATGCTATTTGTAGGAGAAAGCTGAAAGAAAAGGCCACGCTTAAAAAGACACATTTAAGAGTTCCATTTTTCTGGGTTCTTGATACTCAAAACCAAATTGGAAACAAAAACCAAAATACCATTGACAATCACTCCAACAAAAATGATATACTTAGGTGTAAATCTAACAAAACATGTATAAGATCTATATGCTGAAAATTATAAAATTTGGTGAATGATTAAATATCCAAATAAGTAGAGAAATGTACCACTAATGTAACATGGATGGAAGGCCAAATCTTCCTAAATCTATAAATTTAACATAATTCCTACCAAAATCCAGAAAGATTTTTTAAAAGATTTATTTTAAAGATTTTATTTGAGAGAAAGAGAGAATGAGAGAGCATGAGAAGGGGGAGGGGTCAGAGGGAGAAGCAGACTCCCTCCTGAGCAGGGAGCCCGATGTGGGACTTGATCCTCCATGTGGGACTTGATCCCCAGACTCCAGGATCATATCCTGAGCTGAAGGCAGTCGCTTAACCAACTGAGCCATCCAGGCGCCCTAAGACTGATTTATTTTAAAGAAAGAGGGCAGAAGGAGAGGGAGAGAATCCCAAGCAGACTCCCCACTGAGCACAGAGGCTGCTGCAGGGCTTGATCTCAGGACTCTGAGAGATCATGACCTGAGTCAAAAATCAGAGTGGGACGCTTAAATGACTGAGCTACCCAGGCACCCCCAGCAAGATTTTCTTATAGACTGATACAAGCATACTCTAAAATGTGTATGGAAAGGCAAAAGACAAAGAACAGGACAAAAGGACTAAGACACTTTTTAAAAAGAATAAAATTTACAGTAATCAACACTGTGTGATACTGGTGGAAGAAAAGACATATAATGGAACAGGGATTCCAGAAATACACTGAACAAGTCCAACTGATTTTTTACCTAAGTGCAAAAGCAATAGAGAAAAGATAGCATCTTAGGGACATCTGGGTGGTGAAGTCCGTTAAGTGTCTGCCTTTGGCTCAGGTCATCTCTGGGGATTCTGGGCTCGAGCCCCCACATTGGACTCCCTGATCAGTGGGGAATCTGCTTCTCCCTCCCTCTCTCCCTGTGCCCCTCCCCACTGCTCATTTCTCTCTCAAATAAAACGTTGAAAAGAAAAGGGGAAAAAAAAAGGCAATCTTTTAAATAGTGTTATAGCAATTGGAATAAACAGGTTTAAAAATTAAATATAAGAAAACTGCAAAGCTTTTAAAAAATTAAAAATCTTCAGGACCTAGGAGGACTAGGGCTAGACAAAATCTTCACACTTGACAATAAATGCCTGATGCATAAAAAGAAAAACTGATAAACTAGAACTCATCAGAAGTAAAAAACCTTTGCACCACCAAACATGCTGTTATGGGCTTGGAAAGAGCAAGCTTAAAAAAAAAAGGAGAAAATATATGCAAACTACCTATCTGAAAAAAGGACTAGATTATAAAATTGACCATGTACAGTTC